GAAGAAGAAGAAGAAGAAAAAAATACGAATATACTTTACCTCTCTAAATCCCTTCCCCCTCTTTACCCCACCAGATCGATAACATATCCCTTATTACGCTATTAGTTCTATCATATTTCCTTCCCTAATTCTATTTTGTTTTTCTGTTATTAAAGTATGTGACTTTAACCACTTTCTGTCTATAAATACGCGCGAGACACTAAGTAGAAATAACAGACCTTTCACTCTCTTCAAATATTCTACTATCCCTTTCTATCTGCTTAGAAAGACCTTCTTCTTAGTCCTTTGTTTAAGGATTGTGGATTGTGCTTATTTAAAGTGCATAAGCCCTTTACACTCTATCTTATTCTTTTTCTATCTTTATCCGATCAAGCCTTCCTTGGTCGGGTAGTCAATAGTCCGTGGTGGGGAAGAACTACAAAAAAGCACCCCGCCCCGAAAAGCTCGTGGTATCCGCCTCCCTGCAAGGCCGACAGAAGGCCTTCTTTAATAAAGTAGTAGGGTTTGAGGGTTATACTAAGCTTATGTAAACCCCTAGCCTAAGGGTGACTAAGTATCGCACGACTGGCCAAAGCGCACCCCATCAAAAAAAAAGGTCCAAATTTCTAACCCCTGTAACTACCTCTTCTTTTGATTGTACGATCTTTAAATTGAAACCGGGTATAGAGCGATCGCGAATTTAGAACTTTTGAAGTTTTGATGATTGTCCGACCGATATTTTCAACTGGGATGCACTCGAGAAGTCCAACTGGTATGCACTCACTAGCGCCGTTTTTCGCCCATAGTAAAGCCAAAACCCTAACTGGTATGCAATGCATCCCACCACCCCCCATGGGATAGATCACGTACGAGTTTAAAACTGATAAACTTTTGAGGGTAATCGTCCGGTGGAATTAATGGGCATCCTGGGTCCGAAAATGTGGGCATCCTACCCCTGACCCACTTTTTTTTCCCATACTTAAGGAAACCCTAATGTGGGCATCGTGGTAGGATGCTCACACCCCCATGGGATAGATCTCATCCGCGTGGGGATCTAACCGTAATGCCTTATGCAATACCATAAACCGCGCAATCTTAATCATCTTGGACAAAATGGGGGGTACGACTCGGGCGTCTGCCAACCGTCCCGGCTGCGCCCTAATACGGCCAATGCACATACTAATGCACACTCGTACTCCTCGGCGCCTACGCGCTGATTCAGTAACTCAATGCAAAAGTCGATGCATGCTTGTTCAATGGGTGTGAACTGGTATAGCTCGGGATCATCGTTCGTACGACCATGGGTGGCCGGGTCGGCGCCCTGCGCGGACGACGACTGGCCCAGCTGGACCGTGGACTGGGCACAGCGCCATAATGCCTGCCACGCGCGTTGCTGCCGCGATATAAACCGGTACCGGGGACTGCGCCATTCGTGCGGCTGCTGCGTACGAGCAAAAAACATTAACACCCGCTGCCATGGCTCCACGTGTCGTACAATGTTATCCATATCCATATACGCCTGCAATGGTTGATGCGGGCTCTGGTCCTTCTCGGTCCGCGCGGCCTCGATTCGGATTAAATGGCCGCATTGCTTGGTAATACGCTGGCTCACGCGGGCGACCCGATCCATGGCGTCCCAAATGGCACGTACGACGCCCTCGGGGCCCTCGGCATCCGGATCGGGGGTGGCGATGGCCTCGGACAATAGTCGTACGGGGATCCCCTGCAAATACTGGGCCCACTGCGTCCGCCGTAACCACGGGTTGGCCTCATCCAGCTCGCCGGCTTGTACGACCGTCTCGTCGCTGGCCTGGGACGCGGTGAAACACTGTTCGAGCTGGTTCACTAACCCTTGGACCACGGTAGGGTGCGGCGGAGGCTCCATCGGCTCGTACGACGGGCCGGGCCGGCGAACGTGGATATAATGCGAGTTAGTCCCACGGTGAAATAACCGCTGGCATACGACGGACTGCATCGAGCCCTGAATAGTATCCTCGGCGGCCTGGACGGTAGCCGCGGTAGGCTGCTCGCGCGGACGAGGTATCGCCCACTGATGTTCCTGGCGCCAATGGTTCTTAATCGACTTAGGGTTCCGGCAAACGTACCCACAATCGGGCTCACGTATATATAAGATACCGTCCGAATAAATAGGTAACCCACTGATAGGCTCGTCGATCTGGGTAGGTAACCATATTTGGTCTGGGTCACCGCGTACCCCGTTCCAACTCCGAACCTCTTGGGCGATCGTACGGGCGGCGGCAATAGATAATCGATGCGGACTACCCGTTAAATGGCCGACGATATGCTGCGGTCGGACACCGTGCTTGCACGTACGGTAAATAATCACTGGGAATGCGTCGGACCGGGAAAATACTTGGTCGGCCATACGGAATGTTGTATGAATCTTAGATATTAAGTTACCCCTCAATATTAAGCTAAATTATCTAATAAGTGGTCGTCCAACCCTAAGCCTAACTGAACACTAGTGGCCGTGATAGCGCTCGGTCGCACCCCATCAAAAAACTAATCGAATTTTTGAATCCCTGCAAGTACCCTTTAATGTGGCCGGGTTATCTTGAAACTCTCCCTGTTTATAGATCACGTACGAGTTTAAAACTGATAAACTTTTGAGGGTAATCGTCCGGTGGAATTAATGGGCATCCTGGGTCCGAAAATGTGGGCATCCTACCCCTGACCCACTTTTTTTTCCCATACTTAAGGAAACCCTAATGTGGGCATCGTGGTAGGATGCTCACACCCCCATGGGATAGATATTAAGTTACCCCTCAATATTAAGCTGAATTATCTAATAAGTGGTCGTCCAACCCTAAGCCTAACTGAACACTAGTGGCCGTGATAGCGCTCGGTCGCACCCCATCAAAAAACTAATCGAATTTTTGAATCCCTGCAAGTACCCTTTAATGTGGCCGGGTTATCTTGAAACTCTCCCTGTTTATAGATCACGTACGAGTTTAAAACTGATAAACTTTTGAGGGTAATCGTCCGGTGGAATTAATGGGCATCCTGGGTCCGAAAATGTGGGCATCCTACCCCTGACCCACTTTTTTTCCCATACTTAAGGAAACCCTAATGTGGGCATCGTGGTAGGATGCTCACACCCCCATGGGATAGCGCCATAATGCCTGCCACGCGCGTTGCTGCCGCGATATAAACCGGTACCGGGGACTGCGCCATTCGTGCGGCTGCTGCGTACGAGCAAAAAACATTAACACCCGCTGCCATGGCTCCACGTGTCGTACAATGTTATCCATATCCATATACGCCTGCAATGGTTGATGCGGGCTCTGGTCCTTCTCGGTCCGCGCGGCCTCGATTCGGATTAAATGGCCGCATTGCTTGGTAATACGCTGGCTCACGCGGGCGACCCGATCCATGGCGTCCCAAATGGCACGTACGATGCCCTCGGGGCCCTCGGCATCCGGATCGGGGGTGGCGATGGCCTCGGACAATAGTCGTACGGGGATCCCCTGCAAATACTGGGCCCACTGCGTCCGCCGTAACCACGGGTTGGCCTCATCCAGCTCGCCGGCTTGTACGACCGTCTCGTCGCTGGCCTGGGACGCGGTGAAACACTGTTCGAGCTGGTTCACTAACCCTTGGACCACAGTAGGGTGCGGCGGAGGCTCCATCGGCTCGTACGACGGGCCGGGCCGGCGAACGTGGATATAGTGGGAACCAAACTTCGTGGTAAAGAACCGCTGGCAGCATACCGCTTGGGTAGTGTCTTGAATAGCCACTCGGGCAAGATCATTTAGCCAAGACTGCTGGTGGCCTTGATGGTGACCGTACGGCGACCAATGATGCTCCGTACGCCAATGTTTCCGAATACTTTCTTTACTCCGGCATACATATCCACAGCCTTGGACTCGGGTGCATAGGATACCATCAGTGTACATCGCGAGGCCTTCGATAGGCTGGTCCACCCATTCGGGAAAGCATAACTGATTAATATTCTCCTCGACCTCGTCCCACTCCTCGATAGCCGCCTGGACCTGCCGGGCATCGGGAATCGTTGTACGATGCGGGGAATGGGTCAGATGAAACACGACCTGGGTCGGTCGGACAGCATACTGACACTGGCGACAGACAATCACGGAATACTTGGGGATCCGTAAAAATAAGTCCGCGGCGGTGCGGGATGCCATTGTACGATAAGGTTTCGTAGATCGTCCAAATATATATTTGCGGGGGTCGTACAAAGAACGGAGCTTAGTCTGTTGGGGCGAGGAAAAAAGTAAGTGGGAATTCGCTAAAGATTTATATTTTACCCCTGAATCTTACGCCACCCAAGCTAGATAGTATTAATAATATGATAGGCTGATCGAATATACTAAGTTTCCACTAAGACAAAGCTTTGTTCGACGACCCTTAGTATATATGACTATATATAATTTAATAAGATCTATATCTACTCTACAACAATTTGGGTTTACCAAACGGCTGCCATTTCTGGCGTCGAGTGACGCCTTTTTCGGCCGCCATTTGGTAACACGTGATGGCGTCGTCCCGACACGCCCCCCGACCAGCTACCGCCACGCACTAGTCAGGCCCCACTCGCAACGCCCCCTTCTTTGTTCCCCTAGCAAGTTTCAGTTACTGTATCCTTAGCAAAAGCCAGTGTTGGCTCGGCGTTACGTGAGGGCGCCAAAAATGGCTTCACTGTCACCGCACTTAGTCACGATGGTGCCTGCCTACCGCGCCCCCTTTCTCTTTTCTATTTCTTTTTCCTTCCCCCCCCAATTTTCCCGCTTCCTCGATCGCGAGTATATCTCTGTCTCAGCCCCTCGCCTGAAACCGTGCCCTCTAGTCTTCTATTCTTCGTGCTCTCTTCCTCGGTCGTCTCCGCTCGCCCATTCCTGGGTCTGCCATCCCAAAGTATAGTCGCTGGCCAACTTAATTGTGCGCCGCCAGCCGGTGGGCCGTATCGTGGTCTTTTAGTCTCAGCTCCTTTCCGCATCCTCCGCACCTTCGCCGTCCCTTCACTTCCGCCGACTTCGACTATGAAGCGTTCTCGACTCCGGCGGAATAGAAAACTGGAAAGCGACTGTGGTGGGGATGATCTAAGTGCGACTACTCCTAGCGACTCAGAGCAGGGCGATGCTACGTATGAGACGGATTCGACGGAGCTGGAGGACGCTCCAAGCTCACCAAAACGTCTTCGATTGGACGAGAACCTTGTTTTGGAGCCAGAGATTTTTTATGACGCTGGAGAGCTCTACGATGACCCACTAGATGAAGGCGGAGTTGATCTCTCCGAGATCCCCGAGGATTTCGACAAAGCACCAGGTACCATTGAACGACGAGAGCGGATTGAGAGCCGGTGGAAAAGGTCAGTGAATCATTGAGATCCATATCGTTTCATGGTCTCCTAATACAGGCATAGGTACTGTGCCAGCCAAGTGCGAAAGAGGCCCAACGATCCAAAATGGCGTAAGGTCGAGGAGGCGCTACGCCAGGCGTCAAACAATGACATGTATCGGTTCCTACGCTGGTGTCTCCAGCTCGAGCGAGGCGAGGACGGTCGACATATAAAAGGCATCAACAAAGCTAGCACACTCGAGACCGATTGGAAAAACCTTCGCTGTTACTATCAGAAGCTCACCAAGATTGTGATCAATGATGAAGATGGCTCGGAGATACGAAGGGTCAGTATACCTCGAATGTATCCCAATTCAGCCTGATTGCCTTGACTTACCGTTGAATACAGGGTATGAAGTACTTAGTCCAAGAGTTTGGATTGGACACGCAGCCTGGAAGGAAGACGCCAGTTTATATTGAGGATATCGGCCCATTTAATGAAACGATCTTGTCGACGCAGGAGAAAAAGTTTCATCTGGGCTTCCAACGCATCCAAGTGTGTCTGTTTAATTCCCTCGGTATCTTTACGGTGCACCGGAAAAGCGCCTTGTTGAGTCTGCAGTTCAAAGATCTGCAGATCTCCCTCCAGAAGGATCCTCGTGGGGGCCCACCCGTCCCTATGATCGAACTTACTCCCGAGGGGACTAAAAAGTTCCTCGGTCTGACCAAATTGTACGGCGAGCGCAATTTCTGTCTCTCCCTCTCTCAGTCCCCCTAACCACCTCCGGATACATGATGTCTTTTGAAACCCTTCTTGTCGTCTCCGGAATGTCTGACTAGGGTCATGCAGCTAACCAATCAACAGAACCACTTTTGCACTTCCCGAGATCGTTTACGGGCCTTCACTGGTGATATGCCCGCACACATTGCTTTTTGGCATCTTGTTTCACGCGCGAGCGTTCCGGAACCAGGGGCTGACCTCGAAGGCTCAGCTGCGGAAACTTTTTATCAGCAAAGGCTGTGAACAGCTCCTGGTGCCTTTAGACCCGAAAAAGTCCGGTTGGTATGTCTTCTGCAAAACGGAGTTGGTCAAGGGCGTTCCAACCATTCAACGGACTACACAGATGTCCAAGTCTGTGATTGCCACCTTGCTGGTCACATTTGGCGAGATTCGCGGGTGGAAAGGGGCATTTCACGCCCATCAGTTCCGATATGGAAGTGGTAAAGTAATCAACGAGAGTGGTGAGTTCTTCCGTGGATGCTGTGAGCTATTATCATGTGGGCTTGTTGGCTGATGTCGTCTGCAGGGTGGGTGAGCAAGGAGCAACATATGTTGATCATGAAGCATGCCAGCCCTCGCACCTTTCTCAACCACTATCATCCCCTGCAACTCGACACCGACATGATTCGGGTTATTTGTGGCCTCGACCCGGATGTGGAACTGATGCGAGCCGTCACACGACAGAGCCGTTGGCGAGACACGCGACGCCCACGCTACTTGACTGATCAACAAAGGGCACAGGTTGAAGATCATCCCGAGTTGGAAGATGCCCGGCGCAACCTAAGCAAGATCCGCGCGCAATACGAGGAGACCCAACAATCCGGCCTGCTTCTCCGACTCCAGCAACGGGAGAAGGAGGTGAGAAACACGCGAAAAAGGTTGCACCGGAGCTTACGGCATCAGATCCGAGAGAGATTTGATGAAGAGCAAGCCTTTCTTGATATCGAGGCGCAGCTGTCGGGTACCGTGGTCAAGGAAGACAGCGAAGACAAATCATCCTTAGAGGACACCATGCACCCCCTTCAGTTGCATCTCGTGCAGAGTCTTCTTTCCTATCCAGTTTCGAACTCGTTGGAGGGCGAGTGGCATCGGCGTGATACGGGTACTGCAGCAGTTGTGCAGTACTGTGACGTCCTTGAAGGAGGCCCGTTGAGGGGCCGGCCTAAACAGAAAGCACCAAGATCTGCTCCGCTGGCTGGACGAACAGCTCAGCCGCAGGGTTTACACCAGACCAAAAATGATTTCGACTCATGCGTGGTACCTGTCTCTATACATGGCAAGCCGTTACGTGCTACCAAGGAATACCTTGAAACTGCTAAGCAGCCAGAGGCATGCTTCCAATGCTTTGCGAATGAAGGGCTCCCAGATGATGTTCGCTTTCGGATGTTTCATGACGCCGGATGTGTTACTCGTCACTTTGACACTACTCATCTAGACGAAAAGCCACTCGAGTGCAACTGGTGTGAAGTAGCCTTGCTACATAAAATGGCTTTCCAGCGCCATGCTATTGATGCGCATGGTGTGCGTAGTCGCTGGCGTTGTCCGAATCCGGCGCAGGAACTTCAAAGACAAAGGATAAGCGGGCTATGATCCACTGAACGGTAGTCAAGCGGAGGACTTCTTCGGATAAATATGGGCATGCACTGTCTGCCTCGTCGGGGCAGCACATGTAACGCTATAGCCTAGTCCGACGCCATCACGACTTGACTGCCAATCGTGCAATACAGCTAAGAACATTACGATCACACCAGTGTCTAATTGCCAGCGGGGACTGACTCCGTCACTGTGGGTTCTTAGGTATATAAAGGGCCTCCTTCCTCCAGCCAGTTGTATGCTCTGATATTCTCTTTTGCTCTTCCCGGCGCAGCTTGTACCGGCTTTCCGTGATCATGTCGACTAAGAACTAGCGAAGCCCAGCAGAATGTGATTATGAAGCATGCGGATTCCCGCACCTTTCTGAATCATTACCTTCCCCGACACGTTGACACGGACATGCAAAATGTGATGAACGGCCACGAATCCAAAAAATCTCTCATGCGCGCAATCACCCGCAGGAGCAGGTGGATTGATACGAGGCGACCTCGACACCTGACAGCCGAGCAACGAACGTCGATCCGTGAACATCCATAGTATGTCGAAGTGGTCCGGCGACTGGACGAGCAAGCTGAAGTTTGCATCCATGACCCAAGTGAACTGATGCGATTGCGACATGACAAACTCGCACGCGAAAAGCTCAACACGTTTGGCCGGCTAGAGAGGGCATTGAGACAGAAAGTTCGAAGAGAGTTTGACCGCAGACAGGCGAAAATAGACATTGAGCGACAGCTTTCTGGAGCGGCTATCGACGACGAGGAAGTGAAGGACGTACTGCGAACAAACAGTATGTTGCCAGAGCAGATCAGTCTTCTTTAGAAGCTGTTAACCTGGCCGACTTCCCATTCATTGTAGGCGGAATGCCGGCTCCAAGCGATGAGCCGGGAGAAGAGCCGACAGTGGTGGAAGTGCGAACAGCCAAGACAACCTCTTCTGTCTCTCCCGAAATGTCACAGGAAGAGCTACTTCTGGAGAAGGCGGCAAAGTATATCCGGAAGGCCAAAAAGCCTCGGCGATGTTTTCAACGTTATGGCGATACCCAACTTCCCGTCCATCGTCGGCCATAAAAATATACAAATCAGCCCTGCGACAGCTTCGAAAATGGCACTTGAAAGATCGAACATGTCATATGTGTAGCGAGGATCTCCTACATGAAATGTATCTTCGCAGACATGCAGAAGATGTCCATCGCCTTGCCACCGAACGAAATTACTACGCAAAGGAAGAATCAGGATCGGACATGGATACAAACTGAGAGGCGTGCAATACTTTCAGATTCAAAATGACAGCGACTCATGCCAGGCGTCTGTTTGTGTGCTTGGCAAGCCGTCGCGTGCTACCGAGGAATATCTCGAGGATTTCGAGAACCCGGAAACCTAAACCCTAATGCTTTCGCGGATGAGGGCCATTCAGATAATGTTCACTTTCGGGTGTTTCATGACGCCGGACGTGTTACGCGCCACTTTGACGCTATTTATCTGAATGAAGAGCCAGTCGAGTGCCACTGGTGTGAAGTTCCCATTAGGCGATCGACGAGAAGAACTGCAAAGCCGGCAGATCTAGCACCTGATCCCGTGTCAGGGTACCAAACTCGGCATGCGAGGCGCTCATCTCAAAAACGCGGTCACTGAGAAGAGCAGCATGAGGAGAAGCCCCGGGAGAAGGAACGATCATGAAGATTTAAAGCCGCCGGCAAAAAGCCTCCGCACGTCGATCAAAACGATTGCGAGCTCAATGATTGGCGGGATTGGGGCTCATGTGTGATTTTTTCCCATCTTTGATAGCCATCTAAGAACTTTCACCAACATGTAGGATATATTGCGATAGGGAAAAATATAAGATATATAAATACTGCTTATATAAGCCTATCCTTTGAGCCGGTTTTCGACTACTAGACTAAACTAGACTATAGCCCTTTTAAAAACATTGGTCACATTGTCATCCCGAAGTTATGGCTGTTAAGAGGGAAGAGGTATAGGCCGCTACCAGAAGCTCTACATAGTTCCATAATGGACATAAAATATACTTCTCATTTTGTTAACTCTCCTATGGGTTCCTCTCGACGCGGCATGACTCATATCTGTAGTGGCCTCTTATTTACTACATAAGTCCGTATCTAATCTAGAAGGGCGTTCATAGTAGCTGAGGCTTAACAGGAGGATGACATGTGATCGGACCCGTTTTACTCAACCGGTAGACCAGTTCGTATGTGGACTCACGGTCTCCCCGACCGCGTTTTGCGATCGCATAGTGAGAGAACAATAGTAATTCGCGGCGTGGTATGGATGCCAGCTAGGCTATTTCTCTGTATAAATATGAACTTCCAATACAGTCTGGGATGAATAGGAACCGCTGTGCAGACTCGGCGGTGTCCACCGATTGTAATCAATTTAACTAACCACACCTAGAACCTACGGAATTATAAGAATAATGAAGCCTGAAGCTTAGTAATAACTGAACAGCATGGTATAGACCACTGAAAGAGTTACCAAGTTTGATCAGAATATTCAGAGCATGAAAGACATCATTTCTTGGCGAGACGTGGAGTACTAGAGCCGTACAGCTTTGAAGACGCTGTTAGAGAGCGCCTTGTTACAAACATTGTGTAAACGTCTTCGTTGGCTCGGCACGTAGCATGGAAAAAGCGTTGCCGTAGTCGCCGCCCTGAGCGTGAACGCCCGCTTCGTTGTCCAAGAGTAGATTCACAATCTCTTGATGGCCTTCCTGCGAGGCGGCCTGGAGAGCGTTGCCATAGGCGCCGCCTTGTGCGTGGATGTCCGCTCCGTGGTCTAGGAGCAGTTTGACAATCTCTAGCTCGCCTCCCAACGAGGCGGCCTGGAGAGCGTTGCCGTAGGCGCTGCCTTGTGCGTGGATGTCCGCTCCGTGGTCCAAGAGTAGATTCACGATCTCTAGATGGCCTTCCCATGAGGCAGCCTGGAGAGCGTTGCCATAGGCGCCACCTTGTGCGTGGATGTCCGCTCCGTGGTCTAGGAGTAGTTTGACAATCTCTAGCTGGCCTCCCAACGAGGCGGCCTGGAGAGCGTTGCCATAGGCGCTGCCTTGTGCGTGGATGTCCGCTCCGTGGTCTAAGAGCAGTTTGACAATCTCTTGATAGCCGCGATACGAGGCGGCCTGGAGAGCGTTGCCGAAGTCACCGCCCTGCGCATTGACGCTCGCTCCGTTATCCAAGAGTAGTTTGACATTTTCTTGATAGCCTCCAAACGAGGCGGCCTGGAGAGCGTTGCCGTAGGCGCCGCCTTGTGCATGGACGTCCGCTCCGTTGTCCAAGAGTAGACTGACAATATCTTGATGGCCGCAATACGAGGCGGCTTGGAGAGCGTTGCCGTAGTAGCCGCCCTGCGCATGGACGTCCGCTCCGTAATCCAAAAGTAGATTTATAATTTCTTGATGGCCTCTTGTCGAGGCGGCCTGGAGTGCGTTGCCAAACTTGCCCCCCTGCGCGTGGACGTCCGCTCCCTTATCTAAGAACAATTTCACAATTTCTAGCTTGCCTCCCAACGAGGCGGCTTGGAGTGCGCTGCCGTACTCGCCGCCCTGCGCATGAACGTCCGCTCCGTTGTCCAAGAGTAGACTGACAATATCTTGATGGCCGCAATACGAGGCGGCTTGGAGTGCGTTGCCGTACTCGCCGCCCTGCGCATGAACGTCCGCTCCGTTGTCCAAGAGTAGACTGACAATATCTTGATGGCCGCAATACGAGGCGGCTTGGAGTGCGTTGCCGTACTCGCCGCCCTGCGCATGAACGTCCGCTCCGTTGTCCAAGAGTAGACTGACAATATCTTGATGGCCGCAATACGAGGCGGCTTGGAGTGTGTTGCCATACTTGCCGCCCTGCGCATTGACGTTCGCTTCGTTATCCAAGAGCAGCTTGACAATTTCTTGATGGCCTCTAAACGAGGCGGCCTGGAGAGCATTGCCATAGTCGCCGCCCTGTGCGTGGATGTCTGCTCCGTGGTCCAAGAGCAGTTTGACAATTTCTTGATGGCCTCCAAACGAGGCGGTCTGGAGAGCGTTGCCGTGGTCGCCACCCCGCTCATTGACGTCCGCTCCCTTGCTAAGAAGAACTCGTGCAGGCCCTACGAGCCCAATGACGCAAGCATAATAAAGTCTAGTACCTCGCGGTGGACCAGGGTTATCGTCCCAGTAACGGTCAGCCTGATACAAACGAACCCATCGTTGGAACGTCGCTTCCTCTTCTAGGAACCTGACTGTCAGTCGAGCTATATCTTCGGAAGCTTGAGCTAACGTAGCATGGCCTGTCCAGAGTTCGGCCGCACATCTTGCCATCGGATAATCCTGCTTGATCTTTCTGTTGTTACCGTTGATATCCGTAAGATAATTCAAGCACGCCCTCGTGATCGAAACGCTGGCAGCCGTGATCTCGAAATGGTCCTGTCGGAGAAGGTACTCTTTGACGGAAAAGTGAGCAAGATGTAGCTCTTTCTCGGTGGCGTGAACGACTGTCACTAAGCTGGGGCAGTAATCCAAAACATCTGCCTCGCAAAATAATCGACGCTTGATGTCAAACCCTTGCGATCCGTTTTTGATTTGCATCGCTATTACTTCTTTGGCCTCGGCCAGCTTGAGAGGTCGCTTGCAGTGCACAAGGAATTGTAGGAGGCGTATCGCGTCCGTTTTTAGTTTCTTCGGTATATCCGCAACCATGCGCTGGTATGTCTCATTAAGATCTAGCGGCAAAGATGCGAGAGCCTCCTCCATAGCTGCCTCGTGACGACATCGAGCTAGGCTGTTCAATTGACAGAAAGCCCACCTGAACCTAAACAGGACGTCAGCAAGCCATCAGCATATTGATCGTAGCAGTACTATCTCACATTCCGTCGGCCCCGTCGCCAATCTTATTCTGGATCCCCTCGATAATATCCTGGGACAAGGGCTTCGCTGTAAAATCACGCCGTTGAGAAAGTTGTGCTGTGACCCACGACCGGATGTCGGTGTTGACAGCCCTTTTATCAAGTGGTAGGCAGTTTTGCTCTCCTACCAAACGGGGAAGGTCGTGCAGAAACTCAGATTCAGGTCGGCTAGTATAAAGCAGCTGGACATGGAATAGCTCTGACTTGAAAATCACGTGCTTGATCCACAGGAGAAGATCATCTCTGGTTTTTGATTCGTCCAATGCGTCCAGAACGATAAAGACCCTCTTCTGGACTTCGAGCATCTTGGAAACTGTATCTGAGAGCCCCTTTGTCACAGGCTGCTCGCTGCCACTTTGGTGTGCTTGAAATAAAGCGTCAAGGTGAATGGCAGAGCCAGCCCCGCTCTGGTAAAGTTGAAAAGCAAGCGACCGCAACATGCCATCTAAGGTCTGCTTTGCGGTGTCGCTAAAGTCAAAGAAGAAGCTGAGGATCAATCCATCGTTTCTCTTCGCGAGATGATCAAGCACAGTCGCACTGAGAATCGTTTTTCCACATCCTGCAAGCCCATACAGCCATAAATTTCGACGCGAACCCGAGCACCACGACTGGAAATCGGGGGTTTCCAGGAGCCACGTGCCTGTCCCCTCATGGCGGAGCGTCCTCGCGTGGTTGGCATTCGTAGACGAATCTGGAGGACAAAGCCAGCGCCTCATCTTACCGGTACGAAGGTCAGACCTGATGGAATCAGTTGTAGCTTTCGTTGCAATTGTCGTCTGCTGCACGCCATCAATCTGTTGTTGAACTACTAGCAGTCAGAACGTATGCCAATTTCAAGTATAACTCGGTCTCGCGTATTTGCTGGTCTAGCTAGTGGACGAAACGGGAACTAACCCATTTGAAGCACTTCTAGTGCCCTCTTAGTTTCTTGGACCTCTGCAGCCGGCACGTACGCCAGAAACTCCTTGGCATACGTAGCGGCGGTCGCCGAGGCGTAGCGTTGCCATCGATCATTTTTGTGAGAATCAGCGTAATCACAGATCCCTCGGATCACAAGACAGGGAAAGTGGTTCATCAGGCCGGCCGCTTCCATCTCAAAGCAGATGCAATCCTCACCGAGGTCAGCAACAATCCGATCACGCGTAGCCGCGTCTTTAACGAGTGTGTTGCCGGATGCAATGGTCCCATAGTGGATATCGGGCTCGGTAGTGTCACGAGGATCGCGTTGAACCTCATTAGCCGTATCACAGCCCCGGCAGTCCGGGCCAGGGACGTGGTCGCATAGAGCTTTGAACAGGCGATCGTTGTCGAAGCCCTGGTGAAAATAGCCAGGAGATTTCTTGGATTTCTTGCCCATCTTCGGGTTTTCCTCCAGCATCTTTTGAAGGAAGTAGGTAACCTTGGAGTCTTTCCGCTCGTGATCTGCCTGAATGCTGGTAAGCGCATTGAGGAGGACCGTCGGAGGCCGCCCGAGGAAGCCTTTGCGCTCACGCTTATCACCAGACTTTGCTTTGATCAAGTCATACTGACAGACACCGCCCGCGGTCCCACAGGGCTGGCTCACAACAACGTCCCCTAGTCGGATATCGTGGTCCTCGTCCGGTCGAGCGATGCCGCCGCCTATGCCCACCAAAAGACCAACACGGATGGATGGCAGAGAGGCAAGCAGGCTTGAGGCCATGGTCGCAGCCGAGGTGATTCCGTAGACTCCGGGGGCCAAAGAGGCAATGACGACGTTGTGCTCTCCCAGGCGACCCCACGTATAAATGTTTGCGTCGGCTTGATGTCGAATAAACCCAATTGGAGCTGCATGTTTCTCATCGAGCATCGCTTCTGCAGCGGCTCGCTCCATAGGAAGAGCAGCGATCCAGGCGATCGCATAAGAGTCGGGGCTGTCGAGGGCGTTATGGGATGCCATGATGCGGAGGAAAGTGCATAAGACTGTCAGATAGGCCGGTGGAAAGAAGAGGTTGTGCGTTTTCACGAGGAAGCTCGAGTTGAATCACACGCGGACACCGGAGACGTGACTGAGATACTGTCAGTCAAAGAACGCGAACTTGTCATCTGCTATACAGGACTGGCGCTAGCACCTAGCTATTTTCAAGAGAAATTCATACTTATTGCCTCCCCATGTAGAAGAACGGAGGCAAGTTCAAAGGACAAGATCGGGTCAGCCCAATGAAATACGCTCTCGCTAATGGGACACGCACGTTGGGGGCCGTAAGCGGTATGCGCTTGCAGGCAGTATGCGCAAATCTTCGTCATGTCGATGAAGTGGTCTTCGCATCCTGCTTATCTTGAGTCGGCCTTCTTTTGAAGATCCTATTCGGAAGAAGAAAAAGCCCGCAAGGTCGATCTTTGAATTTGTCAGACTCTGCTGATAGTTTTGCCAGGCTGTTGTTGGTGAGGGGGCGGTGCTAAGTGAACTCTCATGTTTCAGACTGCTAGAACCGCCTCTTTGACCGCCTTTTTTGTAGATCGGCCGAAATCAGGCCACGCACCCCACGCAAGCTGCGGAGTTGCCGATACGAGCGTTTGTACCTGCAGTAGCCTGTAAAATCCGTAAGAAGATTAGATATATTCGTCTATTCAAAACCAGCTCATTTTATCGACATTGACATGGACATTTCATCGGGATAGTCCTCTTTGAAACTCCAACAAGGAAATTGAGCATAAAGTGAACTTAAGGCGGCATGCGCAGGAAAAATATGGTCTCAAAATATAGCAGAACGTTTTCAAACTAGAAGATATCGTCACTTTTTCTTTTTCTTTTGCTATGAATCCGAAATCCCAATAGCCACCGTCCGATTTTTCATTATAGTGAATCTCCACTAGGACAGATAGCCTCTGCTGCATGGCAATTTTTCCATTTTGTCTACTCAAATGCTCACTCCTCGCGGCTTCATGTGCACTGAGGAAGCTTAAGGTGTCTTCAATTGATCAGTGATCAATTCACTGAGCATCTTCTAATGCTCACCTGAGTAGTCTGATGCGCTTACCGAGCGTGATCTGAGTGAACGATGAGCAGCCCCTAGAACCTATCTCGATGAAAGCAACAAATTGGCCTCATCCATCACCGCGCGTTTCGTGAGTCAATAGTGCTAGCATCGATGCTAACGTTCATAGGTAAACATGCTGCTGTTCATAACGCGACAATGTCAACTCTTGATAAACAACCAATCAACCGTGTATCTAGCCACGCAAGTCCGAGGACACTTAATACACGGTTCTAGTACCAACGGATAAACTGGCTAAACGTGAAATACACAGCTCTTTCTTGACCAGCTCTCGTGCTAGAGAAACAAGTTGATTATAGGAACGAACCTTGTGATCCTGGGAGGTAATGTGGCCTCCTAGGAGTTGACTTGACCTCCTGGGAGGAATGGAAACATGTTCTGGGAATAGAAATGGCTCCTAGGAACATGATCCGACAGTCCCAGGATAAAGTATGTCAAGAAGCCATCTGCTCTATCTTGATTTTCTATAACGTATATGCTTATCTGCAAGCTGTCCTTTCCATATGCCTTGAAGCAAATTACATCCAACAAGCTTTAGCGCATTGCCGAAAGATTAACGGAGACGAATGACACTCTGTAAAAAGGCGCGGGCCCAGGAGGAGTAAAGCAGTCTCCGTCGGTTAATTTGTCGATCTTTGGAATGCCGGCCTTGACCATGTCTTCTAGGAAGTATTTTAACGACGTCCTTCCACCTCGTGTTGTTTACATTAGACTTGATTCTATCTAACACGACTCTAGTTGTTAGAGAGTGAGCTATCTGCATCTATATCAAGAATTTCAAAACTAATCAATAAATCAGATGCCTCTTCTTGGCCTTCCCTCTGAACTTCTGTTGGAGATCTGCAACAGTCTACAACCATCACACATCCTTACCTTGGCTTGCGTGAATCGCTCTTTTGTATCTCTCTTTCTGTGGTTCTTATATAGAGCCAATATCCTGCATGATAATAGCTCCGCCCTTATATGGGGAGCCAGCCATGGTGGATATAATACTGTGAAGAGGATTCTGGATCATCGCGATGCGAATATCAATACTCGGGACCAGGATTCACGCACTGCAATCTTTCACGCCATCGAATCTCAAAATGAAAAGATTTTAAACATGCTTCTCAACGACTCTCGATTAGATGTCAATTGCCAAGACCGGGTAGAGCAGACTCCACTGCTCTACGCTCTGTTACATCGCAAGAGCTCCATGGCATGCAAAATACTCGAACATTACGACACCTCTGCTATTATAAAAGACGATCAAGGCAGAACGGCTTTATGGTATGCTATCGATAACTGCGAAGAGCGCCTTATTCAACAGCTTCTCAAGAAAGGAAGCAGCATTGGCGACCCCGACTACACGGGGTTCAGCCCTTTAAGTGTTGCAATTGACCAGGGGAATCTGGACTCGGTGAACATGCTCCTCTCTTCTATGGCACAGTTTGGACAGCGTGGGAGATGTTTCCCAACAGCTGACGCTGATGAAATGGAACCTCCTCTATGCTTGGCTGTGCGAAAGAGACAGGCAAAAATAGCCTGTCTACTACTCTCCCATGGAGACCAAGTGAACTCAAGAGATTTTTATCAAAGGTCCCCTTTACACATAGCAGTGGAAAACGGCGATATAAAGAATACCGCCATGCTTCTCAGTTGGGATGGGATCGAGCTGAACACCACTGATTTGTATGGGCGCACTGCTCTCCACATCGCCGCAGAGCTGGGACACAACGTTATATTCCAGCTTCTTCTTACTGGAACTGGTATAAATCTCAAAGCCGTGGATCGTGACCAGCGCACAGTGCTTCACGAGGCATCCAAAAACGGGAACATCTTGATGGTCGAAATGCTCTTGAGGATGAAGGAGGTCGAGCTGAATGCTAAAGACATTGATGGTGCAACTGCTCTGTGCCTCGCTCGCGACAAGCAAATAATCCAGTTGATATTAGCTCAGGATGGCGTGGATGTGAATGCTGTTGGGCTGACAGACACGGGAGCACTTCATCACGCAGTGGAGGATGCGGACTTTTTGACAGCACGCATTCTGCTTCAGCACGTGGAGCTCAACCTCAATCAAATGGACCATATGGAATGGACACCCCTCTGTCATGCCACTTTTAATGGGGATTTGGCTATGGTGGAACTACTTCTTAGTAGAGCGGACATTGATGTTAACAAGTCGAATCCTTCACCACTGTTCATCGCAGCACGTGACGGACACGTCCATATTTTTAATCGACTATTCAGGGTGCAAGGTGTGAGTCTTCACCAAACATGGTGTGGTGAATCACCGCTGGAGGTTATTGCCAGCAGAAACCGCTGCGAGTTTGTGAAGATTCTCGTTGAGCAGCACAGAAAGCAAGACCCGGGCGTCTCTACCAGTTGTGTTGCTAGAGCACTCGAGGTCGCTAAGCAGTGGGGGCACTCGGATCTCATCAGGCTTCTGCTCGACATCAGTCCATCTAACGGCAGTGCTAGAAGTCATCTTCATAACCCATAGCAATCCGTCTCACGTGTGGCAGTTTCAACGTATGATGATGATTTTATTAAACATCAAATGTACATATTGATACAGTATATGGCCTTGGTAGTTACTCAAGTAAGCAGCAATCTGTATCGGATAACTCTCTGTATCACGGCGTCGAGACTGAATTGCCCCTGCAGCGAGTAACATTTTCAGTAGTCGCAGATGCCCTTGAATAATAGCCATTGATAGTACAGATCAATTTTCTGAATCTCGCATCTGAACCCCGTGGCCTCATCTCTGGCTTCGGCTAAAATGCATAGAGAATGGGGTGGAGTGTATTCGAAACGATCAGAATTCCTGCGGCCATAACGCCATCGTTCTTTCCTGGGGTATATTGATGCAGGTTGGCATGAGACGGGTATCTCGGCACCGTGTTCTAAAGCTTTGTTGAAAATCTTCATGTCTCCATTTTCGCAGCCCGATCTATAACCAGGCTGTGGTCTGAATTCTCCTCGCAAGAGGTGGTAATCCATAGCACAGCCAAAATGATCGACTCTTGAGCAGGGCTCTTCAGAGCGGACACATCGAGCTATTCGAGTTAATTCTCTTGGATTTCCACACACTCAAGCTTCCTTTCTCAGCGCCCCACTACGATTGCGTTACCTAGTTCGGCCAAAAAAGTCCCCACCATCTTTTCTTGATGTACTTCTGGTAGATCGTCAAGATTACCCGAACTACAGTTTCCGGCATTGGGCAGACCATAATTGTTGAGACGCCCCGTGGCCAAAGTAATAACTACTAGAATTCTAAAATAGATCACTGTGTGTGTGCAAACAAAATACCCACAGACCCTCACAGTTCACACACAAAAAACCGTCACAACACCAGTAGGTCCCCCTTTTTAGTCACTATGTTCTTTAAAGCCAGACAGGGCCGTGCATCAGAGATCGTCAACCGACCACTTTGCCCGACGGCGAGAAACAAAGCCAGTCCATTGTGCGATCAAAACCATGAATACCAGATGAAAATCCCTTTTAGAAAATTTAGAAATTAATGTTCTCCTACTTCTCAACATCCTCCTTGCTCCAAGACCACTTATCCTGCAGCTCCCTATCCAGCGCTTTCGTATAAACGTAATTGTCCCACCACTCACCCCAACTTGTTAAGAATATCTGCTCCGGGTCCTCGGGGAAATCGTCCCTAAACAGCGCGGCATTCAGACTCGCCGCTCCCTCGGGGATAGACTTGGCGTCCGGATGGTTTGTCGGCAGTGACTCTTTGCTATGCCGACTCAGTCCTGTACCTGGAACAAGGCCCGGCGACACAGCGACGACGCGACATTGGTTGGCAAGTTTGCGGCGCCACCATTGTGCGCCGAGGAAATGTACGAATCTGCTTTCGCCATAGATGGTGAATTGGTTTGCGTTGGAGGGAGCCGCGAGGTCTTTTATTAACACGCCTGATGAATGAGCTTCCGACGACATCTGATAAGAGAAAGAGGGCCTACCGGAGTCTATGATCGAGCAGATTGCGCCGGAAGAGACGAATATAAGGCGTGACTTGGAAAATATGAGCTTCTCTCTAAGGAGATGCACCAAATAATGCTGCGCTACAGTGATATTCGAAATCAGATTTACCTCGATACTCTCTCTTCTTATCTCACGGTGCTCCACTTTTCCCTATCGGGCTAGAATTCCATCATACTAATGTAGCTTCGATGAGTCATGATAAATTACCGTAAGTATATGTACAAGCTTCCCTTTCCGCCTTCAAATCGGGACAAATCTAATGATCTGGCCTGGCCGAACGCTCACCGCCATCCCCTTTTCTTCCTTCCCCAGCCTTTTGTCTTCCTTTGTCGATCCACCTTGCATGACGAATCCTGTGCTACTGCTCAGAGGACAAGTCCTGGTAGGCCAAAAACGGTTCTTTGTTTTCATTGGCTTTTTTGACCTGGCTTCCGCTCTTCTACTGTCACGTTTACTCGTTACCCGCGTCAGCACCAGCTGGTAATACTCCCTGAACTAACGCAGACCTCCAAAGCTTCGATTATTCAAATCTAAGTCAGATATCCTCCGTGTAGCCCGAACCCCCGGATCATGTATACGGGTACCACAATCTGCCCCGTCCCGTCGATATTTCAGCAGCCCTTGCCCCTCGCGGTTCACGACACTCCTCTCTGTCCATCCTGCTTTGAGAATGCACTTCAGTCAACTACTTGTCCAATTTGAACTTGCACGGGCATATCAAATGAATGGACAGATAGAGCGAGCAGTGGAGCTTCTAGAATACGTGGTTTCGGTCTTAAATCGATCTCTGAGTGAGCAGCACTCTGATCGACTGGCATCTCAGCATGAACTTGCACGAGCATATCAAGCGGCCGGCCAAATTAAAAGTGCGGTGGAGCTACTGGAGCACGTGGTTGCAATCGAAAGGGAAAGCCGCAGTGAAGATAATGCGGATCGGCTGGCGTCCATTCACGAACTCGCACTAGCGTATGAAATGGACGGTCAGACAAAACGCGCTGTAGAACTGATGGATTATGTTGTCGGAAGCCTAAGGCGGTCTCTCGGTGACATGCATCCCGACCTACTGACGTTTCAGCATGAACTTGCAGGGGCATGCCAATCAGATGGTCAGATTAAGCGCGCAATTTTGCTGCTCGAGCGTGTGATCGCTGCGGAAGCGAAGATACTGAGCGAAGACCACCCAGATCGATTAGCGTCTAAGCATGAACTCGCGCGAGCATATCAAGCGGATGGCCAACTCCAGCGCGCAGTGGAACTTCTCGAGTATGTTGTCGCTATTGAGGAGAATACATTACGTGAAGACCACCCCGATCGACTCGCATCTCAGCATATGCTTGCTAGAGTGTACCAAGCCGGGGGACAGACCGATCGCGCTTTGGAGATCCTCGGGCATATAGTTGCTCTGCGAGGGAGAACTCTTAGCGAGGCGCACCCTGACCGACTGGCATCTCAACATGAATACGCTATAGCGTATAGGGTGCACCAAATGAATAGGGCCATATAAAAATACGTCACTTTCGACAACCGTCAGATCGCGCGCGTTTTATTGGCAAAGCTGAATTTGTACGCCTACACTCCACGTTTGACGATTTTATTATTGACTCAAATTTCCCTTTCTAAACCATGTAAATATTGGGTTTAAGCCTCAGGCTTAGTAGCCAGTACACTCTGCTCTATGCTGGCCTGGCCCCTTCACGCCGGAATGGCGTGAGATGGTGTGGCGACGTGGTGCTGCGCTTGAATTCTCACCTTCGCTTTCCGCTTCCGATATACGTGACAGCAGGTACTGAGCTTTCCCGGAAACACGTTTCTATGATGGTCGGCTGCTGACCTCAACGATATTGCAGCATAAAAACGGAGTGAACGACAGATTAATCTCCAAGCAAACAGCCCTACTTTCAGCTGCATCATGTGGTCATATGAAGCGTCGGGACGAACATGGGAAAGACAAGTATACAATAATATACCATAATCCACGTAACTCTGTCGTCCTATGATACGAATGGATATTTAGTTATAAACCAGAATACACAGCCTAGCCATATGCGGACAGGCTGATTTTGGAGATAGGCTGAGAAACAAAATCTGAGTGTCGAGAAGGGAATCTGTTTTCGATTTTCACAATACGCTCTTTTCAAGGAACACAGTACTTGAGGCAGAAAGGGAAGCGTGTACATATACTTACGGTAGTTTATCAGGACTCATCGAAGCTACATTAGTATGATGGAATTCTAGCCCGATAGGGAAAAGTGGAGCACCGTGAGATAAGAAGAGAGAGTATCGAGGTAAATCTGATTTCGAATATCACTGTACATACTATTAGCTTCATCTGTAATTGTACAGAGTCGTGTACTCACAGGTATGGTTCACAACTAGTGCCTCGCACCATTTGGATCCATTGGGCGTAGGCAGCGTCGCATCCTTGGCCAATGCCGCGTTCATATACAGGAAATCAATCTTGTCCCGGCCTAGAATCTCAAGCACCTTGCTCGAAAATGTCTTGACGGTGTTGAGGTCTGACAGCTCGAGGGGCAGCACGATCACGGCGTTAGCGGAGCGATTGAAGTCAAGGGCGTCAATGGCGGCGCTGGTGTTGAACAGCACAAAAAATCACTTTTGTGACCGAACTGGAACTTTTCAAATTGCTACAAGGAACAGTAAGTTAGTCTCCGAATTTGTTGGATCCCCTGTACTGATGGTATTGTCCTGTTACCCTGATGGGAAAATGCGGTCTAGAAGGGGGTTTCAAACTTTTGTTACATCACTGCATGGGCCCCGACAAACCCGACAAACCCGAAAACCCCGACAAACCCGAAAGGCCCGACAAGCAGGTATCATCCTCAATCTCGTGGCCTCGTAATATTATCGATCGAGTGGCTAACTTGTAAACGCTTCTCAAATTGCTAGTGATTGCTATAAAGAGTATCTCGACTGATTGAGTGGACATTTAGGATTGAAGATTCGGCATATCAGCGGTCCTAACGGACTCGAAGACGATATGGAGTAGGCTTGCCTACACCTGAATTCCCTTCCGGCCATCCTAATATCTCAGGTCCCAGTATACGTCATGACAGAAGCCGGTCTTAAGATCGAAAGCACCGGCCGAGGGATTCGGACATACGCTTCCTCCTTCTAATGTCCGGTGGAAAAGAGCTTCGTCAACCATAAATAGTTCTGTCTCACATCGCTGCATCGAACGCTGACAAGCCAACAAAAAAGTTTTACGCTTTTCCAACATCCATCAATTATCCGCCGCCTGTATCCAGCTGTGAAACATGGCTTTTAATATTCCGTCCCGACATCGTGGCCTCGTTTTTGAATCAGTTTCAAAGGATTTAAGTGGCCTTCAAATTCAGTCACTCCCAACTCCACAAGTCGAGGCTGGCAGCGCCATTGTTCGTGTCCTTGGTGCTAGTGTGCTGTCCTATCAACGTGATATTTACGATGGGGAGCGAGATTACTTTCTTCCTAAGCCACTGATCGGCGGATTCAGCGCCATTGGGCGTGTTGTCGCAGTCGGATCTGATGCCATCGCCTTGCAGCCGGGAAATTTGGTGTATCTCGATTCCGTCATCCGTGGACGCGACGATCTCAATGCTGTGATCCTATCCGGAGTCTCGGATGGATTCAATGAACGAGGTAAAAAGCTGATGAAAGACGTCTGGCGCAATGGAACATTTGCTGAATACACCAAATTTCCTTTGGAAAATTGTATCCTTCTGAATGAACCAAAGTTGTGTCAAGGCTTAGGTTACGATATCCTTGACCTAATATACATCAGCTATCTCCTCGTCTCTTATGGCGGTCTACGGGATATCAAGGTCGAACCCGGTGAGACTGTCCTTGTTTGCCCGGCCACTGGCGGTTTCGGGGGTGCTGGCGTTCAGGTTGCAATTGCTATGGGTGCCAACACCATTGCAATGGGCCGGGATGAGCAGGAGCTGGCGAGACTGAAAACAAATGTGACAGAGGGCACTCCGGGTGCCAATATCGAGACAGTCAAGATGACGGGGGATGAGGAGAAGGATTTGAATGCACTTCTAGCCTTTGGAACCATCGATGCTGTACTGGATCTTTCGCCACCAACAGCAAGCAAATCGCCGCACTTAAACAGCGCTATTAGGGCTATCCGACGCAAGGGCCGTGTTAGCCTCATGGGAGGTTTTATGGACGGCCCTATACCAAGCTTTGAGCTCATTGCAAAGGACATCACCGTGAAAGGCAAATTCATGTATGAAAGAGAGGATATATCACAATTTTTGAAGATGCTGGAAAGTGGCCGATTTCCACGTGGCAAAAAGTTTGTCAATATGAAGAGTTTTCCTCTAGATGAGTGGAAGACTGCCCTTGACGTGGCAGCTGAATATACCGGAATTGGGAGATCGGTTGTCATTATCCCATAAATGCGATCCAAAGAGGCAAAGACTGAATGTTAGCTGCCTTGATTTAGTCCCTCGGAGTGCAAGCTCTTCCTATAGTGCAAAATTTACCATAAACGTACAGCACCACAACGCCGATAAATTAAGTTCTTGGGCATCATCAGTAAACCCTCTTTTGGATAATATAAAATCAGTTTCCCATTTCTTAATAATTCTAGAACTGATAGCAGGACAGGCAAAATGATTTCAGCCAATAGAAACTCGGACGAAAAAGTTGGTGATCGGTCACGTGCCGTGATGCTGTCACAGGTAGGCCTCGCCAAAACCCGCCCACGAAAACCCGAGGGTAACTAACTAGCGCGAAGTGAGAATGATGATTTATAATCCTCCGAGTGCAAGAGCGTGAGAACGTTTTGAGATCTTTCATGGCGAATAACGTACCCCGCCCTAGTAGACCCGGACAAACATTATACCGTGCCGTGAAGTTGACGTAAACGAATAGAAGTTGACTGCCCATCACAGAGCGGTGAGAGAACAAACCCCGCGGGCAAAGCAGCAGTCGATGTGTCTCCAATATTCCTAGATACCATGTGTTCTAATATAGTACTCACAGTTCCGAAGACGCCGGTTTTCTTTAAAGTATCAAGGTCAAATCATGAAGCCTACGCGTATGCTACATGCACACGAAAGCTGTGAGGAAACACCGCGTACCAAATATGAGAACTTCGGTGCTGGTAACTCCTGCAAGAAGGAGGATAAGATGTCAATTCGTTTTCTGACGTCGCATATGAGCATTTATCCCGCTACGGGCTCCGGATGTCAGTTCATTTCTATTATTGCAAGCTAAAAGCCAGATTGTTGATGGTCACAACGTACAGCAACCGCAGCAAATCCAGCAAATCCAGCAAATCCAGCAAATCCAGCAAATCCAGCAAATTTAAGCCAAAAGCCCGGACAACAGTCTACTCACAGTAATGATCTTGGCTTTCAATTTGAAAAGCCGTCTAACCTTCCATCACGTATCTATTGGGTGAATGCGAACACAGGTCCAAGTTGGAGAACCGCGGAAAAGAGCGGGCCCTTCCGATCGCATATTATGCGCGAGTTCCACCGCCAGAAACGACAGGGCAATCTGTCTCCGCGTTACTCGAACGGTACACCTAAACAAAGATGTTACAAGCGCCTTGCTCCAAAGGGCGAAGCTTTGAGCCCTAGTATTTCCTGAGTGGCCAGAATTGGATGTTTCAACGAATGGTCTGCCGCAGCCTCTCCTCCGGGCCCCTCACTACCACTCAAATGCCCGCAGACGTGTTATACGAAATCAACTCTAGGACTTAAAATATCAATAATCAAGCCTGCGTGCCGAAAATGGCCTCTGCCATTAGCCTCTCCTAACCCAACTTCATTTATACTGTTCAACCACAGGCCGTTTCGGCAAGTATAGTCTACCCAATGCCGGAAACTGTAATTCGGGTAATCTTGATGATCTACCAGACGTACATCAAGAAAAGAGGGTGGTGACTTTTTTTTGACCGAACTAGGTTTAGCGCAATCGTAGTGGGGCGCTGGGAAAGAAAGCGTGAGTGTCTGGGGGGTAATCTGCTTTCGAATTCTACTGTATGCCTGTCTGGCACTGCAAACGATAGAGCTTCATGTCCCTGACGGTTTGATACATGTGCTAGAGCCACCATATTCTGGAGGTCTTTTGAGGTCTTTGCAGGAACAATACTTGACCATATTCATAGTGGATATGATGCAGAAAGCAAAACTTGGCTCTTCGATATTAGTGGTGTAGGATGCCTTAGAACCAACGCCAAAGGGTATTGTGTGGCTTGGGAGTTCGCAGTCCAAATGACGACTTGCTAGGCGGTTATGCATAATATTTGCACTTAGCTGGTTACGCACGGTGCCCCTTCGTCTCAAATGTGGGAAGCCAGTTCGCTTTCCTATGCACGCTTCTGCCCGATGTAGAGCAGGCGTGATCTTTTTCGCGTCTTCTCCAACATCTGGAACCCACACTCACCCTCTCCTCCCCGACGGACCATGTCGACTATGCCAAGGGCACCTGATGGACCGATTGACCGTGCCGTTAACGGCCTTGATATACACCATTTACATCGCATGTGATCTGCTCTCTTTCCTCTAGACCTTGCTGCGGGCTTTGGCGCTATCTGTCCTTCAAGAGCGAGCTATGACCCAAAGCGCGCATGCCTTCGTAGGCTCGCCGTCGCTAGAGTCGCCCTCGCTTGGGCCGCTCAGCGGTTGCATCGCGCACACTTTGACTGCCTGCACCACCGTTTGAATTGCCTATGGATTGTGCCGCGGACCAGATGCAGCCAACTCCACCACCCAGACGTAACATAACCAATAGGATTCTGAGCTTGGGCCTCCTGCTGTTATTGATTTGATTCCCTTAGCGCCGCGATTTGACTAGTGGGGCTCCCGGTCACTGCAAACAAATGAAACATCAAGGCGGCATCATCACGTGATAGAAGTTTCCATATATACATAACCTTCCCCACCCCCAAGGTGTCTTTCGCTTTTACCTTAGTTCTCGCGCCGGCAACCCATGACGTTCAATCGTGATCGAACTCACCTGCTTTTCTCATTTATTGATATACCATGGATACCATTCGGCATACAAAGGCATCTTTCAATACTTTACCATTGGAGATCTTGGAACTAATCGCAATGAACCTTGACCTTCCTGATTACTTACAGTTCCGCGCGATTTCTCATCAAATGTGGGATTTATTCGGCTGTGGGACTCTTACACCTAAACTGAAAGATATTAAGGCTCTGGACGGCGAGAAGCTGGAACAATGGTATGAGGACTGTCAATTAAAAGAATGCCATTACATATCGCAAGGCCACATATTGTCATACGCCTATCGTAAGAATGGTATGACTTCTGGCCTGGATATTCTGACCCAACGTGGAGCCTCACTGAAGTATATCACTTGTGGCGATATTGTTGAGCGCGCCGCTCGCTCGAACGATTATGAAAGGCAGTTAAGCTGGCTGATCTCTCATGGCGCTTCGTTTCGAGAGGTCCGTGGTGGAATCAACAGACTCTGTCGCGAATATTACGACAAAAGCGAAAAATCTCACAACATACGCCATCTCGAAAGATATAGTTGGCTGTTCCAGAAGGGAGCCTCTTTGGATATCTTATCCCAAACAGTCTCCAGAGATCCTGGCCGATCTGGTCCAAGGTCACCTCAGGCCCTACATTTTCATCGCTACAAGTTGATAAAAGCCCTCAGGGCGGGAGATCTCTCACGTTCTCATCGCAAGGGCCTCAGGGAAGGGGGACATCCAGGCCCGGCGGTTCGACGATTGCCTCGGAGGACAGTCGCTCCTAGCCACAATGTCTCTTTTAGTGGCCAGTAAGAATGACTATTCTCGGCACAATATTTGGATGCAGCTATGAGTGCCAGCGACCGACCGATACTATCAAACATTAGCGCCGTCCTTGGTATGGGGCGTCCACAGTTGGACATCTGTCTCCGGTGACTGGCTGAGAGGGAGAGATACTTCGTGAACGTTGCGGCGTCACATGAAACGGGCATCACCTCTCTAGCAACTAGCGGTAAGCAAGATGTTGCATATATTCAGTACCTAGGACCCTCAGATTACGTACAATAGGACTGGCACCTAACCAATTGTAAAAACAGTTACTGTGACTATATTTCCTAGATTGAAACTAGTAATTACACTTGTATCGCAATACACAAATTGTATATCACTGAGGGTTCGAGGATAATGATCACACGCACGCATACACACACACACACAAACACGTAGAGATACACATTATCTAGCTTGCCACAAGTCTACTCGTATAGGCTCTAGGCGTAATATCCCAGACGGGCCTTTTGGGGCCCAATACGTTATCCATGTATTTGAATAAATACTCATTGAACGCACTTCCACAGTTTTTGTTCTTGCATTTTTTTTAATTTTCGTGTTCATTGCGCATTTCAACGCACCCATACGTTCTGATCGAAATTTGAACTACAATATTAATCGGGAGAGCACATTGTCTCCCTCGAATTTGAAAGATTGTATATTTGTTGCTCTCAACAGGCTACTTTGAACACTAAACAGATGTTCTTCAAATATTGGATCTGAAACCCTGTGATTTCGCTGCAGTGCAACGTTCAAGTAGCTTGTCCACCTACTCTCGGGCTGTGATTAGAGATAGAAATCGATTCGATCGGCTCCTTCAATTTGCTCGGCCAAAAGGTCTTTCAGATTCTGGTGACTCCGAAGAGACTGCATTTGGTTTTTTATGATCGACTTGCAGCTATAATACTACACGCCTCCTCGACTCTATTTGAGTGAACCCCAATTAAGAGATTCTCCGGCGTAATTTGCGACACAGATTCGTCATGGCCGCTACAACTTCTCTATCGCCTCGCTCTTCTTCAAAGAGAAAGTTATTACGCCAAAAACAAGGCCGTCGGAAGTCCAATTTGATGAAAAAGGCGTGCGAATATAGTAGGATGTGTGAAGCAGACGTCTGCCTGGGAATTCGTCTTCGTGAGACGGGACAAATTTATATTCTATCTGCGGATCCATCAGGGTTTTGGGAGTTTCTCAGATCGCAAATAGTATGTTGCCAGGCACTATTCAAATGACAAAAAGTCTAATGTTCCCAGGGCTCCTACTATCCGGTTCCTTGTCTAATCACGGGTCAAGACTTGACGATGAATGGGGAGGATATTGATGTGGCAAAAGTTGGTAAACCTTTGTAAATCTGCGTTCTATATCAATAGAGGCCATCAGCAAGCTAAGAAGGTCAAACAAGAAAGATAGCTCGCAAAATTAATTGAAGATGGGTATGTATAATCTCAGGGTTTGGTATCAATATAGGAAGCCACCCAATTCAAGATAAAGATTATCCAAGCACTACTGAGTAGATATATCCAAAGTAGTTTCTAAATCAGTTACACTATTTCCGGAAATCGGTGTCACCCCCTACACTCTCTTTGTTTCCTGAGCCCCAATGCCAAGCCACGCTAAGCCAATTTTGGAGCAATATTCGGAATGTTAAGTTCCCGGTTAATCATGAATACAGGCTCTTACATAGTCCAGTTACATACCACGTGCTGGTCAGGGTATGGAAGTTACATTTGTTGCTGGAACCTTCTGGAGACATGCAAACAGTCCAAACAGCGGAAGCGGTGGATCTTATGGATCTGATCACGTGCCCGCTGTCCGAATGGCAGCCTTACAGCCCCGTGAAACGTACAACATAACTGCACAGAGCGAGCTACAGACTCGTAATCTTGCTGACCACAATACTACTGTAAGCCCGTTAGACACTGTAATGTGCTCATCACCCGACCATGAGCAAATCTTCAGCGAACCGTTATCACCCCCACGCCAAATGCAATCAGATCAAATGGTTTTCACACGCGAGGAAGAGTTGGACGGCGGGGGAAAGCCCGAGTAGCGACGATTAATACATGTTCACTACTTACCAGATCGAGGGGAGGCTAATCCCGAAAAATAGGATTGGGACAAAGGATTCATTGAAATGTGCCTTTCAGGATATATCTCGAGCATATGAAGCTGACGAATACAATTTAATTTGTATTTACATATGAACCGCATTTCAAAAGCTTTCTCATTCTTTTTTCCAGTCTGTCGTGACCAATCAGGAGCGAGTATTGATATGTCCATGAGAGAATGGCCTTGTTGTCGAGGAGAACCTTCACGACAGCTTCGTGGCCACGTTCCACAGCGAAGTCAAGTGGAGTATGTAGACCGGTCATCGTATTTGGGCTGACATTCTCCATTAGTAATATCTGAGCGAGTCTCGGGCGATTGTTATAGGCTGCAGCTGCAAGGGGCGTCTCTATCGAAGATCGATCTCGAGTGTCTGGGTTGGCACCCTCTTGCAATAGAAAAGTCACGATGTCTTCATGCCCTTCCTGTACTGCCAGTACTAATGGAGTCATGGGATCAAACTCTCGGATTCTTGCGAGGTCTTTGATTTGCTCCAAAATTTTGGATTCGATCTTGGATTCGTCGTTCGATGACCAGAGATCAAGCTCGTGGACGAGTCGAGACGGATGAGGAATAAACGGGATCATGTCAATCCTCCCCGACTCAGCCATCCAAAGTAGCGCTCGCAGTGGGTTACTTCCCGCTTTGTATAGCTCAGGGATGAGAATTTCATGGAGCCGATGACAAGACAGCACAAGTTGCAAAATATCCACCGCAGTCAAGTCACAGGCTATAAGAAGGAGTAACTCAGAAGGTAACACCTCAATGTGAGAAGGCATTTGTGAGAAATGTAATGAGACAGGGTGTAAGCGCGCACGCCCCTCAACCGACAGATACGGAGGAAAGCAAAACATGCACCATCGAGTTGCCCCCTTCTCAAACTTTAGTGAAAGGCGTAACGATTCGCTCGCATCGCCACCGAAAATTTTTCTTATTCATCATTGATATTTCTGGCGAGGGCAGGTCTAAAGATGACTCTGCCAACCTGAAACAGTGACGTGATCGCAAATTTACCGATCAGTGGTGCGTGCAATCGGTTTTTTCAGAGTAGGGCGTAGCTCTTTGTGATCGATCTGCTTGTGCGACCCTGGTTGGCTCATCGAGAAAGCGCAATTAATGCCACAAAGACGGAGTCAACCAGGCACCTTTGAGTGGGGCCCTGTTTCGGAAGAGAATCAATTCTACCCCTCAAATCTTTTAAGTCCTCCTCACTCCAAAAATCCCTGCATCTCGAGTTTTGGGTGAATGGAAGGCCAAAGAGCTGAGCCTTTTTTTGCTCAGAGTAAGTGAACACGCTTATCACTCAAATTCCTTCCCTCAATTCCTCTCAAGTCCCTCGACAACAAAAAGCCTTAACCAACGAGAAAGGTTACTGACACAGATCGGGATAGGAGATTATCGACCTTTCCAAGCTTAGGCGATCTCCTTATACTAGAAAGCATTAAATGCATTGTGTATTAATTATCAAAGTTTCGAGATGGATGGAATCATCAGCATTCCCATTGTCGTCCCAACCACCGGCGTCATGTTGCTTATGCAGCAGAAAGAAAAAGATGCGCCAGAGATTCTAGCCGCGACTGATAATTCGTCTATAGTCTTGGGGTGTTCCCCCAAACAACTTTTTGGTCTGAAATGTTTGACCGAAGTTCTGGATGAAGCGTGCGTTCAAGATTTCTTGGATTCAGTTGATGCCATCGCAGACGATAAATTTCGTCAAAATACTGGTCAACCAATCATTTTCCCTCTCTCAATTATCGATTCTCAGTCAAGCCATAAAACGCCATTCTGGTGTGCAGTCCACAAGAGTCCGACCTTGAAAGATTTTCTCATTGTGGAGCTGGAAAAAGATAGACAAAACGATAATTTTGACCCTCGCGGTAGGCGCAACAGAGGCTTTGCCCAAAAATCTGACATTTCGAATTCAATGGAAACACAGACCGAGCTTCATTCATATTCGAAAGTTAGGTCACGGGTATCCACGGGCGACGAGAAGGCGATGCAGGTTTCGTCTGTATTGAGCCAATTCCAGGAACACTTGGGCCGTCCAGATGATCTTCAATCATTAATGACAACCGCAGTATGGCTTCTCAAAGGGATGATTGATGTTGAAGAGGTTTCAATCATTCGATTAGATCGCGATTGGAACGGATCTATTATGGCAAAGTTGGGGAACCATCATTCAGGGTTGCCCGATAGCAACTGGCTCACTGCAACTTCTTTGCCGCATTGGCAACGCAAGATCTTCAAAAGCAAAAAAGTCAACGTTCAGAAAGGCAGGCATCCAACCGAGTCGCGTCTCATACTACGAAGCTGTGAAAACCTTTCCACAGTGTCCAATTTGAATATGTCAAATTGCTTATTGAAAACCACGCCTCTGTTTGACCAGGAACAAGGAGATGCCTTAGGCCTCCAATCGGCCCTTGTCATTAGTATCATGGCATGCGGCGATCTGTGGGGCGTGATTTCTTGCGTTAATTACGGAGGTGCGGAGATGGACGTCTCCTTCCTTGACCGGGAATTTTGCCATCAATTCGCCGAAGTGCTCTCACGAAATGTTGAACGGTTGGAATGTAGTTAGAATGCAGCATGTCAATATCTTATTTGCAACACCTTTTTGCTAGTGCGCTGGAACCTACTAGAATGGCAAATTGGCTACGGCAGGTTCCGGCGAGACTCTAAGCTAGTTCCAAGAGCAGACACGCTCTATCCAAAAGCAGCTCGTATAGTCACTATTGCTTGCATATCACTCCTGAAAGTGCATTTCCCCGCTGGACTGATATATGAATTAGCACTCATTACTGGCGGGTAAGGTTTTAAATCGACTTCGGCGAGGGGTCAGGCTAAACGAATCAGTACACATACTGTAGCGATAAATGCCAAGCTATGCACTAAATATCTGAATTCGTCCGTTATAGCTCCTCAATGTCAAGACCTGCGCTTTGGAAATGACCAGTGACGGATCTCTGGACTAAAATCCTCCAAAATGAAGCATCTGTCGTTCCTTGGAAGACACGAGAAAATAGAATCCCGTCTTATGTATGCAGGGAGAATCTGATGCCGTTGACACTTGAACGGGTGTTGTACCGAGGGGAGACCAGCCAATTCTTCTGAATCCTATCCATTTATCCCACCCAGATTCATCCACGTAGATGAAGTGAGATGAGCTAAATTCTAAGATGAGATGACAGTAATCCTTACGCAAATCTGGGTTACACCCTTCCGCTTTCTGTCGAGCTGTCTTCCTGGACCATCTTTCGCGATGCAGGACGTCGCTGATCGTGGACTTTGGTACTGATAAATCAAATTGATCAAAAAAGAAGAGCTCCATCTCATGAAGGTATAAAACCGGGTTTTTAAAGAAAAGATCACACAGAGTTTCCGGTGTAATGGAAGTGATGCTCCATGGCCGTTCAGCTTTGATAGGAGGAGCTTTGACACTACCGAATAGCCACAGGCGAGAACGAATCCTGGTAATAGCGCGCTCGCTGCAGCCTGCAGCTGCCGTAATCTCCGAGCTACTTAGTTCATCACTGCTAATCATATCATGAATCAACGCGAGAAAAGACTTTGCTAGGCTCGGAGCCATGGCTCGTTGCACCGCCATTAGAGTGCTAACCAAGTAACCCAGGTGAGGATTAGGAAAGTTGACGTGGGGCACTCAGGTTGCAGCTTCTCCAGGTAATACACATTTTCCCCACTAATATAATAATCCGGTAGTTTACGATACATCTGAGATCAAATGAGGCTGACATGGCTGTTCAAAAGTAGTTTAGTGTATCTTGCACACATCCAAAAAAATATCAACATCCTACTTGGGATAGGAGATCATCGAGCATGCGTACGACCGCGCCGACTGGAACAAGATTGGAGAGTGTGTGCTTCAACAGATGGAACCATGGAAGGAAGTGTAGACGAGGCCAGCCTTAGACAGGTGGTTGGGAAGCTCATGTGCGAGACCGCTGCGGCATATATCGTTGCTGTAGCCTGCATATCGCTTTGCGAGTTGAACCCTGGATTGAGGTACAAGTGTGATAATTGACCTACATGGAGTCAAGCATGATGGCTGGCCACGGCCACGTCCACCTGCCCAGTCTCTAGTAAAATTCTCATCACATCTTCACGGCCGCTTTGTGAGGCCCAGAATAACGGCGTCCGATCCTCCGAGTCCTTAGAGTTCACATCCACCTTTCCAGTTTCAAGTAACATTCTTACCATTGCCACATGGCCATCCGCGATGGCCCAAAATAATGATGTTCGACCCTTTAAGTCCTTCGAATCCACATCCACCTGTCCGGTCTCAAGTAACAGTCTCAGCGCCACAGCCTTACTGTCCAAAGTGGCCCAAAATAACGGAGTCCACCCTTCACAGTCTTGTGAATTCACGTCAATCTGGTCAGTCTCTAGTAGTACTCTCAACACCTCTTCACGACCGTTCTGTGAGGCCCAGAATAACGGTGTCCGACCCTCCGAGTCCTGAGTGTTCACATCCGCCTTCCCAGTTTCAAGTAACATTTTTACCACTGCAACCTGGCCATCCAAAACGGCCCAAAACAGCGATGTCCATCCTTCGCAGTCCTGCGAGTCCACATCTACTTTGCCGGTGTCAAGTAACAATTTAATCACCGCCAGGTGTCCGTTCTGTGCGGCCCATGATAACGGTGTCCGTCCGTCAGAATCTTTCGAATTCACACCCGTCTTGGGGATGTCAAGTAACAGTTGCACCACTGCCAAATGACCGTTTTGTGCAGCCCAGGATAATGCCGTTCGACCATTACGGTCTTTCGCTCCAACTTCAGCTCCCGTTCGAACAGATATTCGAGCTGTATCCTCACGGCCTTGTTTGGATGCCCATTCCAATGCAAAAATTGAGTTTCTTTGATAGAGAACTGCGTTTGAATGAGTGTAAATTCTCCTGTTGGTTTTGGAAAATGAGTTGATATCTCTTTCTGCCTCCAGAAATGTCGTAAGTAGTATGAGTATTTCTGAGGGCAAACGAAAAAGAGACATTTGTGCGGTGAACAAGATGTTTTTTTGCAAAGATAGTTTTCGAGTCCTGCAACACCCCATGCAAGCTGAGCTGATGATGTAAGAGAATCGGTGCCACTGTGCTGGGGAAAGGGAACGAGGGCAAAGGGACATCGAGATGACGTAGGTATGACATTTTCTTGTAAATTACATGATTTGGGATTTCATCTCCGTATTGTAAAATTCAGATACTATTTTAGGAAGCAATCTGAGCCGTAGTAACAATTCTTACCGTATTAGGACTAGTGCATTTCTGATTACTTTATATAGCCCTAAATCAGAGAAGCGCTCATGAGAGATATACAGATGGAACTACACCGTTGTCGGGGTTCAGATTCTAAGAGTATAGCTGAGTTCTCAACCTACTGTATAGTTTTTGGGCATTAGGTCCTCAATTATTTTCTGGATCCCTGATGCCAAAATCCGCCGGCCTGTAACTAGAAAAGCATAGAATTTTCAGCTGCCAGGGTTGGCTATATACTACCAACCACTATGCCCGAGTGCGGATTCATATATTAGCTTAGTGGCCATTTGAATATCAATACATGTTTGTTTGATATACTAGTTCGGCCCGTCATGGCCCTTTTACGGTTCGTGATTTAGGCTGCCTTCATGGCGCGGTTGTGCAACTATTTCAATAACACGGACAGCAAGCGCCCGTGAGAACGCAGGCAATGATGAGTTCAAAAATCCGACTAAAGACTGTATTGCAGATGCGACTTGGTGCGGGCTAGATTAGTGTAGCCGGGCATTACCTGGTCTTCTTTTCGCCCTTGAACGGTGATGGCTAATTGTGAAAACGGCGGGCATTTCCAATACGGTTTTTATAAGCGTCATATGCTGGGTGTCATATAGCTGGTATGCTCCAACGAGATACCAGACACAGTTGCTGTTCGCTGCCGATCACCGGCTGTTCATTCTTGTAACAAACCAGATTTTAACAAACCAAGCAGTGTTATTGTTGACGTTTTCCGCTCTGTACTGCATTGATCAACTTTCCGACGTGATCATGTATTTGTTGGAACTTTTTAACACTTCTTGGGGTTTTCTACCTCTTGCAGATGGCTGGGAAGCGAGATGCACTCTGCGGTTGACCGTCACCGAGCTCCTGCCCCAATGCATACTGAGCTCGTTCATAAGCTTGGTTTTCATCGCCTCATTTCACGGATGTGAGCCACGCCTGATATATGTCTTCGACTTCGTGTATTCGTTGGCCGCAGACGTGAATGTTTGAAGTGGTCGCACTTCTGGACTGCTGCACCCGAGGTCCGGCAGGTCTTAACCAAGATTTCAGTCGTCCCAACGAGCAGACTGTGTGAAGATTGTATTAGGCTGAGGATTCGATATCTCCCCAATTCTTGTTTCAAGACAGGGACCATTAATTGGTCAATGATGTCCTGTTTATGCCAAATTGTTAAAAGATCATAGATTCTACTTCTTTTAAAATGAACCGAATTGCACAACCTGAACAGAGCAAACATGACATATGACTATCAACATAGCAAAAAAACGCCGTTAAAGAAAAGCTGCATCCACTCCTCTTTCCCAAAATCGCTTAAACCTTATTGCACTGTAGTGTTGTAGCGAAACCGTTAGTACAAACTTGCTCTGGTAGGAAGAGCAGACAAAAATCATCTTAAAATATGAAAGCCTCGAAGCGCCATGGATATATTGAGATCTCGCCTCCATATGCGTCTAGATTATGCCCGGGTGAGACAAGCCTGATAGGATTGCTCTCAGCCGAATGGCAGTTGCCCTACCCTCCCTGTTTTGAAAATAACAGGCTTCGGACAAGGATAAATGATACTATCACGGCGCAACCAAAGAATTCAAGAAAACCATATCCAATGACACCATGGAATCCGTCCTAAACCAGGCATTGAATCACACGGCAAGTAGCATTAAAACAGCCGAAGGGACCTCAGTCAAGACATTTCTCGCTTCACTGACGACTGGAGTAACGATATTTACAATTGAATGCTTGTTATTCCTCTTCTTGAGGCAGAAAATCTCTCGCATCTAGTGTGTTCTCCCTGAAGATAAAATGTGGCACAAAATGTCCTCTTAACCGTGTACTAGCCGACCTCGAACTTACTTGGGCCCACGCGAAAAGCAAATCGAAGACCCATCCCCCGGCCTATTCTGCTGGATAAGCTCCGTATTTCGGGCATCAGACACCGAAATAATCCAGAAATGTGGACTTGACGCATTTTTCTTTCTACGTTTTCTTCGCATGTTGCTGAAAATTTTTATGCCATTGGGGTGTTTGGTTTTGCCGGTGCTGCTCCCAATTAACTACATGAGTGGAAAAAGGAAACCCCTCAAAGATGGAATTTCCAGCAATATCAGATGGAATGTGACTGGGTTAGATCAACTGGCATGGGGTAATGTCAAGCCAGAGCATAGCAGTCGCTATTGGGCACATCTAACCATGGCAGTCATTGTGGTTGTCTACGTCTGCTTCATAATTTTTGACGAATTGCGGACTTATGTAAGGATAAGACAGGATCACTTGACATCCCCTCAGCATCAGTGTTGCGCATCAGCAAACACGGTTCTGGTGACGGCAATCCCCTTTAATGTACTCAGCGAGCAGGCTTTAAAGGAAGTTTTTGACGTGTTTCCAGGCGGAGTGCGCAAAGTCTGGATTAACCGTGATATGGGCGCTTTAGCCGGCAAGGTGAAAATGCGTAAAAACATCGCCCGCATGCTCGAGAAAGCTGAGACAGAGTTGATTGCGAAATGTAACAAAATGGCTGGTAAACATGCGATAGACAAAGACCAGAGCGCCGTGAGAGGGGCCAGTGTTGGTCTTCGAGTATACAACGCGATGATGACTCCTATTCCTCCTCGTAAACCCTCTGCCTTGCATAAAGACATTGCGAGCTCTGAAAGACTTGAAGTTGGAAGCGCAACAATCCACAAACCGATGCCCAAGAGTGGTAAGATCAAGAAGATACCTGACCAAGATGCAGGCCATGATGCAATATTTGCAAAGAGCGATCCCTCTTGCCCGGACGATATCAGTGATCACTCGGGCGAGCAACCCTTATGGAGAAGGTATCTTGCACAAAAAGATAGACCTAATATGCGCCTTCGCGTCTTTGGCTGGGACTGGATGCCAAGATTCGGCCAAAAGGTCGATACCATTGAGCACTGTCGAAGAGAGCTTTCTCAGCTAAACCGGGATATCGAAATCGATCAGAGGAACCCACAACGGTTTCCATTGATGAACTCAGCGTTTGTTCAATTTAACTTGCAGGCCGCCGCACATATGGCATGTCAATCCGTCATTCATCCAATCCCCAAACAAATGGCACCTCGAATAGTTGAGGTTTGCCCTCATGATATAATATGGAGCAATATGTCCATTAAGTGGTGGGAACGCTATGTGCGCACATTTGGTATCATCACCCTAATTTGCGTCATGACCATCAGCTGGGCGATACCAGTCGCTTTCACTGGCCTGCTTTCGCAGCTATCATATATCCAGGGTACCTTTACATGGCTATCATGGATTGGCATGTTACCAAAATCTGTTTTGTCTGCTATGCAAGGCGTTTTGCCGGCCCTTTGCATGGCAATCCTCATGGCACTCCTCCCGATATGTCTTCGCCTATTGAGCTGGGCTCAAGGTCTACAAACCGGCAAAGAAATTGGACTGGCGGTTCAAAACTACTATTTCGCTTTTTTGTTTGTGCAACTCTTTCTTGTTGTTGCGGTCGCCGCCAGCTTCTCTACTATTATGGACAATATTACTGAGGTAATCAGTTGGCCCGAGCTTTTAGCTCAAAACATTCCAAAATCAAGCAACTACTTTTTCTCATACATGATTTTGCAAGCCATGTCTGTCAGTGCTGGCGCTCTTGTGCAAATTGCGGAATTGGTCAACTGGTTTTTCCTTGCTCCTATCATGGACTTCACTGCCCGGGAAAAGTGGGCCAGGATGACAAATTTGAATGAGATAAATTGGGATACTTTCTTCCCAGTCTACACTACCCTAGCCTCAATTGGTTGGTCCCCAACAAGTCCAGGAAGCATCGAAGCTAATCAAAAATCTCAAGGTATCATTTACAGCATTGTTGCGCCTGTCATCATTGTCTTCAATATAACCACGTTTACTCTCTTCTGGATCGTTTATCGCTACAATACTCTCTATGTCACGGGATTTCGCATTGACACCGGAGGCCTGTTGTTTCCACGTGCTATCAACCAACTATTTGTTGGTATATATACTATGGAGATAAGCATGGCTTGTCTTTTTTTCTTGTTCGTGACGAAAAAAACGCTGTAGCTTGCCAAATCCAAGGTGTTTGCATGATTCTGTTGCTATTATTCACTATCGGATACCAAAGCCTCCTCAACGAGGCATTCGAACCTCTTATAACTTACCTACCAGTCATGAAGGGAAGTGTAGCTTCTCATGGTGATGGGCTATTTCGTTGTGATGAATTCTCAAGAATCAATGCTGGAAGACACCCTAAGCCACAAGACATCACATGCGTCGATCCGAGAGATACAATGTTTGAAGAACCTGTCGAGCAAATTTTTGTGTCTGGGGCTAGCGGCAGGATACCATTGTCTGCCCGTCATGCCCATAACCTCGGATATAAAGATTCATCAAGAGAGGGAGATGATTCGTCTAAAGAAGTTGCCACTCGAGACTCAAAACCGAGCCAAGTGGGACAGGCCCCCTTTTTCGGAGCTTATGGTGATGTGAAAGAGAACAATTGTCAAAAAAGCTGTCTGACTCCACACGACTTTCAACACGAAGCCCTTCGAGATAAAAGACCAGTAATATGGATACCATGTGATCACCTTGGGGTCAGCGAAGATGAAATACATCGTACACGTCGGCTCAGCAAACATATTTGGATCACTAATAGAGACCAATCTCTAGACGGCAAATGTCGCACAGTTTTCAGCCAAGCCCCGCCAGAATTTCCTGAATGGATAGACCCCTAGCTCATCTTCATGTGCACGACATGAGTGGTTGGTTATCAATGCCGCATTCGACCTACATTCTTGAACATATATGACTAGTCTTAGCAACTATCTACTACCTAAATCCAGTTTTATTGTGGGCTCAGCGTGATAAGTGGCTCACCGCCTGACGAGTTGGTCGGTGTATCTGTATTATCCACAGACTTGCGATGCGTAATGCTCTAAATTGTGCACTACTAAACAGGGCTTACAGTGTATACTCTACGTAGAAATATCTGACTACGTTCACAATTCTCGCGTTAGTGTTGGAAATAAAAAAGACTTCCCAGCGCTATGCAATCAAATGTGGGAGTCAACCATAGCTTACAGACAGTAGTAGTAGTAGCAGTATTCATATGCCCTACCTCTCGCAAAGCAATATATGGCTGCAGGAACGATACACACACACACACACACACACACACACACAATTCATTAACGCCCGGCGGCTAAGCCGAAAGGGCAACTATCACTGATCTATCAATACAAGGTATAGTCTACATGTGCCGGGTCTCCTTGGAGCCCATACATGGTTCCTTTCAGTATATGTCGTCTCATCTGTCAATAGCGTAGCGGGTCCTCGTGAGTTAGTAATTTTAATTTTGTTAGTAGACTGGCTTGAAAGCGCTTCTTCAAGTGTTCAACATCCTATTCGCGGCAGTTGAAGCGCGTCTACCGTCTCTGGTACAAGGTGGTTGGTGCGGGTTAGTTTGGGGAAGGGTGTCATTGTGTTGGTCGATATGGTTAAGCGGCGTCGAGTCGGCCAGTGGCGATTGCGAATCGCATTGAGGCTCGCACTGCTTCCAAGTTCGGCGTCCAGTTCTGGTCATCCGAAAGCGATTTTCCGCCCAGGAAGAAAGATATGTTGCCTCGGTGGGTTTGGATATGCATGTATGTACAGATAGATTGTTCCCAAAAACGAATTCAGAGCCTCGTCAAGCCTGCCGTGACCCAATTGCTGTTCGTGGGGCTAAGCTGCCCTCATGGCGCACGACTGCGAAACCGTTATGACGCCTTAGCGGACGTATAGCACAGCCTCGATCATCCTGGCCCGCGATACGCTGTCTGGATTACCTCTCACCTTCTTTTGAGCCTCCCAGCAGACTCGACACGCTATTGAACGGGTCCCCGACCTTGGTCCTCAATTGCCTCCGCAACTCTCTCAGTTACGAACAGCCGGCCAGCACGTGGGTGACTGTTTTTTTAGCACCGCACTCGCAATGGTTGTCGTCGCGTAATCGGTAGGCCTTGACGTATGTGGACAACCAGTTAGGGCCCGTGCGTAGTAGCTGTGTCAACAGATACGCCCGGTTCCTCGGTAGAGCGCCGCACAGTCTTCTTGTGTAGGGTTTGGGTAGACTGCCAAACCTAAGTATTGACTGCATAGTTGAGGTTGCGCTTGTGATAAATAACTGCGATCCAAACCTGTAATTGTGATTGCGGTCTAAAAACTGTCTAATCAGCATCCATCCATATTGTACTACCCAACTTATCCCCTATTAGGCCATGCAAGGTCTACGTTAGTAATTTTTATCGACGCGTTGACTGAATGGAGAATATGTGAAGAATGTTGATACAAAACATGTCGGTTGGAAAATTTCGATCTTATTTTTCTCAACTTAGAACAGTAGGTTACAGGACGGATCGAAATCAGTTTCACCACTTTAGTCTTGGAGATTCTATCTTGAGCCCTATTCAGACACACGCTAATGCGTATCGTCATGTTTCTCACAAAGCAAGCTGTCAGCTCTGTGATAAGACAAAACTGGTCCACCGTCAGCCCCGGGATCCGATCCCCAGGATTTATTATGGCCTCATTGCCTCTGGAGATCAAGTCATAAGGAGTGCCTCTATTGCGGCCGAAGTGGATGGGAGGGTGGGTGGCGATATCTTGTGCTTCGAGACGGAAGCGGCGGGCATCGCGACGGAGTACTCCTGCATCGCTATCCGTGGCGTCTCTGACTATGCAGACTCTCACAAGAACGATGCCTGGCAGTATTATGCTGCGGCTGCAGCTGCGGGGTGCGCCAAAGAGCTCCTTTCGTACATAGATCTGCTACAGCCGTTCAGTATGACTGAAGCCCTCAGTCGGCATGGGTCTGAGATGGCCACCAGCAGCTGTCTAGCTACGCAGTCCATCTTCCGTGGTCAAGGAGTTCAAAACTCGGGGTCTGGCAAGGTCTCTGTAGGAAAGGACTTGAATATCGGCAGCAATCAAGCCGTATCGAAGGAGCTCGGCGTCAACCAATAAAGGTCATGCGGCTGAAAGTCATGGTCCTTGGGATATGAACCGGCAGTCACCGTCCTCGTTTCAAGGCTCTGACGAATCCAACGTCAATATTGCCACGAACAGTCACTTTAACAGATGCCCCCCCCTCTTTAGAAGGCCAAGCCTTTTACAAGAAGCAAAGAAACATGTCCGCAAGAACTGTCTCTATATAACCCGCTCAATCGCAACAGTGACTCTAAGGGGCAAGTAATCGGCAGAATAAGGATTTAAAGTCCTGCCACATCTCCAAACGAGCAAGCATCCGCGTTTGGCTTGTTTGCTAGATCAACGCTCTAGAACCCCTGGAGACCTTACGAGTCTAATACACAAGCTATTTTTATGTTGTGATTTAGATCCGTACTAGATTACTGCCAAGAAAGGGGATGGGAGGCGGGGTAATTATAATAGGTATAGCGTGTTTCAATAGAGGGTTCGAGAAAGAATTTCTGTGTGAAAGTAGTGAAACTGATTTCGATCCATCCTGTACCCGTAAAAGTTTGGAGGAAATTAGATGTCAATACCGCTTCACTCGTTTCTGATAAAAGGCATGAGCAAGGCTGAATTTGACGGTAAATCGATATCAAGCTTACGCAAGTGTCGCTTTTTCGACCTTGTGAGCACAGTCACCACCGAAAGGACATTGTGTTATTGAAGAAGTAACGATAAAAAGTTATAGACTCGTTGAGAACCGGTGTTGAGTACAAGCAATTTCACCTTAAACCATCACTATGACCGATGACAAACAAAGTGCACAGTTATATGCGACCTCAGGTTGTTTGAATCAAGTTTTCAACAGATAAAAATTGTCGAGCCACAGTGTATGGGGCACATGCCATTTTTCGGCTTTTGCCCGGCCAGACTCTGAGAACCTGTGTAGTGGAATCAGCCTTCATGTAGTGAACAATTCAAGTCTACTCACTTCAGACCTATGAGTAACTACATATAGAATATTCTACCCAGTGTTGCCTTCTGACACATATAAATAGGCTTCCTAGATCGATATATTATCGTCAACTAGTGCCACCTGAACAAAATATGTCTGGATCTAACATGTCTGATATACGCGATTGTGCCATTAGTATTGCGATCAACATTTTTGGTTTGGCCTATTTCACTGTGTATGACCTTCAACTATTATTGTTCCATTTTCCATATTCACCCGAGGCTATAACAAAGTTTCTCTCGGCAATTTGTTTTGGCGGTGGTGTTATATTCTGGTGCTCATCGAGCATGGTTTTCCGTATGTTATCTGCATTCCAGGGGAAAAGCGGAGAGGATTGGCAGAAGCTTGAGTTTGCTGGCGGATTAAGCTTAATCTTCACAACCTCATTACCTTCTATTGCATTGCAATTCACGGCCCAGCCTCACGTCCAACTGGCTTATCTATGTGCCACGACACTTCTTTTTATCGGGTGTCTTATTGAATTTTTTACTGTCGACTCAAGCATTTCGCTCGCACATGTTAGGTTTCCGTACTATTGCGTTTCACTGGGCCTTATTTGCCTGCTCCCAACTCTTCACGCCATAACGGGGCCCTTGCAGAATATACCGCCTCTTTCACTCAATTTTGGTCAGCTTGTGCTGCTGAACACTTTTGCTGCCGTGCATTATTTGATCAGACCTCTCGAGCGAGTAGGTCCAGCCCTTGGCTGGAGACCAAGCCTGTGCGCAATGCATCTGGCCTTGATCTACAGCGCTGTCAAGTTTTCCCAGGTGTTGCTGCTCGCCGTATCTGAGGCTGCCTAATAGGCCACCTGTAGGAGGCTAAGACGGCTGCAATATTACGGCACATTAGAGCTTCGCGTGCCAAAAGACAAGGTAGGCAACTCTACCGTGGCCAAGTCGATTGATTGTGTCTGCGCGAAGAGCCAAAAGAAATAATGATATATTTGCTAGAATGTTCCTCACATGAAATGGCATTATATTGGATGCCAAGATCTTCGAAACAAGCAATGAAAATAGTCAGCAAAGAATATAATGGTTTATTGCACGAATCCTTCTGGTTGATGAGCCTAGCTATACTTAATTACGTATTACCGCTGTTGGAGGAGTCGAAATCTAATTGACAAACGAAGAATTCAGCTCCAAAATTTCTAGTCACTGCCCTCTGTCGATCTTGAGATAAAACAAAAGCTGCGCGCCACGAAAGTTTAAAGAACCGACAGGCTTTTCCTGGAGGAGACATACATTACGAGGAACATTTTTTCCTTCTGTCTAGGCAACCCTCTAGTTATAAGTGAGCTCGGATCTCCAGAGGGAAGATACAATGGAATTCCAAAAAGGCTTAAGCCTAGACACAAACGCTTTGTTTCTCGGGTCTCGTCGCAGACCTCTCAGATCCGGACAATCCAATAAAACCGGACAATTCAATAGAACGTGAGTGACGCTCTTTCGCTCACCAAAGACACACATATCGTCGTCACTCAAGCAAAACGCTATTGCGTAGGTGGCTAGCCAACAGTGCCCGGTCCGCATTTATGTCAGCAAATAGGGTCGATTCCGCTGTAGTGGTCCACAAAGCCACCTCGTGTACTTGGCGGGTAGTGAGTGATCAATCCTCCGGAGGTGGCGACCTGTTCTGGATTCGTTCCATTCCTTCTCCAAATGAGATTCTTTTCCAAATGAAGGCCTTCACGCGAGATAGCAGCGGGGCGAATGATTGGGTTTTTACCGATACAGCTGCTTTCCTGGCCAATTGATCTACAATGTCATTGCCAGGCGCCTCGTAGTGTCCGGGAATCCGTTATAGACGAGTCGCGATGCCATGTGACTTGGTTTTCAGGACCGATTGCAGGATGACATAGATGATCTGTTGTGTTGAATTGTTACTTGGGTTCTGGACAGCTGCAAAGCTGAGATACTGTCGCTGAGGAATGTCGCAGTTCTATTGTGCAAGCCGGTCAACCTCCATCGCTTGAGGGCAGCGCTGTTGATGATATTGATGGCATGCAGATCCCTAGTAGCCGCGACGTGCACCAAACAAATGTCCATAAGCCTGACCTGGACCTGCAGAGACTCCACCCCCTCCATTTTGTCGTCGTGGCTGCTGCCCCCAGGTGCCCTAAGGCTCCCCGAGGCATCTGAGAATACCTCGATATCCGAGTTTGACTGTGCTACCTCTGCTAGTTCCATGATGACTTTCCTGTCTAGTTCGATCTTAATCCTCGAGAAGGCCTCCGGTCTCCAAGGTGGCAGTGGGGTTTGGTCGATAATTCCGGTCTCGTGTAGTCTCTCCAAACGCGTGGTCTTCAAGGCCTCAGCGAGTGGGAACCAGCCATACGGCCCAAGGTTATTCCTTCGCCGGTGAGCGCGTGATAGGACGTCCCAGATAGAATTATTTTGCGGCAGGGTGTGAAGTCTGGTGGTGGTACTCTGTGCACGGTGTCGCAGGCGGAGATCGGTGGGCAGAGCATGCGCCTCAACGTCGAGGGCGGATGTGCCCACTGTTCAGAAACCAGAAATTACACGAATGAGTACTTTACGCTGAACAGTACGCAGGTGCCGAAGGTGAGTCTTGTCTTGTAGTTGTCTTGAAGTGTGTCGTGCCAGACCGTCGACGCGTAGTCGAGGACCGGGTCGTACTGTGCCCCACACGGGCACAGCTCTAATTAGAATAGGCGCTAAACTATAGCCCACTCAAAGGTGGTGCTTCTTTAAAAACAAGTCAAGCTAGGTTTAGTCTTATTTTGAAGAGCTCTTTGATTCCAAGAACAAGTACTCACTGGCGTCAATCAACTTCAACTGGCCCAGAATGGATCTTATTACCAGCATCGCAAAGATCTTCACCGCCGTTTTCACAACAAACCACCCCCACTCCAGCTCGGTAAAAAGACATAATTACCAGGCTAATCAAGCCTGCAACTAATCTACTTCTGCAACAGGGTCGTTATCTAGATTCTTAACCTCGGCATCACCCGTTCTCAAGGCTTATAGCAGAAATACAGCCACAAAAGCGGACAGTTGCTGTCTATCTCATTCGCAAATATCTTCCAGTCGCCACCAGCGCAACCTAGCGTCACAAACGGCAACGAGGCCACGACCGCTCTGCATATTCAGAGCAATCTCCGTGGGTCAAATCAACACATATCTACGTAGTTGCTTTAGCCTGCACGTTGCTTCACGAGGGGTCAGGGTAAATGAATCAAACACACACAGGCTGTATCTAAGAGGTGTGCTGTATCCTAGTACCCTGAAAGCATGCAACTACTCCCACTAATTTGAATTCCCTTTTCGAAGTTCTTTGTCAAGCAAACTCTTTGATATAAATTAAACTGCCTTGGCGGCTAAGTCTGCGGTGCAGTACACTACCTCATTGCACTTTCACGTCGGCTAGGATTCATTGCGCCGGTGCTGGTCCTGGTAGAATACGCTGTGTTGGTCGCACCGAAGATGGTGCCAGAGTTTGTGCGACACTCTCAGGAGGTTGAGTAAAGCCCTGAGTCGGAAAATACATCTCAGGCCTTCCAAAAGAACGAGAATTGGCTGGCGGCTCTGCACCTTGGCTTGTTTCATTTGTGGTCTGCTGCCCACTATTCTCAGCCTCAGTGTCCTGAGTATCGGGCATATTGACGTTGATGCCTTTTTGGCTGCTGGTTGCAGTGTGACCGCAATCCAAATTCACCCCGTCCGTATCCGCATGACCGTGAGTAGTATGATTCAATGTGCTGCACGATGCAGAGCTCCCCGAATGAAAGTACTGGGAAGGTGAACAAGTAACGTTTTCTCCATCACTGTGCACATGTCGCGCTGGTGGGCTCTGCGAGGGCGTCAGGTAAGACACCCCTATCATGGAAGTTGAAGGAGATGAAACCGGCAATTGAAAAGGGCGATTCGACGTTGCTTGCGATGTTACTTCCACTACAGATTGCATGGAACGAGACCTTATCTTCTTTTTCCGGCGCAAGTGCCCGGCGCCTTTCTGATAAAGTATGGCTTGAATGGCCGAAATTGTTCGCGAATGACCGAAGTCCTTCCTGAACTCCAGCTCAATCTCTTTGTCAGTTAGATGGGCCCGGGGTTCGAACCACCCAGGAACACGAGATTTCTCTGCTTCGGTCCATCGGCGACCAGAAGGAAATGCTGAATATCAGAGTCAGTAGGACAAATCCATTTTGGAAGTTGATAACTCACGCATCTTGGCTACATGCTTTTGTGGAATTACTACTGAGACTTCCGTCGGAGTGGCGCCGCTTAAATGAGCGCTCGAGTCGGCCTCAGTCAAGTTTGCCTGCGCAGCCTGAGACCCTCCGAAAATCGGTGAGGCACTTGAGGATTCAAGTTGTGCAAGCATATCGTCTACTTTCTCGAGCACATCTTGGCCTACCTCTGCCACTGGAAAAGGTCAGTTTGGTTTTTCGTCAAGCTTAATGTACCATACTCACTATCCAGAAGTGTGCAACCCCAAGTCGAAATTTCCTTCGCCATCATGTGGAGAACGTCACGCTCCACCTGTACGTCACTTTGATGGAACCGTGGGTGAATTAGTAGTCGCAATTGCCCCGCCGAAATCAAGTGATGATCGAAATGGCACACTTCAACCCGCGCCTTTTGCTGCGGAAGATAGTACTGGTACTTGCCATCCTGATACTTCACCTCCGGAGAGCTCTCGCGAACAACATCGACCCAGCTGACCTCATTGCTGCAAGCTTCGAGAACCTTGGGCCGGGCATCAGTGAACAGACAAGTCATCCTCTGGGCCAGAGCATCACTCATGAGTGGCACTTGGAAGAACCGAGCAAGGCTGTGATCTCCTTTCACTCTATCTTGAAGCTCCTGCAACAAGTTCTGAATGAGCAACAAATCTTCATAGGGACGATGAAAGAACCCTCTGCGAATTTTCTCTTCACACGGCCCAAGACTGGAACAGTTGGGAGAATCGCCGTCATCGCATGTGATCTCTGGATCATCATGTCTAGACTCCATTGGGAAGGAAACTGAGGCCGAAGCAAATATATTAGAATACTATCATCCGTGAAGAAGCAAGACATACTGGGCAAGTGGGCTCGTGACTACTATCTTGGTAACACAATCTGGGACTTTAGCTTTGCTTCGGGTCTGTGATTTAAACTTACTTTTATATCCAAAAGGTCATATCACATGTAATACTGTAACCTGGAAGCGCTGTTGCTACTCCATGTTGGGCTCGTTAATATCTCTTGTCTGGTTTAACTGAACAAGGGATCAGTTGTAGACGAGAGGCGACGCGGGAAATATTGTCTCATAGTCTACAGCCATTCTGGAACGACCAATTGTAAGCGTAGTCGTATGTTGGGTGGCGTTTGAAACAGTCTTTCTTGTCTTTACCTATTCCAAATATGGTAAGCCGAGCCAGCTTGCGAGACTGATGACTCGACTTGCGTGAGACATTTCATGCCACTTGCGGGGATAATCACGAAATCCTTGTCCTCAATGATGTTTCTCGTAGTCGATCAGCAATTATGTTTACTCATCGAATCTTCTGAAGCAAATTGCGGGGGCTTGCACGTCCACCGGGGAATGGAGATTCCGCCCGGCGCACTGTGCACTGTGTACCCGAAGCGCAATTCCGACCCTCAAGGATATTCTGACTAGGGTTATGAACAGGGTGCACGGATACCGAGGAACAAAATTGGGCTTACTTCACCAAATGGCCCGTCACATAAACAGAATCAACAACATCGCCAAATTGTCCAGCCGATTGGGGTCAGCTTTACCCGTTCATAGTTGAAATGATTGTTCACGGGGATAGATCATCCATAGATGTGTCAAGCACATCAGGGAAGTCTCAGTCCACGTCTTATCATCAGCTCATCTCAACACTCTTGTTATTTGGTTCAATTGCTTCACCGCACGGGCACACAGGCCGTTTGCCGCTCTGGGGCGGATTTCTCCAGAACAAGGGGCATTTTATGATTTGGAATTATGACGGCGTCTAAATCATGTCACAGGATGCTTCAGCCTCGTGCCACGAATCACAAAGATGGTCCATTGTTGGTTTTCTCGGTGTCTGCGCACAGTGGATCCGGATCCCTGCAAGCGACAGGGGTGGAGAATTCGACGATCAGTGGAGAACGGCTGGGCCATGTTCGGTCTGAGACCCGTAGCTATCATCCCTCCCCACGCGCGCTATCATCTTGAGCAACCCATCCATGGTAGAGAAATCAGCACAGAATGCTGCTTCGCGTTGAAAGTGCGACTTCAGACAGCGTTCCGGGATGTCTAAGGCTAAATGCAGAGTTCGGTGCTGAGCTGCATCTCCCCTGCGCCATCTGGCATGCCCGGCATGCAAAGCCCACTTGCAGTAACCGCATGTTTTTGTGCCTGCAAATCCACTTTTTAAGCTTCGGTCCTCGTTCTCTCGATCCGGATGATCATGTTACCAGCGGCTAACTACCATGATGATCGTCCTGATTGCCAGAGTAGCGCATGGAGCTGGATGAGGCCGAGCTAGCGGTGCTGGTTGGTTTCGGGCCATCAAATCACCCACAGCGACATGACGATTTGACATTCCATGTCTCTCGGCATTGTCAGGTCTTGTCGGTGGCCTGCGGGGTCGCTTGTGTAATGTGCCTTTGGGGGGGTGCTGAGAGGGGTGGCCTCAAGCCAGCGGTCGGGACGCGCATCTGTCTGACAAGAGTACACAAAAGTACCTCATGTTAAACTGCGAGCTTAGTTAGCAATCTGGGCTGACGCCACTCGGCACTAAGTACGATGAAGCCAAGCACGCGAGCGGGCCCGACCAAAGTGGGACCCAGCACGAACTTGACGACGTTGGTATAATCATTTCGAGAGCTACTACTGTCCTGGTGCCAATTGGGGAATTATTTTGCCGAAGCAAATTCTAGGGCTTGCAAGATTGTGATCGATCAGGCGGAGACAATCTACCCCATTTAATTCGCCTTCTTTCTTTTGTTATAGTGCGGGCGAAATGACACGCATCTCAAAATGGTAGATTGTTCTAAAATTGATAGCTTGAAATACGGTTCAAAGCGCGCCTAACCTTGAGGATTATGAGTTGATACAAAGTGAATTAGCCTCGGCTACAATAAAAGAATACATATAGATTGTCATGTCGAGCAGCGTGTCCAACAATAAATAGAAGTGTTTGCTTAACGTGGAAACATCCACACCTCATATCACTGGTCCCTGCGTGCCCCTTCTATCCCAGTCGATCGGTAATTGAGACCCGGTAGAACACTCTCCAGAGATGTGACATCCACCATGGCTGGTTGATGGTCAAGATCGGTGGTCTTGCAACGGCTAAGCCTGAATGGAAGATAATGTATCAGCATATTTTCTCAGGAGTAGTTGACGCAGGGTAGTACTCACCCTCCACGTCTCTTAGATTCTCTTTTAGCTGCGTAGAAGGTGCAAAGCGATAACTCGATGCTTGGGCGGAGGATGCAGATGTTTGAAAGAACCGTCGCTGACGCTGGAGTCTCTGACGAGTGCCTCTCTGTGCTTGGCCTGGTAGCGGCCGACGACGCCGAATACCCCGAATTAATTGATTCAGCTTGCCACGCAGTGACTCGCCGGATCGCTTTATTTGGAATTGGTCATAATATGCGTCAGACTTTTCCTCCCATGATAGATGTTGATTATTGTATAGCCATCCCCGGAGGTTATTCTCCTCCCACGAGGGCCAAGGAGTGCGATCTGGCATAGCTAAGCCACGGATGACGAGGTATTATGACAGAAATGAGACAGGAATATGGAGGAACTCAAGTCAACGGTCAAGGGCAGCTAAAATCTGCACGGGAAACGCGGGAATGCGGAGTTTCTTATGAGTTCTCAACGCTTGCTGAAAGATACAATGAATGTGTGCACGAATGTGGTTGTTCTTTGGAACGGAAGCTGGATTTGGGGATACCGAGCTGTGCAAAAAGCGGCGTTGGGTTGGCGTTCAATTGTGATAGACGCTGGTTAAACCTCGCGAAGCGCGTGAAACCTGAGGTAGTATCGAGATGAACGGTGAAAGCCACCAACAAACAACTACGGGTACTATTGGGTGTGTTTTTTTTCGTGCTTTGAGGGGTTGACATGGATAGGAAATGGGCAGTTGCCGGTTCAACAGCCTCTGATTCGTGCGATCAAGGGTCACAAAGCATAATTCAGCAGCCTGTAGACCACTAGAGCTTTTCACAGGCTGATCTGCTTTTTCACAGTCTCGAGGGCGTTACTGTGCCAATCATGCGAAGGCTCCAGTCCAGGATCTACATAGATAGATATGAAATTGTCCAATTTCTACCCTGCGAGAAGTTAGCAAGCGTCCGACTCGAGGCTGTCTGACTTGGACCCCAGCAAGTGTGTTATTTCGGATGACTAGACGGTTCAAATGACCTTTTGGCTCAATCTTGACCGCCCCGCCCCGAATATAAAGTTGGTTGTCGTGCTAAGTACACCGCAAGGCCTTCGCTTCCGTCTACTAGAACTAACAACCACCCTTTAAAGTCAGTATGCTTGACAAAGGGACCCGTTACCGAGATCGACTACGCTCACTGGATCTATGGAGCCTTCCCAGTTCTGTCGCGAACTCGGATGATGAAGGGGACTCGGCGTCTCATAAGTTGTCCGACAACGAGGTGGCTGAAGAAGCCCACGACGCAGCACACCAACACGAAACAGATGATGTCTCCCTTCAAAGCTGGCCTGTCAAACCTCAAAGTGTGGTCGAGTCTGATACGGAGCCCCCTAAGCGGAAATTACCTCGCATCTCGGAGGAAATCACGCATGCACTGATGAAAGAGTAAGTCTATACAACCTCGTCATCAATCTGTTCTACAATTATTGACAGCCTATCAGCTTAGACGTGAGAACCCAGTGCGTGCCTCCGGTCTCTCAGCCTTTCTTCTACGTTCTAAAGCCACAAGCTGACCAAGATCTAGATCCGTCGAAGGGCGACTTGAAAAGCACAGTGAGAATAACGAGCGGCTCCAAAAAACTATCAAAGCCTTAACCCGCGACATGAAGACAATCAAATCCGCGCTTGCCATTGTGGAAAAGAAATTAGATGGGAGTTGCCCTAGTATAGGAGATCCTGTGGGGGAGCGGAAGGTGACTCGCTCTAAGCGCCCCAGCCAGTAAGGTCTCGAGTCTCGATGCGCCGCACCGTAGCGGGTGCGTCAACAGACAGTCATGTGATTTATCGGGGCAGAGCATAGGAAATACAATTTAGCATTCGTCACTAGAAGCACGTGTGCATGCTTGAGTCAGATTATCCAAAAATTGTACTGGGCCTGGATGTCTTTCCAGGGTTGCGCACGGACATGATCATCGCCCTAGCTTCGCGCTGGGAAATCCCGAAATGACTCTTCGTTTGATCAAACTAAGCCGAGTAAAGCAATTGTAAGCTAGGTAGGCACGAGCGAACATTCAAGTACATGGAAGCACTGCTCTGCTTGTTTCTTCTGCGTCCCTGTCCATGCGCAGGCGAAAGGATCCGCTTCCTGCGCGGTACGCACGTCATCGAGCCCTCAATCCAGCCGAGCCACTACGAAGTATGATCGCCGCCACATTTTCTCCGTTCAAGTCGCCCCTGTCAGGGCCTTTCACGCTCCTGCGCTAGTGTGCAACCTAGTCCCACCTACCCCTCTTTTCTATTCATCCGCTCTGTGCATAAACCGGCCTCCGACGATGATCGCATTCTCTTCAGATCAAGTCGGATATGAGAAGAGACCGCGGCATAGAAGGGGAACCGGACACATGATGGTCATTTGCTCGTGATGGCGGGTGGAGACCGTTCAGGGAGGAGTGGGGAAAACCAAGGAAGTGTTGGTTTTACTTGCCGTCTGCGCTATCTGGCCTAAGCCTTCCCGAGTTCATTTTCTCCTTAACGGGTTCACGTTGCTCAAACGTGAGGCTTTGGGCTAGTAAATCTGGCTGATAACAATATCCCTTCGCAAGAGCATGCCACCTCTCGTTCGTGTGCTGTCAAATGGGTCGAGGTATACCTCCGCCGGGAGGCAGGGGCCGACGTCGATCGGGCCCGGACCGACGATAGGGAATTGAATTTGCCACCTGACCACCCAACCAACATCAAGCAGACCCCGTTGGCCAGATCTAGACCTGCAGTAGCCGGCGGCGAGTCATGCTCGCGCACTGGCCCCTTAGCGGTTGGTGGTGTAAACTTTAAATTCTCCGATGTGATTCCCGATTAGCAGTCAGTAAATGTGATCTACGACGTATGTCAAAATAGGTCCCGTTGCGGCCGAATGGCGCTATGCATTGGCCAGCAGGTCTCAGTCGCGCTCTGACCTTCCAGAATACATTTCTCGATGGGCTCTGCTAAATTCTCAGCTATATTCTTTATTGATGCATTGCGTTGCCGCTGAGATATATATGATTGGCAACGAAAGTCCGAGCGCAAAACGCCAACCAACATCGCAAGATTTGAATTGCTCTGCACACCCTTTCTGTCACGTACTGCTAGAGCAAGGATCATAAAATCAACACCTAGGCATTAGGCCCGGAACTCGGAACAAGCGGGTTGGTGGAGGGGAATGCACCATTTGTGCCAGGTAATGGGGCGCTTGGGAACACCTGGTTACCCATCTCCCCCATAGGCCCCGAGTTCTGCAGATATGGTGGCTGTAGCACGTCTGAGAATGTCGCCAGGTAGGAATTTCTCAATTCATCCCTACGGCCCCAGATACGGGCCGCCGTGGTGGATAGATCCCCATGTATCATGCCTAAGAAAGTCTCCATATCTGCCTGCGGCCATTGGTTCAGGCTATTGGCATTGCTTGTCGCCGTCTCAAGGCGGCTTTGCAACTGAAGATTTTCGGTTCGCACCCTCTCGCATTCCTCCATGGCCTGCTTTCTGTCAGCCACCAGGTGCTGAATTTGAGTAGAAAGCTGGGCCTTTTCCGTTCGGTGCTGCTGTGCAGCCTGTTGAGATTGCTGCCGTTCTTGAGCCACCAGATTGGACAATCGCTCTTTGTCGTCTTCGGCTTCGTCCAGAATTTTCAGACATTTGCGGTGCGTCTTGTTCCACTCCGACTGTTTTGTAGGACTTGTTTTCGATGGTTTGGATAGACGGTTCTGAGAGCCGAAGGTTTTAGTAAATGCCCAAGGCTTGCAAGAAGGGAAATCTCCACTACACCAGGCGATCGGTACGCTGGAGGGCTGGGTGTCACCTCGGAGTCCGATTCGGAATTTGCTGTCACTGGTCTTGTGCTCGCGATCCGGTTCGATCCCAGGTTGGCGCTCGAGGTCTTCCGGACCTTCTGCCGCGACGACATAAGATCTTGGGACTCAGTCTTAGACAAGTGGGAATGCGGAAAAGCTTCAGCCACCTAAATGCCAATGAATACAAGGATAGTCAGATGCGTCTTTATGAGGTATGACCGGGTGAAGCAGGCTTGCGAAGGAGTTAGGCAGGCATGTTGCATAAACGGCGTTCTTATCGTTTACTCTGAACGGCGCACGCGAGAGGACTAGACCGCGGCCTTTCACTAACTGAGCCATGGTCACATTGCCACGGTGTGTGGGGCTTGCAACCCGGGATCGTAATTATGAACGAGGCTGGCCAGCTCAACCAACAGACTGGTGGTTTAGGCGTAGACAACCAACAAACCAATGTATTCTCCACACCCCCTCGTCTCTCTCGATTGTTCCGGTGTTAATAAGCTAGTATCGGGATTACCAAGCGCAGCACGGCACAAAGCATGAACCGGGATTAGACGAAGCAGCCAGACCTATTCTTGCCGGCATCAAAAGGTGCCGGCTTTCAGCATCCGCTTTCCCCGGGTGGGATCACGGCCGGGCTTTGAGTTCACCAAATTAATTGTATCAGTGACCTATATACTCTGTAGTACACTTTATATCAGTCTCAGTACGGTAGAACGGTACAGTACATGACGTAGCTGTCAGTTGTCGACAAATCATGCTTGAATGCTTGTCGGAGCTGAGTATTGCAAGAGCAAGGCTATCTACAATTTTGTTGAATAACGCGCAGTATGTATTTCTGGTTCAAATGTGTCAAGTCTAGTCTGATCCTTCGCAGATCTGTCCCCTCTTCTGTAGGTGCCGAGCCACGCACGGATACTTTGTTAACACCAATCAAAGTTCTTTTTCCCTGTCCCTTTCTTTTATTCCTCCTTCCGGGCTTGAACGGCAGGGATTAAGGTGACATCGACTGCTGTGACATGCAAGCCAATCCGCCATCGAGCGAATGAAGTGGGGTAGCAGGTCTTGCAAATGAGGGGGAGATTTTTTCTTCCAACCCAGATCCAAAAAATAAAAGGCCATGAAAATCCATTTGTTGACAGCCAGGATCAGGTTCTGACCTCGGCCACCCCCAGCCTTATGCGGGAAGAGCAATGCTACTGCTAAAATGGCAAAGGCCCACTCAGCCTGGCGAGCTTGATGCTCGAGCGAACGAGAAGGTCCCCTCAACCTGGCGAGCGTTATACTCGAGCAAATATGAGAAAGGCCCACTCAGCCTGGCGAGCTACGTGCTCGAGCGAACGAGGAGGTCTCCTTAACCTGGCGAGCTTGATGCTCGAGCGAACGAGAAGGTACCCTCAACCTGGCGAGCGTTATACTCGAGCGAATGTGCGAAAGGCCCACTCAGCCTGGCGGGCTTACTGCTCGAGCGAACGAGGAGGTCCCCTCAACCTGGCGAGCTTGATGCTCGAGCGAACGAGAAGGTACCCTCAACCTGGCGAGCGTTATACTCGAGCGAATGTGCGAAAGGCCCACTCAGCCTGGCGGGCTTACTGCTCGAGCGAACGAGGAGGTCTCCTCAACCTGGCGAGCTTGATGCTCGAGCAAACGAGAAGGTATCCTCAACCTGCCGAGCGTTATACTCGAGCGAATGTGCGAAAGGCCCACTCAGCCTGGCGAGCTACATGCTCGAGCGAACGAGAAGGTCCCCTCAACCTGGCGAGCGTTATACTCGAGCAAATATGAGAAAGGCCCACTCAGCCTGGCGAGCTACGTGCTCGAGCGAACGAGGAGGTCTCCTCAACCTGGCGAGCTTGATGCTCGAGCAAACGAGAAGGTATCCTCAACCTGCCGAGCGTTATACTCGAGCGAATGTGCGAAAGGCCCACTCAGCCTGGCGAGCTACATGCTCGAGCGAACGAGAAGGTCCCCTCAACCTGGCGAGCGTTATACTCGAGCAAATATGAGAAAGGCCCACTCAGCCTGGCGAGCTACGTGCTCGAGCGAACGAGGAGGTCTCCTCAACCTGGCGAGCTTGATGCTCGAGCAAACGAGAAGGTATCCTCAACCTGCCGAGCGTTATACTCGAGCGAATGTGCGAAAGGCCCACTCAGCCTGGCGAGCTACATGCTCGAGCGAACGAGAAGGTCCCCTCAACCTGGCGAGCGTTATACTCGAGCAAATATGAGAAAGGCCCACTCAGCCTGGCGGGCTTACTGCTCGAGCGAACGAGAAGGTCCCTTCAACCTGGCGAGCGTTATACTCGAGCAAATATGAGCAAGGCCCACTCAGTCTGGTGCGCGTTATGCTCGGGCAAATGAGAGAAGCGAGGCCATCACTTATGTGGTAAGAGTAAGATCCACCTCGCGAGCCGGCTCGGACTTCGTTCTCCACTTTGCCGCGTCGCGCACTTCGTAGATGGAAAATTAGTAATCCAGTCTTCCACATAAGGCTGGGATCTGCATTCACTGTAGCATATCACTTTGTTAGCTGGACATCAAAGCAATGGTTTGTTTGGCAGTGTCAGAACCTCGGCAAACGGGTCTCCAGTGCCACCTTTAGTTTCTGGATCCCGACGAGGGTGTCGGAAGCGTCGGCCTTGTTCAACGTTTATTTAAGATCAACGTTTATTTAAGATCAACGTTTATTAAAGATCAACGTTGAAACTAAGATCAACGTTTAAATATATTCGAAAACTTCGATTTTTGGGGCATTCTCGAGTTTCTTCAACACCACGTAAATATTGTTGAGAATTCATCGATTCTGTGGACCAAAGCCAGCGTATGCGAGGTGGCGAGAATGATTCCTCCGCATCGTTTTCTTCAGTAGCGTTCTCACAGAGACGATCATAGTAATGTCAACTAAAACTACAAGTCTAAATATCGTTCGTGTAGACAAGCCTGTCTGTGTAGAATGGTTAGTGGTATAGGGTTGCCGTAGTCATAGAGAGCGACCGTTGGTAATGGGTGGTTGTTCATAGAGTGGTCGTTCATAGAGTGGTCGTTCATAGAGTGGTCGTTCATAGAGTGGTCGTTCATAGAGTGGTCGTTCACAGAGCGGTCGTTCACAGAGCGGTCGTTCACAGCGATCGTTCACAGCGGTCGTTCACAGAGCAGTCGTTCACAGCGATCGTTCACAGCGATCGTTCACAGCGATCGTTCACAGCGGTCGTTCACAGAGCAGTCGTTCACAGAGCAGTCGTCCAAGCTGTTTGTCTAACGAGCCTCCCCGGTGAAAAGCAATTTCCTCCACCCGCATTACTTCACTCGAACGGTTCATTGCCCTAAACTGATAGATCTCTTGTTTCCGCGAGTACCAAAGGATCACCGTTCGTGCAACATCCCTCTTGCACGAGAACAGCCCAAGAAGTGGACTAGTAACCCAAATCTCCATGCGCTGTTAGGGAGGACGAGGCGTCTCATGCGTCTTGCACAATCGCACTTTACACGAGCATAAGCACAAGCACGATGTCGATGCGCAAATCCTTCAACGTTGAGCTCCTACTGTTGACCGGTTGTGCAGTATGCCTGCGGAGCAGGCTCTCGCCCTGTGACTCCACGATATCGTAGCCTGGAGTCCTTGGTCACATAAGGTATAGCAACTAGCCGGCACTTGAACAGCACTTGCTCGTTCAGGTCAGATCTGGCTAATTTTCGCGTCACCTCCATAGTCCAAACCGAACATCCACGGAGGCCTTGACGGGTGAATACGAAGCGAGCATCGGATCGTCAGAAAGGGTGACGTGACTGCGGGTCTTGGCAGAAATGCGGATTACACGGTCAAGAACGGAGCCCCTCCCCTCTTCCGCTGGCAGGCCTAATCAACCTCCTGACTGACAATAACGGACGCGCGGTTTTATCGGTGAAAATATTGCTTCAGAGTACAGTAACAGTTCTAAATATTGCCAATACTCCAATTATTCCGCCGCTCACCTTTAAATCACTTCAATGCCCTTTGTTCCGAACCCGATCCATTTTGCTCCACTCTCTCTAGATTTTGCCCAATTCTAGAAATGCACTTCCCACAACATGCTCTTTTTCTTGGCCTTTTTGCCAGCATTGCGCTTGGTGGCTCTCTGAGAATCATAAATAATAACAAACAGTGCATGGTGTGGTCCGAGGATAATTATGGGTGTACGGGCTCCTCCGCCCCTTTCGCTAAGCTTGATGGAAAAGATTGTTCCGGTAAATCTCACGCTATGACATTGACCGCGTCAAGAACTGATAGGGACTAGATTTCACCACAGACCATGACACGGTGAAGCTTGATATATGTGGTACAAAGGATGGGCAACAGCTCGCCTGGGTAGATGTGGACAAGAAAGGCACGGTCTCTTTCTTGAATATACAAGGCAATACATTCACTTGTGCGTTGGACAACAAATTCATGATGGATAGCAAGTGTGATCATGCCAGTGCGAGCACATCTTCCGCGTCGAGCCGATCGTCTACACCCATCTCCAGCCAATTGAGAACTTCCATTTCTATCTCCCAGTCCTCGGCCCCAGCATCGACTCTGCCTGCCGCATGTTCTTGTGTACTGGTTGTTGTATGATCCACGGTGATACACAGCCTGTAAGAACTAGGACTTGGCGACCTCGCATGACAAATTCGGAGATGTATGAGGTAGTACCCGGAGAATAGGACAGCCGTGCTCCTTTAGTTACTTCAACATCGTGTTTTGATTGGAGAACGCAGATGATTTTCACTCCTTATCTTGTTGGCTTATCCTATACAGTATCATGCTAGTCTAATCCGATACGCTTAGTTCGTTGGACAGAATGAATGACTACGTAAGCAAGATTGCCACTGACCAGAGCCTCGGCCTGGCCCCGCCAACGCTCGTGCTCACTATGCCACAGCGAAAGTCATCTAGCGAAAATAAGCGCCTCTGGAAGGTCCAAATGGCCGCATCCTTGGACCTGAGATGCCCCGACATGGATACTATACTTCAGACTCAATGATGCGATTGTAAATAAATATTTAGAATACTCTTGTAGTATATGGCCTGTCCACCATCCAACCACCATTCCCGCGCCAGGTCGTTCATTGGCAAAGTTCCGCCTCGGCACCCATTTTGACGTTGTTGTGGTACGCTTCCTCATCGCTTTCCTCGAAAGTCAATGTAATTTCCTGTTTCCTTATCAATGGTCTTCTACCCAGGGATCAGTTCCTTGAGTCATACCGTCGGATAATCCGGGGGAAAGGTCGACTGTATAATGCGGCGTTCTCCATCGTGGGGCCGGCGAACGATAACGATGTGTACCACCTCCAATCCAAGCAAGCTTGCAAGTCGAGAAAGTAGTCGAATCATTACTCAGTGAGGATATAGTAGCCGTTGGCGTGTTCGTGTGGGAATCGCCGGTCTCGGAAAAACAGTCGGACACTGCGAAGAGTCATAGGACGTGTAGGGTTGGAAGGGAGATATACAGCAGCTTGTCGTTTACTAAAGCTGCTTAATTCTGTTTATCAAGCTTAGTATCTCGAAAGCAGTTTTCATAGATTATGAGAGCACAACCAGATGAACGGTCTGTTGCATAATTGGGAATGTCGCCGACCAGGCCGATAATGTCCTGTCTCATTGGTGACAGGTTCCTTAGTTAAGCATATAAACGTTGGTGCTCTGAAGCAGATATAGGACGCGTTTGCTGCAGGCCTTCACTGCATCGTTCCACGTACTAGTATCATTAATCAATTCTCAGTCCATTTCATTTGATAATCTAATACGTTGATTATGAACCATCAAATCACCAGGCAGTGTGTAGATTAGTAATTGAGCTTAGTATTCAACTCATTGGGAGTGGCAGGGTCAGAATCACACACGCACACACGCACAGGATACATATCTTGATCGGCATATTACAGTCGACTCTCGTAAGCAAAACTCTGGGATGCTGCACTTTATCGTAAGCAACCCCCTTTTTCTATGGACGCCCCACTTTTTCGAGTTTTCCCAAATATGAGAAGCCAAAGCTGCACCCCTTGCGATGATGCAGGTTTTTCTTCTAACCCCGCTTAGTCATCACTATCCGACCAATCAGAATGCATAATTCTAGTCCTTCAACCCTTCCACTACGCCTTCTACTAGGCCTTCTACTATTGCCCTCGATGCGAAGCTACCCCTACCTAGGCGGCCGAATAAGAGTATGCTCAGCACAAGGCTTTACGGGCCTTTGCATCCGAATATCCTCTACCTACCCACCGTGCATGCGTCGAATGGTTTCGTGATGAATTTGGCCGTATCATTGATCGGACTACTGTTTCGAGAGTCCTTTCATCTCGATATGACTATCTAGATCATGTCACTGCAAGCAATGTGACGCGGAAGTCTTTTGGCCGATATTAGATGAGGCCTTATTCGGATGGCACAACCATCTTGTAGGGCCAACCAATCACCGGGCCTCTTATGCGGATGAAGGCTATACAGCTTTGGAGGCAATCGATGCATACAAGCACCTACCACAGCCTATTTTTTCTGCTGGCCGGCTTACTGGCTTTAAAAGGCGATATTCAATATCATGGCATACCTTCCATGGCAAAGCGGCTTCTATTGCTGAATCAATCCATACACAGATGAATGCTATCCAGGCTATATGCGACCAGTATGAGCCTGATAATATCTATAATACGGAAGAAACGAGGCTTTTCTGGTGCCTTATGCCGAATGATAGCCTTGCATCTAAGGGCCAAACTGGCCAGAAGAAGGATAAAGCACGTATTACTGTGGTGGCTGCATGCAATGCGACTGACATAGACCGTCTGCCTTAATGGGTAATAGGTAGTGCTCAGACACCGCGCGCATTACGTGGAGTCAATATAGCGTCAATTGGCTGTATTTGGAAGTGGAATAGTACGGCATGGATGAAATCCGATATCATGGTACAATGGTTTCGTACCATTTACCTTAGAGTTGGTAGGCAAAGGCCTATATTGGACAACTTCCCGGTTCATGTCACATCCATACGAATAGCTCCACCCTCGCCTAATATTGAGGTGGTGTTTTTCCTTGCAAACGCTTCATCTATCTATCAGCCCTCGGATCAAGGTATCATGAATAATCTGAAGCATCATTACCGCAAGAATTGGATGGTGTGGATGATAATTATGCTGGATAGGAGTGTTAGCCCACGTGAGCAGATGAATCTAAATCATGCCCTTCGCTGGCTTTGTATAGCATGGAAGGTTAGTGTATCAGAATATGATATTTTCTATATTGAGGCTTTGATGAAGCTACACACAAAGCTACAGATAGATGGGAGAAAACAGAAGACACTGGAGGAGAGGGGATTCAAACCTAAATAGGAAATCAGAGCTAGGGCTAACTAGAATAATGCAGGATTATCAATTCTTGGCAGGTTCGCGGGTACTCTACGCGGGTACCTGAAAAGCAATATGGTAAGGTCTATTTATGTGCAGGATGTCGGAATTCGGTCGACTGAATGCTTAATGTGCAGGCTATTGAAGCACCTTCAACTACATCTCGTTCACGTTTAACCATAGAGTCCTGCGTAGTTCTAAATGATGGTGCCCCACATCAAGCTAGACATAGTGTCTGTCTGAGGTAAAGAGCATCACCAGAACTGCCATCTGAGGAAATGCTTCACATGGCTTCCATCCGTGCGATGAATCAGAATCAAAATTTGCTGTACAATAAGATTTGTTTGTAGATAATGAGCGAATTAAATGTTCTGTGCGGGGTATCCCTATTGCGCTTAATCCATGCTGCGTAATATGCCTGTCCAACGCATACTCGACAGTGCAGACTTCAGCCGGGCGCCGAAGTCTTCAGTCTTGCTGCACGTCTACTATAAGACAGTAAATAATGACCCGAACTGAAACCCCTTACCCTCCAAACCCATTTCTTAAATTGACATACTTGGAAGCCCTGAAATCAAGCTCGTTCTCACTTTGGTCCAAGGACTCAATGCCGCCGAAAGTTGAAACGACCTAGCACAGTGGTTAGTACTTCTTTAGCGAGAGTAGCCTGAATACAAACCGTCGAGATTAGGCTTTCGGATCCTGTCTTGTCGCCGCTACTCTCCCACCACATCGCCCCACCTAGACCTTTGGACATGATGTACTCTGCTTTCTTCTTCGCTACCTGCGGCGTATCAAAACTAACCATCATCTTCTGGGCTGTATCATAGCTGTAACTTGCAACTAGTCTGTCTATATAGGTGACTTGCGCTCCTGGAAGCGGCAGGGCCTTGTAGTCCCACACGCCCTTTTCCCAACTACCACTGCCTACATCGGCGTAGCTCGAGCCAGGTCCATCGGTTCCGCTAAATGAACGGCCATAGAGGGGCATACCTAGCACAATCTTCGCTGGATTCACACCCTTACTGGTGTAGTATTCGATGGCTTGGGCGGTGTTGAATGGTGTGCTAGTGGAGTTTCCACTTGAAGGGAATACATTTGCATCATGACCAGCGATACTATCCCAACTTCCAGAATAGTCATATGCCATGAGATTCCAGAAGTCAAGATACGGGACCATCTCCGCGAGCTGCAATTGCCGGTAGTGCAATGGGCCTGTATTCACGATCAGTAACGGCCCCACCGTTTGAAGAGAAGACCAACCGGCAGGGCTTGCGACAGTAATCAAAAAATGATAGCCGTTCGCATTTTCGGCACTATAATCATCCAAAGCCTTCCGTATAATTTTAGTGTCACAGCAATTTGGGTAAGGGAGGCAAGTTGTATGTACTGAGCGCAATGCCTTTAGTGTGGCTACCAGGTTGCCTGCTTGCGTGCTGTCCGCCGGATACTACCTGATATTAGCTTTGCCCTTGCGGTTTTCCGACGTGTATGTAGCTTACCTCCCAGTCAATATCAAGCCCATCAAGTCCGAGGTTTTGCACAAACGCGACTGCAGAGGATGCGAATTTAGTCCTGCTTGCCTCCGTGCTTAATGCCCCCGGCATGTTCGCCGAATATTCCCAGCCGCCTATGGAGAGCAGCACTTTGAGCTTGCGGTTGTTTTGTTTCAATAGAAACAGCTGCTTGATGCAGCCATAAACATTGCTTCCAATTTCATCCCATGAGTCCGTGGAAAAGTGTTTGTCCGTATCGGCCCAGTTGTCAGACAGGAATACTTCTCCATCGGCCCTTACGTTTGCGAATGCGTATAAAACGTGCGTCAATTTCTCAGTGGGAAGGCTTTGGGGATCAAATTTTCGACCGTATATAGCCTATCGGATGTCAATACGTCTTCAACAGCCGGGTGATACGCTCAACACTGACCCAATTGACATAGTACGCCACGGTACGGTATGCCGCAAGTGAATCTCGGGGAAGCGCTTGTGATATCTCTTCGGCCAAAGCTAGATTTCCGGCGAGCGTATGAGCTAAAATATGAGGTAATACCGACATAAGACCCATTAGCATTACCACGAGGCTCTTCAAGCTCCGAGTCATCATCATCATGGTTAAGCCGGGGTGTCAAGCACCAAGGTATATATCTATTGCACTGAAAGATTCTCTGTAAACACAGAAAAAAAGTAGCCTTGAGATATAGAAGTTTTTCTCTGGAAATCGAGAGCGTGCAGGTACTATACAATATGAAATGATAAGTTTACCGATTTTTATTGCGTAGATCAATCGAGCAGAGACTAGAGATTTGTGATTAAATTTAGCGCATGTGCAGAATATTCTTACCAAAGCGCTATAGTTTAAAGGTTCCTTGGACTGGGCATTAGCGATGAGAAGGTAAACTATGAGCAAGGAGATTTGTAAGGCACTGAACACGCCGTCATCCTTACCAGCGGGCCACTTTTCAACGGCCCTCATACCTCCCTCCGCACGCCCTGGGATTGCACGTTCTAGGATAATCAAATAAAAAAAAACTAAGTTTCTAGAGAAATTTTGTCATTAACGTTTTGTAAACAAGCGACAAAAACAAGCGATAGACGGTAGAAAAAAGGGGCAGAAACAAGCGGCAGATATTCAACGGAACCCTTCGCACCATATCTGCAGAGCCAAGAAAAATTTCTGGTTGAAAACGTTTTCAAGTATACAGATTGGCTGAGTCGGCAAATGTGTTGAACAATCAATCAGATCGGGATTTTGCAGTAAACCATCTGATTTCTTTCTGGTCCGCCTGAGCTGGTTAGCATGAATTCAAACAAACAATGCAAAAATGTGCTCACATCAAAATGAACAATAAGGTCTTGTTTCGATTCGATCCAATGGAGTTCAACCTCATCACAAGCGTGCTGAGGCTCGCCGTGCCAATCCAGGCTCCGATCGATGTCATTCTTATTCTTGACTTTGAAGGCAGTTATTTGCCCGGAATGTGTTTGAGCAAAGCGCAAGCCCCGCAGCGCTTGAACTTCAAGATTTATCAAGCGTACACCTGGAATTCCGATTGGACAGCAGCCCATTGGCTTTCCATTACACGCCAAGCCGACTAAGCGATATAGTCGGGATTTGTTGCAAGAGACAAAGAAGAAGCTTAGCCTTCGGCATTTCTCAGCTGGTATACGATACCTGATATACTTTGCAACGCCTCTCAATTGATGATCGAGTTTAATCGTTTCAAGGTCAGGGAAGCTCTTCATAGCCTTGACCGCCTCTTGGACATTGTGCCATACCACACGGAAATTGTACGCCTTTGGAAACCGAGATGCATCACTTTCTCTCAGATTTCTCACTACCCTCTCTAGAGAAAGCCTCACATTTGGGCTTTTGTTCATGCTCACAGAATATGAATTCGCCATCACCATCCACTGCGCTAGACAAGGATCCACTTTTCTCAATTCATCGATCGTCAGGATAGCCTGGTTCTGGTCAAGCAATTGAGAGACTTTGGAAAGTACACTTTTCGACAGCAATTGCCGACAGCCATCCTCGGCCGACATTACGGACATAGAGTCGGAGTCGGTGAAGAGTTCTAGATCAATTGAATTTGTCTCAATGTTGAACGGCGTTTCTTCCGCAAGAGGACTCAGAAACTTAATGTGTTTGAGCAATTCGAAACGGTGAGACACGCTAGGAATTGAATCACCGACAACCTTCTGTGCGATCTCCCAGCAACAGACATGTATAGAGGGATTATGTCCAGGCTCACACATTTGAGCAGGCAGAAAATCACCATCCTTGCCAATGAAAGGTGGTTGGTGAAAACACTTCCAATTATCTTTGATACCGGAGGAAATCTGGAACGGCCGGCGGCAGATCCAACAGAGGTGAGAAAATTCCGTCTCGTTCGGCGATGGCTTCATTCGAGGACGAGAAGTGTTCTCCGATGCTTCTGGATTGGCGTGATGTTGGGCCCCTATGCCGAAGGCACTGGTTTTGCCAGAAGGGAAGGGACTGCCCGAAGTTGATGGACTACCAGAAGGCGAGGGAATACCAGATGGCGAGGGACTACCCGAAGGCGAGGGACTGCCCGAAGTTGATGGACTACCAGAAGGCGAGGGAATACCAGATGGCGAGGGACTACCCGAAGGCGAGGGACTGCCCGAAGTTGATGGACTACCAGAAGGCGAGGGACTACCAGATGGCGAGGGACTACCAGATGGCGAGGGACTACCCGAAGGCGAGAGACTACCCGAAAGCGAGGGACTACCCGAAGGCGAGGGATTGCCAAAAGATCCGACATTAGCAAAGGGTCCACTGCCGGTAGGAGTTCTGGCGTTATCAAAAGGCCTAGTGGTTGCGGACGGCCCTCGACTGGCAGGTGGCCCGGTACTTGCAGATGGCCCGGTACTGGCAGAAGTTCCGGCACAGGCATTTCCGGCGTTCAGAGGTCTAGCAGTACCCCTTCTGGAATGAGAAACTCCGAACCGCGGACGGTTTGCGCGATGCGCACGAGCCATGCGTTCTTGGTAGAGTCTCGTTGCATTGAGATGCTGCCAAAGTTCCTTATTCGGTAGAGGCGGTACCCGTTGTGGCCCGGTACTGGCAGATGGTCCGATATTGGCAAAGGGTACACTACCGGTAGAAGCGTTACCAAAAGGCCTAGCGGTTGTGGACGGTCCTCGGCTGGCAAGTGGCCTGATATTGGCAGAAGTTGCGCACAGGCATTTCCGGCGTTCAGAACCCTTTCTGGAATGAGAAGCTCCGGTACGCGGACGGTTTACCCGATGCGCCTGACCCAAGCGCTCTTGTTCGAGTCTCATTGCATTGAGACGCATCCAAAGTTCCTTATTCGGTAGAGGCGGTACCCATTGTGGTCCGGTACTGGCAGATAGTCCAACATTGGCAAAGGGTACACTACCGGTAGGAGCGTTACCAAAAGGCCTAGCGGTTGCGGACGGTCCTCGACTGGCAGGTGGCCCGGTACTAGCAGGTGACCCGGTACTGGCAGAAGGCCCGGCACTGGCATTTCCGGCGTTCAGAGGTCTAGCAGTACCCTTTCTGGAATGAGAAGCTCCGGGCCGCGGACGGCTTACCCGATGCGCCCTATCCAAGCGTTCTTGTTCGAGTCTCATTGCATTGAGACGCATCAAAATCTCCTTATTCGGTGGACGCAGAACCAAACTTGGCACACGTTTTGGAAAAATGTCTATTTAAATCATAAGCATTGGTGAACACAGGTTGTCACTGAAGTTTCCGTTATCTCAAAACTTCATCCAGGAGAAAGGCGAACCTTGAGAAGGATGCGCAGGATTCGCCATTGGTAGGATTTAGAGAAAGCGGAAGAAAGATACTGTCTTGAAGGGGTAGGGGTGCCACATATAATGGTGCTCTAAAATAACTAGGCTCGTAGGGATGCCCTTCCACGGCTATCTCGGCCCGGTACTAGAAAATTCCAAGCTATTGACGAGCTAGGAAGTTATACAGATTTTCTCATGAAGCTTCCGGTCTGTTGCCTTTGACGTATGCAAACAGTCGTATTTCTTAGACGGTATAAGTTTCCCAAGCCCGCATTGGAATCCAATAAGAGAAAAAGTCCCCAATTAATTAGCGATCGCTACGGACAGACAGGAGAGAAAGCGAAATACCAAAAAAGAATTGTCACGGATGGCGGTATTAGCTTGTGGCCTCAGCGAACCTTTACCACCGAGTATTCCAGCCCCCAACGGCTCTGCTGATCAATTGATGCCCCACTCACGAGCCGTGCGCCAAAGTTGGCTCGGTTCCAATCCCGATGGAATCCGGTGTCATAAGTCCTGGCCCCAAGAGACGATCCTGAAAGCTCGTTGTAACGATATTCTGAGGGCCACGGCTTTCATATCGTTCGTGGAGTCAGTCCCACGGCTCAATAGCATCTTAGCACAAGTATCTATTGCCATCTGCTGAGCGGATGTACCCGAACCGAGCAATTTTCTTCGCTCTGTGCTGTACAGGAGAGCTTAAGTGCCGCGGAGTTTGGCCGTCCACTGTTTGTCGGCCCCTCCCGCCTCGCCCCTTTTTCGCCCCCAAAGGCCTCTCAAACGAACGGGGATCAGATCCTGCGCGCGGTTACTTGTTCTAGTGCCTGCCCAATCCCGAGGTATTTTCGCGTACTAGGCCGGCAATCCCTCCACTCTCGCACTTTGTGATTTTCACCCCGTAATATTCAGTCTTTCCGTAATGAGGTTGAGCAGTGCCTTACAATGTGAATTTTGGTGTGTTATAAGCGCTCTCAAGTGCCTGGTAACGCACGCGTCCTTTAAGCCTCTACAGACCCGACAACGACTAGTGCCTTTGATGCGATTGCTGTAGGTCCTATGTACCGAATTGTCACACGTCGGTGAGCCTGGACGATCGTGGACGATCCGGCTGGGGGGTATAATGCGTGCCATGCACTGGCCGCTGTGCCCAATCGGCTCCATGTTCGATAGTGGCCCAGACCATGCCTTACATGAGCTCATAAGGAAGATGAAAAAAAGACAATAACTGATGCCTCACCAGTGGACTCAATCTGGGTTTCATTGATCAATCAGTCACTATAGCAGCCCATATTAAACGCCGTGGCAATCACCCTCAAGTTCTCTGCCGGGAGCACCATTTACTCGAGATGCACGGAGAACCAACACAAAGTGCGGTCTCTCTTTCACCGCCTGGCCTGCAAAAACAGGCTCTCACACTCAATTTGAGAAATCGAACGCATAAGGTCAGCAGGCTTCGTAATGCTAAGCATTACTCTGCCCTTTCAAGCCCGACTCAGCACCAAACCACGACGCTAGCAAGGATGTTTTTGTCTTATCCCCTGTCTTGCTACAGTAATCTTGTAGAGGAGACAATCGACTTTCTCGGGTCTACCGTATCGATCAAGGGACTTTGGTCAATTCACTTGGCCAGAGACTTGGTGGACCGTGCTGTACTGGAGATAACCGCGGTTGCTGCCAAGGTTGCGTTTGACTGGTTAAGCCACCGACCCCATGTGGATACCCGAAGACTCTGTGCAGTAATTGGGAGATACAGCAAAGGAAAAATAAAATAAAATAAATCTGCCTAAAGTCCTTTTGAGCCCTTCAGGTAGCTGTCCGTAAGATCGTTCTCCCCGTTGACATGCGGTTTTTGCATCAAGGCCGCCCAGTTCGCATTAAACTCTGAGTGTAGCACTAAACGAGGACTGCTCACTCGAATTGAGATTGGGTTGGCTGATCTTCCAGGCTTTGACCAATAACGAGACGTGTTCATGGGTAGCCTGAGCCATGCAGACGGCCCAGGAGGTATCGACCTCGTAAGGGTAGTTGAAGCCCAAGATAATGGGGCTCGCGTGCGGAATTCGTGATTGCATATGCCTTTGTTGACTTGGTAATCTGTGTCAATCTTAACCGCACAGACTCAATGTGTATCTTTCTTAGCAAACATGGCTGTTCTCATCGAAGTGCAAGAATACGCCCCTGATATCCGAGCACCGTATGTAAAGAGGCTTCAATCACCAGAAAGATTATACGGTTCAGCAGGCATCAAGAATCGATTTTGTGTATTTTATGAACGGCTTCACCACTGCATCTACCCATCGCTTTCAAAGCCTTTCCAAGAGGAGAGAACAATTGGTTGCCCGAGGGTGATTGTGGAAGTAAGTTACGTGCTCCACCATTGACCGCAGGCTGATCTTGAATGATAATGAGTCCTTAGCTCAGTAAGCCGTCGGTAGGTACAGTACAGTATGTGTAGGTATGAATTTGACGTTCTCGTGTACCACCGCCAAATGCCATACTGTATCGTTCATATTATCACAAAAAGACTTTCCTGCCATTAGGTTTGTTTTTGGATAGCCTCATTTGTTCCAGCATTCATGTGGACTCCAGGAGCCTTTGATGTTGTTGAGATAGGAATCTTTAGAGGAGACCCATAGTTCTGTGCTTGGAAGATGTTCACAATGATTATTGGACACCATTGTACAGCGCTCGTATCATCTGCCTCGGCCAGTACCCGTAGGTATTTGCCAATATCGATTATTGCACGCTCACTGCATTCGGCCTCGTAGGCCATTTCCTCGACAGTCAGTGATTTGCTGGCTATCATGTCATGAACCATTCGAATTTTCCAAGGTGGCAAGTTTGGAGGCATTTTTCTCGGGGTTATGAGGCGGGTCTGATGAAGATGGTGATCCCATTAATTAAGAAAATAAAAAGATAGAATGGGTCAATTTGAGCAAATGAATGGAAACTCAATTTTTGAGAGAAAGGAGAAAGAAAGGAGAAAGAAATCCAAACAGCTCATCGTTTACTAAAGCTGCTTGATCCTGTTATTCGCTCAGTATCTGGAGAGCGGATTGCACAGCTTATGACAGCACGACCAGATGAACGATCTGGTGCATAGTTGCGACCGTCGGCCGACCCTCTCCTGTCTCGATGGTGGCGGTTTCCTTGGTGGCCATATAAACGTTGATGCTGTGAAGCAGATCACAATCAGTATGCTTACTGCAGATCATCACCACTTTTCAGGTCCCAGATTGTTGTGATATTTGCTCCTCCGTTATAAATTCATCATTTCCACATACAGTATCGTTGATGTCTCAAGATTCAAAAAGTCACTTTCATCGGACACCTCAATCGTTGACAAAAGCCCGCCTCATCAGCAATGACTTCCAGTACTCTGGACTACTCAGTAAGCATCTTTATTTTACAGTACCAGCAATGTGGGTACTGACTACGAATGTAGGGCGTGCTCCGCATGATTGCATCGCTCAAAGTCTGGACGCTTCGTACGGAGCAAATTCAGACGCAGCTAGAGCAAGAGCTCGCGGCGACCCAAGAGAACCTCATGCATGCCACAAACGAGCTACAAGAGGCTACTAAGCTTGCCGACATCCTCTATGAAGTGTGTCAAAATTTGGGTCTCGTGACGGACCATCTGATCAAGCAAAAAGGCGTCGAAGAGGATAAACAGGGCTCCCAGAGCTTCGAGGCGGTCCTGAACGCGGTGGTGCACCGGTTGGACAGCAGCAAGGTCATCAATCACAGGACGTCAAGGTGTTCAAGCGAGGCTTCAACCCCTTTCGAGCTGGCTAACCAAGATCAAGCTCCCCAGAAACCTGCAGTGAGCGCGTCTGAAATGTAATATAGTTCATTCAAAGCTGCTTCAACAATGTTTACATTTCTGTGCTTGTTACTTTTCTCATCGTTCGTGAGCTTCTTCTGGTATCGCCTATCTTTGCGTGGACAATAAGTACCCTAAACGGTCAAAGCGTGGTTGGATTCTAATCAACGGCCGTGGGTCCTCGCAGAAGCATGGTCAACAACTCAGGATCTTTCTGCATGAGCTACTGCTTCCCTTTGTTTAAACGAATTTAAATCCGCAAATTCGCCTAGCGTATGCTTTGTCTCGAGGCAGGCCTTATATAATGTCTATTTAATATCCGCACAGCCATTCACCATCGTCCTGGAAGGCATCGAAGCAACCAAAGATGGCGGCTACAAATTCTCATGGCCCCGCACAGAGGCAGACGCATTTACTCCATTCTGCGCTGCATATGTCGCCATCAAATTTGGAAGTTTTTAACCCGGTACCACAGCGAGACATCATGGCCAACAATATATCCATGGATATTGAGCGAGCTAGAAGATCCCAGGCTCCGTCACCCGAGCCGATTCTTGCGGATCGGACAGCAAGCGCAAGTCGGGAGGCACTGGCAGGTTTGTCTTACTCAATGTACTTCACCAAGGTAGACTCGGCTAACCGCAACCTGAAGAACTCGCGGCTGAAGCGGCCAAACTATCCCGTATGATCCAGGCTTTGCGCCGGTTGGACATGCTACGTGGAACTATTCCTCCGTGCAACGACAGTGTAGGGCTTGTTCGATCCTCAATTCCTCAAACAGATTTCAACTAGAGATATTTGTCGTCGTGTAACGCCGACTCGAGTGAAGTTTAAAAATACTAGACTGCAAGGTCAGACTTGTAAGCAGCAAGACATGTCTAACACAGCCAAAACATGTGGACTCGCTATTGTATGTACTGGCAGTGACGCGAGCCCGAAGCCGCGAGGCCCATATATTGGAATTCACTATGAGGCTGCCACAGTACAGCACAGTACTAGGTACATCTATGCACAGAAAAATAGTGTCTTTCCCGATGAACTGGCAGCTAGAAGGGCGTTTTATATTCTCTCGTAGAAAAAATATTATGAGCTGTGCATTATACTATAGGTACCGTAAATCTCATTCCCGTAGACACTCAGCAACGTGGCAACCATCACAGAGTATTGTACAACAATATTAGCGTCGACACAAAGTCCATAGAAGAAAGTACCACATCGCTGCTGCTTGAAGTGGACCAACTGTGTCCCAGTGGCCACGCTCTTTTGCAACGTCCATGGCGCTTTTGTGATTAAAATCGCGAGCTGCAACATCCAAGCGAGGTTGCTTGATCAACAATTTGACACACTCAGTGTGCCCGCCTGCTGCCGCCCACCACAAAGCTGCGCGGCCACAATCGTCAACTGAATGGATATCGATACCAGGAAATGCAAGCAAACGATCTATGGCGCAACAGAAGCCTCCAGCGGCAGCGAAAATCAGAGCAGTCCAACACTGCGGGCCTTGATCATTGATTGCTAATCTGCCTTCCTGATCGAGTAGTAGACGCACGATTGGCAGATGGTGCATAGTCAATGCCACCTGCAGAGACGAGGTTCCTTCTGGGCTTTTCTCGTTGATGTTGATTGAGTTGTGGTCCAGAAGTAAGCTCACTATTGACTCTTGCCCTGCCCGGCATGCTACCCAGAGTGGAGGCACCACCCGCCGTAGACCAGCGTTGACGCATACCCTAGACTGCAGTAAAAGGAGACCGGCCATGTGTAGATTGCCATTCTCGGCAGCACGGGCAAGTGGAGTGAAGCCTTGGTGATCAGGCAGGTTCCAGTCAACATGATCAGCACGTGTAAAGATTTCAACAAGCTTCTTATGGCCAAAATCGACAGCATGCCAGAGGGCCGATCGTCCGTCGCTATCTTGCTGGTTCACGTTGATGCTAGGAGTAGAGATGAGGCGTTCAATAATTGGTAAGAGACCAATGCCGGGCAGATACTCCTCATAGGTTGCCACAGCTAGAAGAAGTACATCATCTCCTTCAGCATTCAGACTGTTGACGTCAATCTCATCATGTGCTAAAAGCATTTGAACAGCCACAAGATCCCTGTATTCTACCGCATGATGAAGGAGGGTTTGGCCGAGCTTGTTCTTTTGATTGATTTTAGTTCGAGGGTCCGCAAGGAGAAGTTGAAAGATGTAGTATTGCTGATTCTTCAGAGCCATTTCAAGAGGGCTCTGATCTCTCGCTCTTCGGGTATTGATGTCGATGTCCGGCAGAGTGAGAATGCGCTTCACGACCAAGTCATACCCTCGGCTGATCGCGATACACAACGCCACGGCAAGGAAGTCTAAGAGATATGGAACATCAATAGATCTTAATGGAAGCTGCGAATTGACCCTCTGCAAGCACTTTAGCTCTGAAGCTCTATATGTAGTACTGGGAGCCGCATGGTGCAGAAAGCTGCCTGCGCTGATTGCGACCTTGGTGAGCATGAATTTCTGATCTGGATACATGAATCCCTCTTCTTCCTCGAGCTTTTTCATTGTTGAAGAGGTGAGATCGTCGAGGAATTCAAGATTCAGAAACAGGAGCTCGGACATTTCGGCAAGTTCGAATTGAGTGTCACATGAAGTGATATTCTCCCCAGCACCCCTGGGGGTGTTAAGTGCGCACGTATCGTCATTATAGGCCATGCTGAAAAGTTCGAGAAGGACGCTAGTCTAAAGTCCGGAAAGCTTCAGAGGCGTGTTGTAGGTTCAAAAGTGGAAGCAAATGAAATAGATTCACCTACAATATATAGCCAGAGGCGACGTAGCTCCAAAGTATATCGAGACATCTATCGCGTAATGTCTCTTGAGATCCTGGGAGCAGCTCGCTATTCCCAGGAGTAGCGCGATGTGATCCTGGGAGCACATCATCAAGCTCCCCGGAGCGATTGCAGTCCCAGTAGCGGACCCAGTTGCTCCCAGGAACGATGTGACACATTCCTGGGAGGAAATATCTGCTCCCGGGAGCAAGACGTTCGTTCCCAGGGGCCCTACGATAGCATCCATAGCCTGCAGGTCTGTATTCGGTTGGGGAGCTACGCCTCGTTGACGAACTACATATAGCTCCCGCAAGGCATCTTTGCCATTCTATACATATTCTTGTCCTAGATAAGCACCACTATGAATACGCCAACATATCAGCGGTCAGAAACCACCGACTGGAGAGAAACCGTCCGTCGGGAATTACGAGAGGAATTGGCTGCCAACCTGTGTTGCTGGACTACGAAAAAGGGAACACGATGTCGGGGCCTCATGCGCACAGCTGCCCTGGGCGAGACTCGGGAGAAGCTGGCAGCTCTGGAAGAGCATTTTACTGTGGATCTTCTCGAATCTACACTCAAAGAGATTGCGCCTCTCGCGCTTTGCAAGCGATCGCATATAGGACATGCAGATAGCTTGAGCGGTATTTGGTTAAAAAGCGCCGAAAATCATCGCAGGGAGGCTACGCGACTACGTCGGGCGAGAAGAGGAGCGGCCGACGGTAGCCTGGCGTCACACAACGCGAGAGGAGTCGCAAGGGACAATGGTTCCCCAAGGTATCTCACGGTTGATGATCTTCGCAGTAGTCAGGTCCCGTGGGAGGTTTCACCGGGTCAACCACTGGCGATTCTCCGCGTGCGAGAAGAAGGCGGTGAGTGCAAGCTCCAGAGCTTCGGACCCTCTGCGCATCGCGAGGACCTGGAAGATTGCCCAATCTGCCTCAACCAGCTGCAAGAAGGACCAAGCGAGAACAGATACGTGCAATGCGTCGCTTGTTCCAGGTCATCGCATCTGGAATGTGTTGAACGTTGGCTTCACTCGCGCGAATCTAGGGCGAGCCTTTTCTGTCCTTTCTGGTAAGCCCCAACGTTGCCAACTCGAGGACCACTGCTAACCAGATCACAGTCGACGCGACACTTTCCAAATATTCTCCTATGATCCCTCGCTTGGACGGTCTACTCCGGAAATCATTATGCGCGATGCGCCACCCGATGTCTCCTCTCTGGGACCGCAAGCCCGTCAGCGGACGCCTCTGGACCCATCTTCGACCCCCGCCGCCCATACATTGAACACTCGGGCGCGTTCATCAGGCGAAACCCGAGAGACCTCACAGCTGGGTATATCATCCGATCAGGCCCGTCTGCAGCGATCCGACCGTAACCGGCGGCCTCCATCTCGTTTCCAACCGCAATGATCCGTTGCTGTGTGCAATGCGCTGGATACGTAGTCGCAAGCGGATCGAGTGTGATTACATATGGCTTTCTTGCCATTCATCAATACTAGTTGTTCGTCTCTTTTACGTCCAAGGTTTTTGACCAAGGTGTCGTTGTAACCGAGGCAGCGATAACCCTGCACGTTTCTTCTTGGGAGTTTGAACGTCCATGAATGCCATCATGGTGTATACCCGTATACTCTGGTTACATACCATTCACGGGTTACGAGAAGTCATACTTTCATCACCTAGTATCGTACATATCCCTTGAAATATAGTTGGGTCCCTGCAATATACACTATATACACTAACACGTGTCTGAAAGGTGCAATTGCAGATACTGTATTGCCTTGAAGACAATGCAAATATAATGAATTGCGATAAGAAAGAACGTTGACTGTATGCAAATTATACTTTTCGAAGAGATGAATACAAAAGTCACTGGGACAGATCTTCCCGAGTGTTTCGTTCTTTCTAGTACAGTAAATTCATTCTTTTTCTCAGCACTTCTTATGCATACTGTCCCGCCATGGCTTGAATCTTCAACATCGATAAATATTGCATGATTGCCTTATACGGTTTACGGCCCCGGTGTCAAACATTATGTTGCTCCAACTCTTTGCGGCAGCCGGCTTTCTTGTTATACCCAGTGCCTCTGCACAGTCTGTCATTCATAGTGGTAAAGGGTTTGGCACATATTACTACGATATTGAGCAGGTTGATGCGTGCGGAACCAATTTTGAGGACCCAAACAGTGGCGGAGTTATGTGTAGCTCTGCCACCCTACTCTCTCTTGATCAGATGAACACCAACTATGTGGTTGCCATGAACAACACTCAGCTTGGAGAAAATCCCAGTTTATACTGCGGTAAAAAAGTAATTGTCTCGATTAATGGGCAGCGATCCGATATGGCGCTCTTCATAGGAGATGGCTGCCAGCGCTGTGGTGTAGGCTCTTCCTTGAGCACTATCTGGAACGCAGAGGGCGCTCCGGGTCTCGACTTCAGCTACACTGTCCTAAGCAAGTTATCGGAAGGCAGCGCCTGTAGCGATGGTCACGTTGCTGTTTCCTGGGAAATTCTTGACGAGTCGATATACGATTTCGATGACAGCTCCTCCGGCTCTCTCTCGGCATCTGGGTCCACTGATTTTGACGCCGCCGCTGTTCAACCCTTGGCTCAATCTGTGGCTCCGACGATGACCGTTGCGTCAGATGGCTGGTTGGACGTATCGCCCACAACCTGTTCAGACAATGTATGGCGATGCAGCGGGGATGTGCTTGAACAGTGTATTGGCAGTGCCTGGTCCCCTCGCGTTACTTGTGCCTCTGGTTCTAGCTGCCAAGGTGGCTCTAACCCGTACTGCACTTGAGATTTTCTGGTAGCTACACTATATACTCTCTATATGATCTTTTTTTTTTGTTCGAAACAATGTGTATATGGATATGTCATGAACAATGAAGCATCACGACGAGAAACAAACCAGTTCCGTGTTAGAGTGTAGAAGGCGACTTTTGTGTTCTCTACAAAGACCGTGCGATGGAGCCTCCGGGACCTCCAGCCGTCAACAGACGCTCTAGGGATTTTCTTCCACCCCCGCCACCCATGCGTTGAAGACTCAGGTGCATTCTTCAGGTAAACTCCTAGATACGTCCGAGCTAGAAACTGGGCCCGGTTAACTAAGATTGCAGCGATCCGTCCGTGATCAGTGGCCTTCATCTCATTGCCAACGGCAAGGCTCCATTGACATGTTCATTACGTTATTAGTTAGCTTCTGAGTCCTGTGTATACCGCTTCAGATATATCTTCTACATCTCTCTTCTCGTATAGCATTCAATAAAACGCCCTAGCCCGCAGTCCACAGAGGATACCGGAATCGACAAGTTCCATCGGCGCCTGATCAAATCGCCGCAATGACTTCCAACCAGCGGAGCCGGCCGCTGACCCAATGGAACCTCGGCGCCTTCACGTACTCTGCAAGTGGCAATTCATCTAACACGCTCGCATCGCCTCCGGAGGCCAAGCAGAAAGAAGCAGCAAAGCCGCCGGCCACTCCACCGCCGTTGGCTATGCCCAGGCCGTCCCGTCCAAAGGATCCCCTCCCGCCGCCGCAGATCCCAACCCTGTCGGAGAATCCTTGGTCGACATACGAAGAGGTCTTGTCGTTCCCAAAACGGCAAGTGTGTTTGGCACGGCGCCGCGGAAATTACGCCGAGTTGGTCAATGTGCAGCAACTCAGGCAGGACCCGTCGTCGGTCGCGCACGTAGTCGAAACGGTCAACCGAGTCATTCACCCCAGCTTCCTCCATCTAGTTCGGTGCTATCGACATGCCAATCGCTCGTTCCTGATCTGGGAGCCGACCGAGTTCTCCTTGACCCAAGTGCTGGGCTCGGCATGCACAATCAGTGAAGTTGAGATTGCCTCGATTGTTCACGCGGTGGGACCCTTATCCTCACGTCTTATGGATTGTTGGCAGATTGCTAAGACTAAGCAGATTCTGAAAGGTATCCAGCATCTTCGTGACCGAGGGAAGGCCCTAGCCACCCTCGACAACGACCAAATTCTGTTCACGGAGGCGGGCGCGGTGAAAATCGGTGAGTCTCACTACGTGTCAGAGCTCCTTTTGCCTGACTAGGTTTCTGACTCGTCCTTAGCTGGAGTGGAAAGGAGCTGTGACATTGACCCGTCAGTGATGAATGCGGATACTCTGAAGCTGCGCAAGCTGGCAGAAACTGTCCTCCGTCTGATGAAAAAAAACGGGGCCCACCACGCGTGGAGCCCGGCGGCTCAAGGGTTGCCGGAGAAGCTGAGAACCGAGCCTTTGGATCGTCTGTTACAGGTAGGTTTGTCATGCCAAAGGTCATATATGGTTACCCTAATGCGCGACTACCAGGATGAGGTTTTCACACAGTCAAATGATGGAGGAGAGCTGAAATCATTGGTCAGCGTGGTGAACAAGACTGCTTTTCATAACTTTGGCTTCCCAGCCCAGAAAGAGAATCCCCTGTGACATCAATACTGTGCCGCATTTCGGGGTTATAGTAGAATGCCGTTCCCACAAGTCATATTCCCAATTCAGCCGTAGAAATATACCATTTCCACTCTGATGCAGAGCACAGAGCCGTATCGTCTAGACGCACCGCACGTAATCCCTAGGAGAACGATCCGAGAAGAACCGACTTGCTGGCTTGCGACTCATAACCATTCAGCACTCAACCTCCACAGAAATCAACTGCTGTTAAGGAGCTATTCGCTATTCCTCCAAGGAAATTCGAGAACTCTCCCCAGGTGTATGATCTTCCAACAGCCGCACTGCCCCGGAGACCGCCCTTTGCATGCGACTCACTTGGCTTTTGAGCCTTCTCTCGGAGACACGAGCAATCCCATTGTCATTTGCCAATCGACAGGCTTTCGCTTCCCAGTCTTGATAGTGTCGTCGTGCTTGTTCCGACTCCTCCCTGGCGCGAGCAAGCTGTGTTCGAAGTTCCTGATTTTCGTGCTCGAGTCGACGAATAATCGCAGTAAACGATTCGTTCTCTGTCTCGTTATCTGAAAGTCGACGCTACAAAGCCGCTGTCAGACGGTTGGCTGGAAAGAAGAAGGGGGGGGGGGGGGTGTAACCCACTCACCGTGTCCGGCTGCGTGCTGTGCTCCTCGCCGTCTTGCCTCAGGATCCGCGGGGATACTGCCTCGAGAGACCGCCCGAGCTCCTCCCGAATAGCCCGGTACAAGCCCACAGAGCCATTGCTCAGGCTCGTCTGGATAAGGCTTTCCTTGGACTTGGTAACGGACCATGCATAGCCGTCCTGCGCCGATGGCTGGAGACGTACGGAATTCGGGGCTACGAGCAGGCCCAGTCTTTCATCTATCATCGGCATTAGCCCTTTCCGGTCGGTTCTGTCTATGGCTTGCGAGGGGAAATACAGATATGGGCAGCAAGGGCCTCCCGTCATTCCTGCCTTTTGATGGCGCGTTTTTCATTACTGGTCAGGGCCATGGCGCGCTCCACCCGCGTCGAAAATCGGGTCCACAGAACGGCCAGCAAGGGACCGTCCGGGGACAATATGAAATGGTCTCGAGCTTTTGTTACCCTCCTTGCCTCGCCCAATGCTGTCGGAAAAATACAGAGACGACCATATTTTCGTGATTGTTCCTCTAAGGCCATTCGTGGCCCTTGGGACACGCCCAAGAGCGGCGGTTGTTCAACGGTGGATCAAAGGCGGATGAACGGCCCCATGTGTTGGTAGATACACGGTCAAGCCAGCGGTCACGAGCCTTGAGACTGTCAAGCTCAGGATTACTTTTGCCTAGCCTGCAGGTCCGATGTTCCCTGTTCGGAAGAGTGTGAAGCTTCTTGCACCGTTTCTCTATATCTCATGGCCCAGGAATTGGGTAGCACTATATCATAACCAGACCCACACAAACTGTCGAGAGGATCTGAAGAGAGAAATGTCCGCAGTGTTTCTATTACTTAAGAGATGAGACCGACTCATTATGCAGCTCGACAACAGCTAGACTAGTGGCGGGGAATTCGTGAGCGGACGCGTATACGCGCGCGTTGTTTCTCGGACACCCTCTTCACCCCGAGGCCATGCCACAGTCAGCGCGCTGGCCGAAGCGCCGACCCAAAGGAGATTGCTGCGAGTCGGCGAGGCTTCTTGATGAGCCTTATACCTCCCAATCTCCGAAACTAGACGGCGCCGTTGGCCGTTATTCCCGACCAGAGAGCAAAGCTACGAGAAGGAATATCTACTCCAAACCTTCCTCCGGCCCAAGCCACGTCACCCTGCGATTGCCTCGCCGTGAACAGTACCTCGATCCAAAGAAGGCTTGGTGGACGCAGATCCCCGACCTCAACAGCGAGTACGAAGAACAGAAAGCCAGGGAGCAAGAGAGAACCCGGCAAGACTGGTTGCGGCGACTTCGGCCTCGGCCGCGAACAGATTCTCCAGTGGAGAAGTCTTCAAGCCCAAGAAGCAGGAAGGAAAATGGTTTCCGTAGCAGTGCGACTTGAAGCTCTAGCTCGTTCGTAGCGCGAGAAATAATACATTTATTTAAGCCAGTACAGTACAGTATTGCTTTGCAATCATTCTCTTTGCCATGCGATGGCATTCTGTTTCCCTGTTGAAACTTGTTTCTTTCAAATTGCTTATTCTTGCTTCGAGATATCTATTACAAAATTGGCAAAGACCCTCTTTTCTCTCTCTTCATTAGCATTTCGACTCTTGTAATGCGCATCATACTCGCCTCAAACCTCACAATCAATACTGTAGCTTCCCCTTCTTTGTTGACATCTACAAAGCAGTTTCCATGCTGGGACTGGGGTTGCGGCCAACCACAGTTTTTACGATTCAAACCCATTAGGCGGCCGGGACTATCGACATACTAATCAAATATAATGCTTATTTCAAAGACCACTGTATCTGGTGACCTATAGTAAACTCTTGTGAATCATCAGTGAATTGGCATGGAAAGGCGTGGAATGGATGTTCTCGATATGTAAATTATGTGGTTGCGAAACTTGATACTAAAGAGGTCTAGCCGATGTATTTAAATGATTAAAGTTGCAAATTTCATTAAGAGTAAAAGTATCCGACAAAAGATACTGTAATAACCAAGCTCCTTCTCCTTTATGTAAGCTTTGATGTAAATAAATCACACCCAGCCAGTTGCATTGTAATTTTCCTGGATACCCCATCGGGCTTTCCACTTTTGCTCACAATTTGCTTCTTGTGTCTGGGACTGCTTCAGCGCTGCACGAAGTTTATTGACAGCTCTCAAAACCTTCTCATTGCCTACTGGAGAAATTTCCGGTTCAAATAGGGGCTGCAAAAGCAAGTCTTGCATTACATCAATTGCCCGCGCCGAAAGTTCAATGAAGTTCTCGCAGCAAGATCGATAAAATTGGTTCTCTTCTTCTTGTCTTATCAATTGCTGATGCTTCTCCAGGCGTAAAGAATGTGGTGATTGACAATGCGTATATTTTAAGGACTGTAGGCGTGCGCGAGTAGTTTCTAGAGCAATCGTTGAGCCACGAGCTAAGGATATTTGATGATCCAATGAATTGATCTCTGGTAGATCTGAACTTGTTGTGCTCAACTTCGATTGTGCAGGAATGAAGAGTTTCGGACAATTTGAAGATCGACTGTATATACTGGATATATCATCATCCAGTTCGATATCGAGTTCTTTATTCATTATAGTAAACCACCATGAAACTGGGGTTTGAGCTCAGAAATCCTATTCTAAATTAAAGATGAACATGCTATATTCTACTTATAGCTAGGCTAAGCTCGAGCGAATAACTGAGACACCAGCATACATGGGTTCTGTCTGGTTCTCGAATAGATCATCCATGCTATCCCACAAACTCAAATATCGAACGTTTCAGGTTAAACATCAAGGCTCTAACAGAGCCGTATTCATTTTGGGGGTTATTTGGCAAGAAAAAGTCTACAGGCGCCAATCTATGGGAAAGATAGAGGTTGCTGGGAATGGAAATGAACGGGGCATGAACTCTCCAACGCACGTTCAATGGGCCTTAGTCTGTCATTAGCTTGAGGAACAGAGCCATTACAGAGCCATTGGATTCATATTGGCTAAGATTTGCGGCAGTTTGCGTGTGAAACAATTTACCTGTCTCCACGTGGCGTTGAGGGGGGAGCTTTATGATCCGCTAAGGTTATTGATAGCAAAAATGGGTTTAACTACAACTCAGAACTGACTTGAACCGAATTATTTCAAAATATTATGTAATAAAGCACTAAGCGATATACTTGTGTTCTGTTTGGTGCATGGGTTTCATATCCTGGCTCAAAAAAACGCAAGATATGTGTTCTCTAATCCAAATGGTCATTACCAGCCTTCTGAAGGACAGTGAAACGGTCGGAAGAGTCGGCAAAGTAAGTAAACGTATCATGTGATGCTAATCGCCGCAGTATAAAGCACACGCGTCTTCCTCGTGATGACTGCAACTCTGTTCCAATGGCAGTATGGCTTGACCTGACTCCGAACACCACAGGCTGGTCCTTGGTGGATACAGGACGGCTTAATGAGGTGGTCCATGGCATGTATCATCCTCGAACCCAATACCCGTCTGTTGTATATTTCTCCGGAAATGGTAATCGTCTCCATGCACTAAGAGCGCTGTTTCCTCACAATAACATCACACGGAATGGGCCATCTGGCCTGTGTAGATTGCACGTTAGTACTGGAACTGCTTCCACTGAAAACCCCTTGTTATTTGCGGAAGGGAACCTTTTCACCCATTCATCTTTGGGAGACTCAAAGTCAACCAGGACGGCAGCAGAGAAAAGTCGAGAATGTCGAATTCAAGGAAGCGAGAGCTTTTCCGCGGCAAATATCTCATCACATGTCGTTGCTCGCGCGATTCTACCCTGGACGAATATCCTGTGTCTTTTTGTAGATACGGTTGCAGAGCTCAAAGGCGCTCGACGGCTCCTTGATATTCAACGAGACGAATATACAATTGGGCTTCAGCCTCTCCCTCATCTAATGCGTGTGATTATTGTCACTACCGGAAATAGAGATTGTGATATTGGAAAGGGCGACAGAAGCCTCATGCAGCATCAGGAAGTGAAGGAATTCTCATCCGATGTCCAATTTCTTGACCTACGCCATCGTTCAGGGCTGTCATCAACTGCAGCATTCGAGCCGTTGCGACGTATCGTGCTCGATGAGATCCAGACAAATAACGCCGCACGAATGGATCGTGGGACACTATGGTCTGCGTGGCATCTGAATCAACTGTGGAACCATTCTATCCAATCTGTCGCTAAGGAACAAAAATCACGCATGGATTGTCTTCAGGTAGCAAGAAAGTATCACTCCATTGGGGCGTCTTTCAGGCAGCATTTAGTAGAATACATGACGATAGTGTCCCAAGGGAGTTGCTCTATGACTGAGATCTCTCGCTTTATGGCTTCAGCATTTTTCATGAGTGCTTATCCCCCTGGAATGCATTGTGAGTAATATTTGAGAGAACTTCATATTCGACTTACATTGGATTATACAGGTTTTGATCCGGAGACTGTCTTCTGCTCTTTGTACGGCGCGGATTGCCTCGACGCATGGATTCATAATAGAGCAGTAGAACCCAGTATTGGAGTAAGAGAGACACTGAAGCAGTTCAAAAAGCTTTTTGCTGCACTGAGCGAGACAAATTCATCCGCGAATGTTCGAAAGGAGGTCTCCACCGGGTTTTGTCGAGTATATAGTGGTCTCCGGTCCACCACGACTTGCTTTTCGTGCATGTGTCGGCAACCAGAGCATATGTTGAGATGTGGTCATGCAATATGCGATGTCTGCGTGGTAATCTATGGAAGAATATCTTTGAAGACAGAGTATCATACCGATCTCACATCATGTCCGCTGTGCGGGCAATCAATTGATATGACTGTGCGAAGGCTTCCACCCACCAAAGGACCCATGGTAATAAGCCTAGACGGAGGCGGAGTCCGTGGACTTATGACGCTAGGTCTTCTTCGTGCTCTTGACAAGAGATTGGGTGGCCATATAAGCTTACCTCAGGTTTTCGATTTATGGGTAGGAACAAGTGTTGGTAAGCATGGATTGCATAGCTGGCATCTTCTAATCGTGAGGCTATCTAACCGGATGAGTTTGAAGGCTCGCTTTGTCCCATTGACCTGGTTTTCAATGGGTCCTCGGTGGAGCAGAGTTTTCAAAAATTTCCAGACTTGGCCCGAAAAGTCTTCAACTCGGTGAATACCAGTAAAAAGGCATCGGCGATTCTTACTTTGGCAAAATGGATGAAATATTTGGCTGGCTACATCTCCGACAGTTTTTATGACTCCGAAAAGCTCGAAAGCACGCTTCGAGCCGCAATGGATCCTACGCGCAAGATGTTTGATGTTTCGCTACCTGGCTACGCTGGCTGCCGAGTTGCCATTACGACAAGTCAGACTACGGATGGAAAAGTTTGCGTTTTTGCTAATTATCGTGGGGTTGGTCGACGAGAGGGAAAGTGTTCATATCGTTTTATCGTCCCTAAAGACGCGAATGATACCCATTTTCTGTGGGAAATGTAGGTTTCAAGCTGCTGCCCATTTTGGCCAATCTAAAGCTGACCAGCTTTATCTTGAAACAGTGCGAGATGCAGTGTTGCAGCCCCAGGGTAAGCTATAACGCCCATGTTTTAATACAAGTGGCTTACTTCTTGATAGATATTTCCAAGCAAAGACGCTTCCAGGTCTCGGTTCATTCCAGGATGGAGGCCTGGTCGCTAATAACCCTGGCGCTATTGCTCTAGCGGAATCCGCGAATATATGGCCCCGAAAATGGCCTGACCTCTTTCTCTCCGTTGGAACAGGGTCCGGAGTCTCAAATTTGGGACTTCAGGTCCCTTTTCAGAAAATTTTGACCAATCGCGCAATCGCTCGCAGCGTTCGAGCAGCAATGTTTTCTGGGTCCATGGATGGGGAACAAGGTTTCCATGATTTCCTCAATTGCATACCGGCGAACATGCAGCTTGCCATTTTCCGCCTGGACCATCCATATCCTGGACCGCTGCCTCGACTTAACGAGGTTGAGAAATTAGATCAGATGGAGTCGATACCATATAACGTTCCAGATGTACTAGTCCGGGCTGTTTTGGCGACTGCGTTTTTCTTCGAACTGGACCAGCAACCGATAAGAAATCATAGATCTCTTTATTGTGAAGGGTCAATCCTGTGTTCCAGAAGCCAAGCCCAAGGCCTTTTGAGTAGCGTTACTGCGGAATTTCCAGGCGCGAGGTTCCAGTCCGATCAAGGCTCTCACCTTGGATCTGTCAAAGAACACGACGGCTGCCATGCGTGTGGCTACTTTCGGAAGAAAGTATCATTCTCTCTCACAAGCCTTGAGCAGATATTCTCCATAGCTATTGTGGGATCTACGTCTCATCATAATATTGGTGGCTTTCCAAAATCAATTCAAGACCTTCTCGATGAACAGTTGGCCGATGCCCATTTTGGAACCCCAGATCATGTGGTCGGTCACTGGCCTCCTAATCGAGCATGCTACTGTAACAGGCAGAAAAAGCGACGAGTTCAGTTTATTGAACCAGGTTTAAAATTCAAAAGACGCCGACTTTAAGAAATACAAGTTCGTGTTGCTGCCGGGTTTAGCCATATACTTTCAATCTCAATTTCTTTACTCGTTTTAATAAAAGCTCATCTTGGCGATATGAGACTCTTACTTCTTACTAATATTCGGAGAGATATAAACAGAAATAATAGAGGCATAAGCGGCGTGCTTTCGCCTGGCTGGGAAGTAGCTTGGACCGCGGATCGTTCTTACTTTCAGTGGGGCTGCAGATCATATATTAAACAGTACTCAGATACTGCTTCTCTTTCCAGGGCCATTTCAAAGCTAAAATACGTTGCTATCTTCCGATTGCCTCTGTCGTTTTCATCTTGAATATGATCCTATCTCGATTTATTAGGGCTTGACGCGATACCCCTTGCCAGGCCTCCACCCCCTTTTCAAGACTCAAATGTTTGGGTATCACTGGTCTTGCTGTCATAAGATGTCTGAAGCCACCACAGTGCAGAGACACAGATGTTGAATCCATATCTTGGGTGGAGTCCATTTCCCGACTCTGTTCACCTACTACCAGAGGTGTGACTAATATCTCGTGTTGGAGTTGCGACCCCTGTTTCTGCTATGAAAGTCAGTGCTTAGGCTTGGAAATGAGGATTCTTGGGTCGTTATATAACCAAATTAGTAAACAAAACCTGGTTGAGGCTGTGTGATGTTGACATGCGACTGCATTAGGGTTACTCCCTAGTGGGCCTGATCTCCATCATTTGAAGGGACGGGCTCAGGGGTAAACTGGCAGGATTCAACAGTGGCTTATTGACGCGTGTTTTTCTAGTAATTTCTTCAGTAGGCTACCGGGCTCATAACTGTCGGAACAGGCTATATTCATATAGCCTAGTTGCAGCGCAGAGAAGCGAGATCAAACGAAAACAATGCATACAATAGGAGAGATTGAGGGGTTATTGATTAAGCTAGGAAAAGTTTAGAGAAAGCTGTTGAGAGCGATCTGAGGCCATGTCCCAGGCTGCAGCCCGTGAGGCCCAATACTCGGCATCACAACGCTCGAGTCCGTGGGTAAGGTTGAATTACATACAGAAACATAGGAAATCGTATATCCTGGGCGATCCATAGCTTGCTAGTGGTAAGATACCACTCCATGCGCTGACAGAGCTTTTTCCACTTTGAAGTTTTTCATGAGAATCTATCAGCGAGTTAGAATCCTTCCTGTTGGTCATTGCGCCAAGACTGACACAAATAATTCCAATGTAATGCGAGCTTGGATCGTCAGTGGGGCAAGCGCTGCGGCTATTACATCAATAGTTCGATCCTCATTGGATCATGTGTGGATTAAGAGGCTTTCGTCCAGCTTTGTTGTAAGCGCGGGTGTGGACTGCGTCGGGCAGGAGGGTATGTTTTACTTGGACCAAGGTGTCCTCAGCTGGCATTAATTAGCTTTTAAAATCGCGCACTCGTGTTTGCCAACCTACTGATCTTCTTGTTCAGGAAGCGCTCTTCCATTTCGCGCACAAAATAAATCTCCTCGAGAATTTGGATGCTGTCAACCGGTTTGATGTGTTGTCGCAAGCTCTGACTGGCCTTCTGTAATTTGTCCGCAGTAACGGCGTGTGTTTCCTTCATGGCACACAATATATGAACGAGCAGCCTCACTCGGCCTATCCACTAATCAGCATCGAGGTATCAATTTGAAGCATCCCCTTTACCTTCTTTAAGAAGTTGATCCGGCCCCAGATGTTTGACATCGGCCGGCCACCATGTTGGTTGAACCTTTCCGGCGTACGGGGAAGATTTGTGCTCTCTGGGCTCGACGAATTCCATGTACAACTTGGCAATGAGACGGCAATTGTCTTGCTTGAGATTCATGAATGCCTTCTTGTACCATCGTTGCAACATCTTTTTATCATCCACTCGAAGACTCATTCGACTGGGTGGCGGAGTAGGAGGCGACGGCGCTTTTTTCGGGGGCAGGCGGACCAGTTTCTTTGGTGCCACGCTGCCTGCTCGGTTTACCCTTCTTTGACGTTGACGTTTCCATTCACCTGGGATTATTCCAGTTGTTCGGGCTAGGCGATTATTGAAAAATTCAGGCAACATCTGCGTGCTCCATTCCATAGGGGTAGGTGTCTGGCTAGGGTCTGTATGGCACGAATCTAGTTGGCTGTGTTAAAAAATCATCTTTTCGAGGCTTTTCACTCACGAATAGACTGCATGCTCCATTCCTGGTCTGGGACTCTCATTCTCAGAGAGCGATCGATCGCTTCTGGGGTGGAGTTGGCACCGAAGCAGCCAGATATTGAATCCGAGGTGTGTATCTTAATTTTCCCATCGCTGTCCATGTACGTGGTGGCAAAATGGGAACTTCTGATACTGGTGTTCTGACTTTGAGCCTTTATAACTTTCTCAATGGTCGAGCCTGCGTCGGCTGTGGAAGCCACCATATCAGACAGAGGCAGAGAAGTATCCAAATGCCATCGCTCAAGTGGTCCACTTGAGCCCGGGATCGAACGGTTCATATTGATATCTGCAATGAGTGTGGTAAATGGAAATGACAGGAAGCCGTTCCCGTCAATTTAAGTCTCAAACGTAGCTTGCAAATACCGTGCCCATGAAACAGAAACATCAGATACGTAGATGATATGACTCACGGTCCGCAACAGGGTCTAGCACTGCGTCTTATTGGAGGCGCCCCCTTTATGCAAGCTCGGAATGGACTGAGTGGATCTCATAATACCCAAAACTAGGTTTTCAATGGTAATTGGATGGAGTTGATTTCTCGTGCAGTGAAAACCGTATGAACCTACTCAGAGCCTGATACTTACTGCAGACCTAGTAAAGCTTGCCTTCTGCATGGACTTTGGCCCGTCTATTTGAGTCCAAAAACAGAGCGGATAATTGGAATGCTTCCAAATTTTATAAAAAAGCTTAAAATAATGTCTACAAATCCTTGGGGATGAGGTTGGCTGGCGGGTTGAGGCTTCCGAGCCTCGCAGTAAATTCGGAATATACCAAAACACGGCACAGCCAGCTTGGCACTGAATTGTCTTGGGAGCTGGCGACCTGTCATGAACCGTGTCCTTTTCCGGTTCGTATATGGAGTCAGCTGGGGCCAACACCAAATTACTCGTCGGGATTATGCTGAGCTCCCAGTCGATCCCAATATTAATTCTGACCCACCAGGTATTCATTTTAAGACAAGTGCCAAAAGATGCTGGATGCTTATCTCATCGTATTGGTGTTCAAGCCCGTTTCGATGATACACCTGTGGTGGCTAGAGGGCGGACGTTTCGTATTCCCGGGAGACTCCTTCCGGGCGTACGCCACCGTTTTAATGAAGACGAATCACCAGTATCTGGCCCACATGGATGCTTCAAGTGGGTGCCTCTTGAGTTCTAGACCTGCGTTGGTAAGTATATGTACCGGCGGTTCCTAAAGAGGTTACATTGGGGTACGCTGTCCAGTGTGAAGCATGCATCCGATCCGGACGCGAGTGGACATAGCAGCTGTACATTATATCTCAATTTGACCACCCGGGGGAGGATTACAAATAGAACTTACCTTTTGAATCTATCTGATATTCGGACGCTGTACACATTTACCAGGTCTGGCCTCTTTTTAACCCGACTAGGAGGAATTAACTTCCACCATTCGTAACGCTTGTCAACAGCTCATCTGTCGCGGATGACTTGTTACCGCTAATCCATGCATTGCACTAATGCGGTACAATACCTGAGGGTCACATCTATCATTGCAACCGGCTCACACTAGGTTCGAGCTCTCTACGCTCTATCGGAGCCTCTGTGATCCGTCATCAAACTCTCTGGGGGCTTCGCTCATTGACATTTCCATATTTTCAATCATGCTAATAATACGTCATCAGACCTCAGACAATTTTACGGAATGGGATTAACACATTCTTGGCCGACAGCAATTTCCCGCTGGCATCACTTTTATTGGCTACACACAAGAGCAAGGCAGCAACCAAGAATTTTCGATATATGCTTACTAAGACGAGTTATTGCAAGCAGAGCTTGCCAGAGCTTACTGGTCGAAATACTTTAAGTTTCCACTTGTCCATATGGGCGTTTGGCATGCTACCAGGTCATCAACTATTGGAATGGATATAACATCAATGCTGCTCTTTGAAATGATACTTATTTACTTGAGATTTCTGTCTTGCTTGCAATCCCATTCCTCACAGCTCGTCTTCCTCAGCTATAGCTCCATACACTCATATGTCTAACCACACAATGTCCAGAACTTCGTTGCCCTGTTGACACCCAAGCCTTTAGCACCCTTGGGGGCTATTTCCCTAGCTTTGTACTTTTTGAGTAAGTCCTCCTGTGGTTTCAACATAGGCTTGTCTCCAACTCGTATTTCAAGATGGTCGGTGATAATAACGGTTGGCAGTAGACCATTTTGGACGCGATACCAAAATTCCGAGTAACCTCCTATATTGAAGAATATTGTCTTATCATCAATCAGGTTGAATCCGTCAGGATCATTCGTGACTTGTACACCCCCTGGTGGGCCGGATTTGGTCACGAAATCGATATCATTATCTCCATAGGCTGGATCTTGTAAGATCAGCTTAGGCTCTGCGGCAATGTCAGCGTCTTCGCTTTTCTTTTGATTGTGATGTTAGCAAATGCTCTCATACTGTATTTGAGTTCCTCTTGCATAACAAGAACAATTGCCAACTGAGTATAGGACCGAGCACTGTTACGGTACTGGATTTCCTCGGAGGCAAAACTGAGGCTGTTCAAGGATCCGAGACCTAGACCGACTATTTTTGAGACCTCAACGTTTTCACTGAGCTCTGCAAGAAGAGTCCGTAGATTCTTGTACCCAGCGGTACTCTTCCATTCAGCCTTTGCGGCATCAAGCTTTGTTTCCATGTTTCGTTGCTGTTGCGAATCCTCCTCCTTTGGCGGCCAGAAGTTAATCGTGGCGGTCGTTGTTGGCATTTTTCCTTCACCTAAAGGGCCATAGTCATAGTAAACACTGATACTATGGACATGAATCAGATTTTGTTTCACAGAAAAATCAATGGAATATTGCTGAAATCCGAATAAAAAATGAAACTCACGTGCTTGTAAATGGTACATTTCTCCTCTTCATCATCTCCGTGCGTACTTCGATCCCTTGCCGATCCTTTTCACTGATCTTTGGTAGTTCCGCCATCATGTCTTGAAGGAAAATGAGAGAGAAAGGGCGAGAGACCTCTTGTCGACAAGAGAATTGAGATGTCCCCTCCTAGCTTTTATATGTCTAGAATTTCTATAAGTCACTCTGTGGGGCCGCATTTAGGACTATAATCAAATTCCAATTCAACAAGCATACAGTATGGTCTATCACATTCAGCGGAGTTATTTCATTAGGTGCTAGGCTCGAAGTTTCCCAGCTGAAGGCGTAATATTACGGGTCTAAACAGGAAGGATGACACTGGAAATGCGATTACCGAGACTCTGGAGAGAGTATTGACCGCCACAATAGTATGTATATTACGCTCGGCTCGGCCTATCTACAGATTCTCTTATTCTCCTCTTATCCTATTATGATCATGATTGAGAGGTCCAAAAAAGGCGGACGCACTGACCGGGATGTTGAATGCAGATGCTGCCTCTGCCAAGCCAATGCGAGTGAGGCTGCTTCCAGGTTTGAGGCCAGCGACTGATCCGCCCGAATCTGTGGATTCAATGGCCAGTTCAAGTAACCGAAAGGCTTTATCTGCGGAGCACGTTAGCCAAATATCTGGAATCTCTGCTGCGCGGGCCCTTAATGGTCACCAGGCCTGGCCCGCGTTTGACTTGACCAGGAGGAACTGCTCGGAGATGGATGCTTTTTACCGCTAATGCAGTCCAGCACTTGATCATCACATCAACTTTTTGCGATCTGATCTCAATATTTTCGAGTTATTTGTCTAAAATGCGAGCGTCGCCAGAGCAAGGGTTCCGGTTGCTAGCATGAATGGTTCGGCCATGATTGTTTTCCTGCAATGATGAAGAGAATAATGTTCAATAGGCTTTTTAAGGCCTGTGATGAGCTTTTGTAATCAAGAAGTGCATCAATTGCCGTCAAGTTGGAAGCATCAGGTTCATATCGCGATTGTTGCTCTGTGCTGGATGAAGGTTCCAAGGCGGTCGAGTGGGGCGGCGGCTGCTCAAACAGTGGTGGGCCAGCAGTTCCTGTCCTGGCTGTTTGAGGGTGCCTTGTCGCATTGCGCTCCAGTGCCGAGCGAAAAGGGCGCGTCTGCGTCAAGATACAATTCGAAACATGAAAAAGACGTGGCGCCTACATTAAGCTATTCAAGCACGAGCGGCGAAACGGACGATGTAGAGTATACACGTCCCTCGAGAACGGGCCTTTCATGGTGTGTGGAAGAGGATCCCTACTGGTGAAGCTCAGGGAAAAACAAAAACTCGCCTGGTCAGAAGTGACCAAGCGGTTCGTTCGAAAATTCACCAGGACTAAAGGCTCATTACAGGTAGTCTAAAGAGAAAGACCCATAGGAAATGCCATCAGTTTGCTGAAGTAGCTCGGGAAGTTTGTTATTCCATACGTATTGCCTGTGATTGTAACCATAACGATCCCTAACATTGGCTAGACGGCTGTTTCGCCTAAATCTACCGATGCTTCGTCATGACGGGATGGCATTGTGCTGCTAGATATAGGAAATGCCATTGGTCTGCTGTAATCCAAGAAGATTGTATATCGCACGTGTATGTGTTCGTTACCACAACGACCCCTGATATTCTTGTGACCTCATCTCTGTCCACTGTTGACTACATAAACAGCGGCAAAGCCTTATTTTTTACATGTATTCTTCCTCACAAAAGTCGTCAAAAATCCAGTTTTCTTGGATTCTTGTTTTCTCCTCTTCTGTTTCGGCAGCATCAAGAGCGTCTACTTTCAGTTTTCTTTCGTTTCTTTTCGCCTCATCGTAGTTTGCTAGGGGCACCCAGCCCTCATGCCCAACGCCAATCGCTTCTTGGCAAGCATGGAATTGCTCGTCTGCTTCAGATTGTGCGCGATCCAGCCGTAGACATTCGGTCAATTCGTCGTCTGAAAAAGAAATCGGACAAGGTGTCCTCGCATCTCGAGTCAAGTCTGTCCACTTCCTAGACAGTGCAATTAAATCGGCTGTCAAGGTCATATTGTCACCCTCCCAAGGGTCACTTGCATGATGGAAAAGCCGCTGCCTCAAGGTACTTAAATGAAGAGTCAGGGCCTCGTAATGCTCAGGATTTCTTTCTGCTGTCAGCTTGACATAATAATAGTGGAGCTGACGCCTGCGCAGGAGTTCTGCTTGCTGAAATTGCTCTATTTCTTCCAATTCATCGAAATTGTTCGGCAAAGTCGGAAATTGTAGTGATTCTGAGATCTCGTCGCCATAATTTTGTAGACTCTCTGGAATACCACACTGCAAAAATAATGGCAAAATCGTGCTGTGTTGCCAATCAATTAACCCCTTGACTTCCATGTCATCAGTGATAAATATGTTGTTTGGTTGAAGATCGGGGTGCCGTATGGCTGGGCGATGAAGGTCCGGGCAGTCATGTGGAATAAGGTAAGGTGCAATTTGAAGGTATTTTTTAAGAGCCACAGCATGTTCCAAATGGGACTGAGGCTGGTAGTCGTAAACCTCCCGGCGAAGTCGCTGGAATGGCTGAAGAGGTCGCCCGAACTTCTCAAGATAAGCCATCTCTTTTTCGGCACCGGCAGTAAGAACTGCCAAAGGATCTCGGTCTTCAGAAAGTTAATTTTTAAAGTCTTTTTTTCCACGCCCGAAGTCACTCACAAGGTCCGCGCTCAACAGACAAGTTAAGTCTCTTGCCATACCACAACCGTAGCGAAGTATCAGGACCGATGCAGAAGCGTTGGGTCGATTCTGGGCTTGGAAAATTGACACGGGGGTAATTATCTGGCAAATCATTGCAGTAGTAGAGACTTCCGCTTGCTGGAAACCGCAAGCTGAATAAACGGTACTCTAGCTGCACGATTCTTGCAACCAATTCTCTTCTTTCAAGTTCAGACAAGCTATACCAAACATCCCCTAGATTTTTTCCTTGGACATACTCCAGGAAGATGTATTCTGTACCCGCACTATTGTCTGCAACAGCGGAGTAGTCAAAAACCTTCGGTACTGGGATACCATGAGCACGTAGAAAATCCAACGTTGCGACTTCACTCGCGACCACTAGGTATTTTGGTTCGGTAGCCGGATATGGAATTCGTGCAACAAATTGGTAACCATCTCTCATGGTGATCAGAAAACTTCGATTGAAGCCCCCCTCGGCAAGTTTTTTGAATTCGATCACATCGGCTTTTTTCTGCTGTACAGCTAGGGCAGCAAGGCGCTTAAGTTCAGAGATGTTGAAAACTCGTCTTCTCTCGCGTTGTCTCAAATTGTCATTATAGCTACAATCATATCAGCAGAGCTATTCAGCATGAATGCCTTGTGTAAGCCTGCAACATACATCCATCGTCCTGACGTGTAGTCGAACAAATCACAAGGCTCAGGCATTTCCGGGAGCGTCGACACAGGGCGTGCGAGGATCCGTCTTGTAAAGGCGATGGTTGTGTGTGAGTAGAGAATACGAGGAGTTGCTCCGAATAGACGCTTAGCCATTACTTCATCAAGAGAAAGAAGTAGTGCGGAGGTAGGCAATGATCAGGAAGGCATTTTATATTGCCCCCTACGCGCTGCGGTCGCGTCAGCGAAGTGGATTAGGTAATCATCCCTGGTGCAAAGAGTCTGGTGGTAATAAGAAAAATGAGATATGATTGGCTAGTGCTAATTGTCCCGCAGTTGCGCAGTTTTTGCCTCAGGCGTTAGTGAGTATGCACATTCTGAAATAGCTTGCGAAGGAGAACGACCAACTGCATCTATGTTATTGACATAAATAGTCATCCTAGTCCGTATGGCTTCAGTACCTCCGGCACGAGCTGTCAACCCTCCAGATGATATTCCCTTGGATAGCTGTGGTTCTTTATATATAGCGAGCGGCAACGAAAAAGCCAACTACGCTTTGGATCTCTAATATTGGCGCCTACTCTACGATACAAAGATGCTGAATTTGCTCTATTTGATTCCAATTAAAATTCTGCTGCATTGACTATCTATCATAGTTTCGAAGTATTAAAACTTTTCAAGTCTTGATTGAAGCTGCGGCGTCGTTCAAGCCCTTCTCAGCATCTTCCTTCGAGCCATCTTTCTTCACCAGGGCAGTGGCCATGACTGCATGTGTCCCACCATGGCCTTCCCTCCACGTTTTGATTGAAGAGGGGACTTTCCCAGCGTTTGGCTGCATCTGGAACTTGTGGTAAACCCCATCCGCTTTGGTGACCTCCCCATCATAGTCCCATCGAACCCCGACACTTTCTTGTTCTGCCTGGGTCTTTGGGAAAGTGGTTTTCCCACGGCTAACACTTGGATTGGTGAATTTTTTCCAGATATTTCCTTCGACAGCCTTGCCGGTTGCCTTTTTCAATGCCTTCTGCATGGTAACGCTCGCTGAAAGAGAGTGTTAATTATGAAAGCAAAATGCTCTTCCTTGGAAGATACATACGTTTTGGCGTATTAGAGGAGAAGAAATAATGCCCTCTAAAAGCGACCTGTGAGATGGGCTTTCTGATTATGTTGCGGTTGCGGTTGCAGAACTCTCGTTTTGGAAGGATGGTAGCTGCAGGCAATTGACTCCTGATGGGAAAAAAGCTATGGTACTTATAGTTTCCCTGAATTAATCGCGCTTCAAGCATGCGACGCTACATCGCAGATGAGTGCAGGAAAACGATAATTCCTGTAGCTTAATTGAATCTAGTCTGTGTTTTGATCGACTTGGCGAAATGTCTCATGCAGGCGCCTACCAGGTCAACTTTCACTGGGTCGGCTTTGACCGTGGACCCAATCGGCCAAGAAAAAATGGATGATTACAATATAAAGAACATTACTATCTTATGTGTGTTGACTTGTATGTTACATGGGAAATACTGTGCCGTAATATACGGGCTCGTGGGTTTTTGGAGGGCTGCGAGTAAGCCCATGGGTACCCGAAAAAGCAATACGGCGAGGTCAACTTTTCGATTAATGAAATAGCGTACTGGCTAGATTTAGGAGTTCGGAGAATCAAGTCAGGTAGTCTTTTACCAAAGTAGGGGGACCAGAGCGACTCCATTCTGCTTATGGAAAATGAGACCCGAAGTCGCAGCCAATCACGTGAATACCCGCTCTGTTTTGTCTAATCTTTGTCGCTTTCAGGTCAAGTCTATCGCATGTGAAACTCCTTCCTGGCTTGTGGTGAGATATCGGAGAGCTCTCCTAGTCTGCTGAAACTATGACCCTCCTTGGAGACAAAAGCTCTCGCTGGATTAGCAGATATCTGCGCGGCAAGCCCATTGGACACCTACAGAAAAATATAGGTATATTACTGCATAGAATATTTTCCGGGGCCAGGTGGCTATTTTTTAAAATGAGATTGAAAATATTCATTCATGAAACAGATATAAATAACTCCCATGCTGGATGTTCTAAGTCTCTAAAGTGGGGAGAGCACCATGGTGGGGTTCAATGTTCACGTGCTCAATTCCGTTGTGCCCAACCCCGCCTTCTTGCTAATGGGAGCACAGGGATCGTCTCAATGATCTTGACCTTCTAACGCAACCTGTAAAGCAACACTTTGCATGCGAATCTCTCAACGGCATTATTGGCTGTTTAATGAGTGGACTCATGGCCTACCTCCGACCAGCTACAAAGAAACCTGAGCAGGACCCTTGCGACAAACTGAGGAACTGGCTACCAACGGCAGAATTTTCGGCAAAGGACGATGCGCCACATATGAGGCTATGCCGAAATGTTCCAGCAGATCTTCTTCGGCCTTTTCAAAAGGAGGTGTGGAATTTTGTCTATATCCGTTTTTGTTCGCATGAAGCTGACCTCGGGGTAGAATATGAAAACAAGTTTGATCCAATTTGCGAACGGAGCATCCCCACGGGAACCATACGGTACTTTAACAACGATCCTTCTACACGAAGACAATGCAACTGTGTCTCTTGTCAATCATGATGCCAAAATCTCACTAGCGAATGATGACTCGGTAGAATGGAGCGGGTTGATAGAGATTCTGAACTCATGCGTCTGCGTGGTAACTTGGAGTAGAGAGACGATATGATATTGTTATTTCTCAATCTGGGCTTGTGATCAAGGGGAGGGAATGCCCGTTATCTGGGAAAATGATGGTATACAATAGTCAAGGTTATTAGAGGGAAGCTCCGTCGTTTCCTGAGCGCGGGTGAAGTTGCAATGCGGCATGGAAGGAATCTCAGAGATGGCATTGAACGACGGAAGGGCATATGAAAGTGTTTCCACATCTGCAGAACCTGTGGTTTCGGTGAAATGCAGATGACGTTGACCTGAATGTCATTTAGCATTTATGTATTAAACAATCAGTTATCCATGACTTACGTGAGTCATCTTGTTGTGGCAAATCCACAGAGCTCGCATATCTACTTGGGCATACCAGTTCATGGTCTGTGAGAGTCAGCGTAGTATTCCTTCATCTCATTACCTAGCAGGCTCACCTGGGAAATTCAGTAAGAACCGATTGGACACTTCATTGGAGGTTGTTTGTATTCGCACATTGGCCGACAGGTTTGGAGTGGTAGGTAGGCCGTCTAGATTAGATGACGACACTACGGGTGCCGCAGTGAATCCGCTGTTCAAACGACGCCTTTTTTGCGCTTCGCTTGTGAAGTCTCTTGAAGGCTGCGAGCGCCATCTTGCTTGACTTTCAGCCTCATAATCAATCCCAATGCCCGGAGAGTGTGTCATGGGGGAAAAGAGCTGTTGTCTTTCTATATCATCCATGACATCCGATCCATACGGCTCTAGATACCATTTTGCAAATGACTTCCGAGCAATATCAAGACTGCAGTGTAGGGATTGACATACATCCGAGAGTCTAGAGGCTGAGGATTAGTAGATAGCGATGCTCAAAATGTTATTTGCACGCACTGGACTCTCTTTCCAAATATGCACTTGATTATGCACGGAACAGATAGGTGATTTGTGTGCAAGAGCTCCTTGCTTTTTGTATATTCAACTTCTTTCAGGCGATCGGTAAATATGGCAATCGATTGGTTTGCCTTGGCCCAGTATCTCAAAGAGGTGAAAGTTGGGGTGACTAGATACGCTCGTTAGCTCCAGAAGGGACATATCGGAGCAGAGTACTGACAATAGAAGAGGATGTCACCGCTTCTGATATCCCAACTGCTCTCTCTTTCGAGGCGATCAATTGCCGCGGCCCCCCAAGCTGCTCCATGTCGAAGTTCCTGAAGATGGTCGGGTTTTCCTTTTGAAATGGATAGCATCATATTGTTCACTGAGGTTGGATCCACGCCAAGACAGCATGCAACATGGCAGAGCGCCCCTAGCACAAATTTCTGATAGGACACAATGAAGTTCGCCCACTTCGCATCGTTGACACATTTTTGTGTGAGTGAAGCATAATTTCCAAGGGTTTGTAGGATATCGGAATGTCGATAACGAATATCAGTTGTTGAGGAATCTCGTTCTCTCAGGGCAGTATCGTTTTGGAATAAGACGTCTAGAACAGAGACTGGTGGAGGAGAGATGGTGCCAGGCCATTTTCTTGCAAAAGGTATTTTATCGATGAAAATCCGTAATGGTTTTCTCCATGTTTCCTGTGGAGCAGAGGAACTTGATGGGGGTGACCTTCGATCCTGAACCGATGAAGGGGCTGGAGGAGCCGGAGAAACTGGAAGTTGGAGAATATGAGATGAATCGAGTTCTTGCGGAATCTGACATCCTAAAATGACATCCTGTGGGAGGTAAGGCACACACTCCCTAAGGATCCGCTTCAGGCGATAAATGCGTCTTTCCAAGTTGGCGATATAGTCAAAAGCGTCGTTGTGTTCCATCTTGTTGTCATAAAAAGCTTTAGAAAGAGAGGACTAATCGATGTAAATGGAAGATAGCTCAGTTGCAAGGGAGAAAGCGGGGAAAGGAGAGTTCTAAACTCTGAAGTGACAGGGGTATGGGCTGTGAGCCCATACCCCTGCCACACCCAATCGATTTTCGGCGCAGCACCTTCATGGTGCATAAGCTCATATGTGCATTGGGCTTACTTGCAGAAGTCGGTATCAACGAGAAACATATTTGCATGGTCTCGGTAAGGTTGTTCGCCAGTCAATTTTAAGATATGATATCTGGGCATGGTATTGGAGATGAAGATATGTCCAAAAAGTGCCTTGCACCCCTCGTGATAGCTCTAGTATCCCACAACAAATCCTCTAGTCATTCGAATTTCTTTGGCTCCAATCCATCCGAGAAAATTGAAGGCACATTCATTGTCCAGATTTCGGACGATTAAATGTGATAGGATCTGGGCCTGCCACACAGCCTCGTTCCCGTGATCGTTTGCAGTTACGAGATCTTAGGTATTTTTGATTACGAAACCCTTTCATCCAACCACACAGACCATACGAGTTTGTCACCCCAGCTTCCGGTCTAGGCCAATGGAGACCGATGTAGTGAAGGGCTTTGATGACGTGGTCTTGGATGCAGTTCTCCATGAATATCATGACCCGGCACGCGCAGACAATGCCCGACCAGGCGCTGCTATCCTTGCAGATCTCGCTGTCTTGGAGGAAGGGATGATTCGAGAATACGGCATTGTCAATTTTCTCCCGCTTAGCGATACGGATCCAATCGTCTTCATGCAGCAGGCAGAAGGTTCGGAGTCTCGAAAAGCCCTCTGTTATCATCAGATATACGTTATGCATCTGCAAGAGTACGCTAGAAGACTGAGTCTGGCAGCACCTGAAATCGAATTGAATACCGCTATGTCTGCTTGGTTTGAGGAGCGCTAACAAAACATTGGGGGCGAAATGTCTAAGCTTGCTCATTACCCGAGAGAATTTTGCAGTATCCTAGGACACTCATAGAACAAGCTCTATACATTTGAGTTCATATTTAGTGGCTGTCCCAAGCGTAGTCCATCACTAGCAGAAAGTCCCAAGTACCGTCTAGGACCCCTGTGCCTCCCATAATACCTCGGTATCGATCTTGTAGAATCGCAATCACGGTTTTGTCACTTTGACAACTCAGAAACTTTTGAAGCTCCTGTGAATCGGTAGCTGATGACGCATTGAAATGCCAAGTTAACAGCGCCAATTTTAGAATGGTGTCATAGCTCAAATCACACACAATCTTCTCCACTGCGTCGTCCATATCATAGCTCAAATCATACAAGATCTTCTCCCCTGCGTCATCTCTCATAGCTATGCAAGTATCTAGCAGTAGCCTGGCATCGTTGCTGAGGCTTTGTGAGGGATTCCACTTCGAGATATTTGAAGAGTAAATCCGCATTGAAAGTAATTCCACTAAGGCAACCGTTGCAGGAACCTCCAGGAAAGCTAGGGGTATAGGTGAAGTCTTCAAGGGTCAGTATCTTGTGGCTACCGGGAAACGAAGAGCACTTACCATAACTGGCCTGTTCTTTAATCTCAAGACCAAGAACGATGAATTGGTTATGAAAGGTTGTCGAGGGACTAAATAATCTCTAATTCATAACGGTAAGTCTCTCATGCTCATCACCGTTCATACTCATCTCGCTTTGACTCAAATTGGTTGATCATGGAATGCCTTTCCACAGTTTCTGTCCAAGACTTCTTGCCTCATTTTGTCTGGGATTTCTTTACGCGCAATGACGACGCATCATACTGGGGAGCAGAAGAAGATCTAGGCCCAATACGCCAATGTGACAATACTCCATACGCGCGCTCTGAGATTGTGAAGTATGAGTCCGCACACGAAGGGCCCACATTTCCCCCGATTGAATCCATAAAGAAGCCCTCGGATGGAGCTTCAGACCGCGGTCAACCTGGAAAAATATCTGGTGAGTCTTGAGAGTATATATGATTGGTTATACCCTTCTCACTCTACAGTAGCCTCAAAAAGCGGATGCCGCACCGGCTCCTCACAATCATACGAGACGACAAATAGTGACATTATCAAGCTTCCCTCTTTACCTGCCGGTGTTCATTTTCCTATCAGAGGAAAAATAATCATGGAGGCGAGTGAAGAAGATTCCGCTCAGGGTCAGGCCCGCTCCAAAATGCGTCCGCTTCTCGAGCGTCGACCAGGAAGCTGCCGGATCCAAGGATCTGAAGTATGTTCCTTCCGCTTTAACTCACCGCATCAAGGTCATTTTTAATACATTTTTTAGGTATCGCGGTTAGATATAGCTCTATTGGCCGAAGTGAAAGAGTTCCGTCATTTCGGAGGCATGATGTACAATCACAATACTATCGACAGACCGGATCTTCTTTTCGCAGTTGTGTATCAGAATACGGCTCATGAAATTGTGCGCTGTGGTTCGTGGGTTCAAGGACGACCAAAGCGCGTATCTGACTTCTTCTGGCTACATATGAAAGTTAACGAAGCAAAGGAGTTGGTGCCATGGAAGGACTTGACAATGAAGGGCATCAAAAGGGAAGAAATGCTCCGTATTCAAAGGCCGTTGCTTTGCTGATCTAAGGGCACTTAAAAAGCCTCGAGTTCGTCAAGAATATTTGCTTATCTACTCACGTAAAGTGCCAGTAAAACAAGTGAGATATGATGACAACGATTCGTTTACTCGGCGTGGATTATTCGATAGGTAGCACGGCCTATTAATAAGACGTCTCATAAATTCAGTATTTGGTTGCTGAAGCACAATGTGTGTTGTAGTTGTACTTGGGCCTGTCTTGTCTCTTATCGTTAAGAAAGCGCCGCTCTGTCCCTGATTGCCCAAGGTTAGATTATGGAAATACTTAAGAGTCGCGTGAGACCTTGAGAGGCGTTTGCCGTCTATCAAATTTTCATCTTTTCCGAGAAACATTGACAGAGATTTCAAAATGAACCATCGAGGCTTTCATGAAGATGACCAGCATAACAATTTGCTTTCCGTGGTGAATTCGATAACATGCAACATTCCTACGAAAAGTGGCTTTCTTTTCTCCCTTACAATATTTGCGGGGACTTGTCAGAAGGCTGGATCAGGATGATTGAACCGGAAATCAACTACTCAGAGACCGAAATCCCGACCTGGTGGCCCAAGGATATAACATTCATGAGACCTCGGGTCATGCTAAAAATGGGTGAGCAGAAAACGATAACAACGTTCCAAGGCTGACTTGAAGAAGAAAAAGTCAAACTTCTAAGCAGCCTGCTACGTGGAAAACTGCTTCACGTTGTGACGGCTCAACAGCTGGATGTTTCAGGGCAAAAGATTTGGCGCCTTCGAAGCTCGGTGTTCCATTGCGACAACTTTTCAGAATAAGCAGATATGTTTGAGCTGGCATGAAGTCTCAGAGACCGACGGAGCCGGTAAGAGCTGTGCTGTAGTTTGACAACTCTAGTCACTCATAGCCCCCTCTGTCACGTTGAAGTGAATAAATGCTAACTGTTCTAGATCATGATCGAGTAAACATCGCTCTACAGCCTCTCCAGGGTTGTCGGGCCGACTCACGACCGGCCTCTAAAGCGACGTGTGTCAGGCGAATCATCATCGTGAACCCTGATTTCCCGGGTTTTATGGTGGACCTAAGCTGTGATTTCTTTATCGAATAGCAAACATATTCTTTGCAAAGACAGCCACTGTAAGTATCTCGGGTATTAAAAAGCAACTACTGATATTATAAGACATGCCAGTGCTACAGTAGTAGTAGTAGTAGTAGTAGTAGTAGTATTCATTTACACTGACCCCTCGCCAAAGCGATATGCAGTATACAGCAACAATATATCCGAGTATGTACACATAGAATGATCCACTCTCTGACATAAACTTAGAGCCTCGTCACGGCCTATCGTGGCCAACTGCCGCTCCCATTGTTAGGATGTCTTATGGCGCACGACTGCGAAACCGATGTGACGCCTCGGCGAAATCCAGCACAGTCCGTACTGTCTTGGCTCGTGAGACGTCTGTACTATGGTCCAGGACGACTATAAATTGACATTTCGATATCAAGCAACGCTACCGGCCACTCTAATCCAAAACTAGGACTTTGACGCGAAGTTCATCGATCATCCTAAGGAAAAGCGTTAGATCAATTGAAATCGCTCCCAAAGAGTGAGCATTCCGCCCTTCCACCCGTATCATGCTAATATATCTAGTGTGGAACCCTTTCATGGGCCTCTCAACGAAGTCGAAAACCAGAAGAGGACAGACATCCACTGACAGCGGTAAATTATCGCCGGATGTATGTAGCTTGCCTTCCTTCAAGATTCGGGCTAATTGGCGCAAAGGACATCATTTTCATTGCAGCTGAGCGGTCAGTTGATGATTTATGTATAATAGCGTTCAATACGCAAGGGTCTCAGCGTATGCTTTGGAGGCAATTTGTCAAGGTATATGGCGACGAAAAGGCTGCCGCAGCCGTGAGACAAGCTAGATGGAACTGGGATAAACTGAACGAGTTATCGCAGTCAATACATAACGGTACTTTTGACGAAAGAGAATTAGAGAAGCTTAGGGAAGAAGCAAAATGAGCTAAAGAGGAAGACTCACGAGTGGAATATAGCCATTTTTGCGGAGACTAGTTAGCCGGTAGCACTGGGTATTTCTGGAAGAGGTGTCAATAAGCTGTGATATACCAAAAAATGAACCCAAAGAAAATCCGAGGAAACCAGGCCCCCAATTAATAGGAGACTATTCAAACCCGAAGCAAGCAAAAATGGGCTTGGCAAAAACTAATCAATAAGATGGAGGCCCATGTCGGCGAGAGGAGCCATAACCCTCTCACAGCGTCGTCATGGGGTCCTGAGGCTTGAACTCCATCTGAGTGCCTAGACTTGCAGTGTACGACGCAAGCGCTGCAATTATTTTTTGCTCCGAATCTGTTTTGCCTTTTGAAAAGTCAAAAACTGCGGGGGAAAGAAAATGTAACGTGGGATGTGTTTCGCTGAGTATGTTCCGTCGATAGTACGCGGAATCGATAAAGGAGTAGTAGTTATGCCAAAGGTAGAAAGCCTGCAATATTTTGTGAGGGCTGTAACCAAGGAGGTGCCATTGTTCAACATATTTGTGCAAGCTGATCAGCTGTTGAAGCTATATCAATCCTAGCAGCCAGGCAATACTTGATATCGTTGCTGAAGTAACTCCATCTTCTGTTTAACGGAGACCGCGCTTGTTCTAGCTTTGATGTGTTCTGATTCCGAGTGAACGCAGATGTGGTGTATAGGGTGAACATAATGTGATCTTGCTTCGTTATAGCCCCGGCGAGAGCAAGAATTGGCAGTCCCCATCTTATATGCTCTAGAAAGCAGATATTTGTATCGAATGGAGAGTCCTATTCGCCTTGAGAGGCCGCGCAGTAATCACGGAAACGATATCTCAAGGCTTCTAAATCTTCAAAGATCTGGGGAGCGGTTGATGGCGTTCCGAGTAGCTGTTGCAATGGATTGATGATGGCGCGATCCAGTATCTTGCTGAGCTTTTAGTCAATCCTTCTATCCCTGTGTCCGGAGGCATAACGCGCCGTGTTTGTTGCTCCATGAATAGGGTTTGGCAAGCGTGTTCGATTGTGGCAATTATGAAAGGGTCGGATTGGATTTCTTCCAAGACCTGCGATTTGTTAGAACGTCCGAAAAAAAACACAAAAGACTGGATGAGTATGGCATACTGTTTTCAGCTCTAACAAAAAGGCACAGTGCTTTGGTGCTTTCACTGAATCGTAATGTAGTTTGAGACTGAGACGCTCATATTTTCAGAAGAAAGACTCGATGCAGTCAGACTGAATGAAATGCTTTCCGTACAAATTCTTTGAAAGGAATACTTGTGAAATTGTTGCCGCTTCTTTTGGGGAATTCTGTAGCGACTACATCAGGACTCTGGTTAAGGATATGAGACAGACCAAGCCCCCATTGCTCTGAGACTGGACGGTATTCCTCTTGGTGAGAAGAAAACATTTGCAGCCCCTTCCGCGTGGCGAATGTATGATGGATGAGCCCAAACTCGCGATAACTCGAGACTGAACTTGTGTTTCCTTCGCAAAACATCCTTTTGATTTCCCCCGGTCACCAGCATTGTCGCAAGTCGTCTTCGTCTAGATCATCGCCCGTTTCGATGAACTCTTCCGTGGGACTATTTTTCAAGGTGCATGCGGTGTTCAAGGATGATATCAAATTTTCTGGTTTAATGACTAGGTAGCAACTATGTCAACGAGCTGTTAAGATCAAAGGCCTACAGCTCACGCAATACAAGCATACCTCTTTGCTCATCACTGTTAGGTTGGGTAGTGTTAACTATTTCGATCGAAAGTTGCGCTTTAGTTTTGCGGTCAAGACCAGTGATGAATATATACTTATGGACTGGTAGTCATCACGTCAAGATGAGACTACTTTTATACTCATCGGCAAATGCTTGTGTTCATAGTGGCCCCAAAGCCTAGTTCCCGATTAGAAGGAGGTCTGAGCGGCACCTGAGAGATTCTAATCCGATACATCGGCTGAAGCGCCTATGGCCACTGGTCTGTAACAGCGTTAAAGCACGACATGCCCACAGGCGGGGCTTGATGTTCGACCAATAGTGGCCCCGTCGAGCATTGACGGGGATCAGCAAAGCCACTTCTTCCCAGGAGCCTGTTAGTCAGCTCCCGTAATTACGGCCCGTTTCTCCCAATTAGATTTCAGTGAATTAAAACCTCCTTCGCTGGTAGAAAAAAACGGGGGATTGAGTATCTGGGGCTTTTGATACCACTTGTGACCATCAGAACGCCGGTGGGAGGAGATCACCTCCCCCCTTCTTTCAAAATCCGGCTAGGTTCATCATTCACCTAGACTGGCGATGAGTTCACGCAGCTGCACGCCACGCATCTTTTCCATTGGACCTTGTTGCAAGCGAGGTATTCATGGCAGGGCCCCTTCCCCATATTGTGAATAATCTGAAATCCTTCTTGACCGCATACTTGTGCTTTACACATTGACCCCTTGAGTGGCGCTCGTGCATTGGGTTGTTCCCATTGGGTGATAGTAGTATCTACAAGGTCATATATAGGAAGCTGTGACCATGCCGTCTGGAGTACTTTGTTTATTCCCTGCAAAACTCCTCGTCCTAACATGCGCTTGCTGGTAAACCAGTTCATTGGAAGATCTCGAAACTTCTTGCTATTCCTTGTCTTCCCGCGACGATATACATACAATTTGTGTTATTTTTTGCACAGCACTCCTCCACAATCGTTTTGAGGGTTCAATCATAGTTGATAATACACCATGCGCAATCGACAAGCCCAGACTGTTACCCCTGGTAAGTGAGGCAGTGCGCGCTTTACCACTCTTGTTGACCGAAAGCTAGCCTTTTCCCAACGTCTAGAGAATCGTCTCCGTCAGGACCCTGTTCAATATCATCATACCCCCTCTAGTCCAGCAAGATCTCAGGCCCTTCAGCTTCAGTTCTCAGTGTCCAAGGACACATCGGACTTTCATGGCCCATATTACCAGGATGGTGAACGAAGGTCTTCAGCCGACTCGTTCGCAACTCACTCTCCATGCTTTTATTGTTCCAATGACCTTCCGGGTCATGACACTTTAGGAAATGAGAAATGGCCATGTTCACAATGTGGTTCAGGGCAGAATTTTGTCTCACCTGCCACTAGTCTCTTGTCTGAAATCAAGCCATATGTCACCCTGGAACCCCAGAACATGGCCAGACCAGTCAGTGGTGATGATAATCCCTGGTTAGAAAGTCAAGTTGAGTTGCTACGTTCCCATCTCCACAGGTGAGCAAGAGGCGTGGAATGACCCATTATTGCTTAAAGCTTATGATGATATTTCTAGCCAAGACGTTCCCTCCGTACCTATAATACTATCAGCTGCGTATCGAACAAGTTTCATTGATCAAATCAATCATTCTTTGCTCCCTCCAAATACCGAAGATCCCCGTTTCGTGATTTATCAAAACACCCATCCCGATCCTCAGCTTCAATCTGCCGTGTGTCAGAGACTAATTCCAGAAGCTCAGAATGATGATTTCTCTTCGCATCGCTCCAAATACCGCGACAGAGTTTCTTACAAGAAAACAAGAATGAAAAATCGAAGGTTGGAAACGCAGAAGAGACAAAAAAGGTATCAGAAAGTTACGAGAATGTTGACTTCCTTAAACAAGAACTGAAAGCTGTATTTTTCTACAGAAACCTAGGTCTATCATCTGATCGAAAGAAAGAAAATGATTCAGCCGGCTCAATAGGGCCCGATGAACATCCATCACCTGGCACAGATTCATCCATCACGACACCAATTCGTCCGAATAACGCAATTACGAACCTGCGAGAAGTCGGAAGTCTCTACAAGACGGCAATAGAAAGTCTCTCAGAAGAAGAAGCCTCGGAGCTTATAACGGCATGGATGGACGATTTGAGTGGTATAGCTGTGCCGTGTATTCTCATCCCAAGCTGCTGGCCTGAGAAGGAAGACTTTGATCTTCCAGAATACCTGAAGAGAGAAGGTTTGGATTTGTCTTCGTGGGAGTCTTCTGCTGTGGCTAACTACCCGAAGTCAAGAATAGAGTCCTTTTTCATTTCGTTTGCGGTGAACCCAGTCAAAGCTATGAGCCCGAGATGATCGAGAAGCTTTGCAAAACTATGAGCGCGCTGAAATTTAGACCAATACCAAAGGATGGAGATGGGAATCAGTGCAGAGAATCCAGATCGGAGATACCGATGGCACAAATTGATCCAAAGAGGAGGGGGATCTCGAGAAGATAATGGATTTTCATAAAGACATACTAAAAGTACAGGTGGAAAAACGGAAACAGAAACTTCAGCCGCTGACTTCTGTCTCTTCTGGCAATTGAGTGGTAAAATACGTCGCCCTACTTTATTAATATTATATCACTCAATTCGGAATGGCGTTATATGGATTGAAATCTATCCAACGTCTGCTTCTGTAGTCAAACTGCAAGTAGGTGATGAAAGAAATCATAAAGCCATTGAAGGTCTTCGCGTGTCCGGTCAGCTTTAATTAACCGTTGCATCATGAAAATGCATGTTTTGCAGTCGGTCCAGAAAGTACACACAATCAATCGAGCATTGTATTGCTTCGCCATTAAGCACAAATCGTATACGCTGCTCAAGCATGTCCATCAAAATCTTTCGCCTCAGATTGCCCTTAATGATAATAATCCCTTTTGGCCTTGACTATATCGAAAAGTTTCAGAGCGGCTGACACCATCTAGCAGAAATATTAGCAAACGTGAAGGCCTCCTCTTACTCAAACGAGCAGCCTCAAACTCTTTTAAACTACTTATTATGCTTTGTAGCTTCCGAATGTGAGGGGAAATGAATCTTCAATACGACAAGTGGGTTTCAATCGCACCGAGCTGAGTCATACTCGGTCATGCGTAGCGATGATCGAGATAGCTGTCCTTGGAAAGACACAATCCGCGAAGTTCTTCCTAAATTTCCCGTTTAAATGAAGATCCTAGGAGTAAACAGCTTTTTCCTAGTAACGGAATGTGGTCCTAGGAGCAATATCTTAGCTCCTCGGAGCAATTTTGGTCCCGGTACCATGCAAAATCTCTCCCAGGAACGATTTAATATATGCCGGGAAATGATAAAAAGGCTGGGCGAATAGTCGATCACTAAAACCCTACGTAGTCCGAGGAAGCAAGACTCCTCCACTTCTCGTATACATATATTATATTCATAACACGATATCCCGCATTCGTACTGTCAAAAACTCGATTTTTCTTGAAGACTTTGAAAAACATCAAGCTCTGAGACTAGCACCATGACATCCTTTGCTTCTTAGGGCTTGAAATACACTGAAACCTTTTATACATGAAGGAGGCTTACTGTCACTTTTTTTTAGCTCTAAAAGGTATGACTAGCTGAATCACTCTTATGTCAATATACGAGATTCAACGGTCAAATTTTGACAAAGGATCATTGGGCTCCCAAGAGTACCATAGAACCAGATGCTGAGCCACCTTCCCGCCATCGCACTCAACGGATCGACTAGCGATGACTGTTATTGGTACTTTATCTCCAGCAGCGGAGGACAGCTTGTGCGTTAGGGCTTGTCTCAAAAGCTTTTTATAGGGCTTCTTACAGAACTTGCAATATTTTTGCAGTTGAGGAGGGCAGTACTCCATAGTGGATCCCGAGAAGCGGAACTGGAAACAAAGGATAGCTGTTCTGTATCCGACACAACAAACGCGCGGTCTTCACTGGTTTCTGACAATTGGTAATCCGATTCAGTGTCTGAATCTTTCTCATGGGCGGTATCGAGGTCGCACTCCTGCGACTCTTGTGACTCCCGCCCACTATATTGCCTTTTATTCTCTTCCATGATATTCATAAATTTGCTTCACAAACCTGAAAAAAGGAAGCACAAATGGGAGACGTCAAGCGAATTTTATAAAACTTTGCAAAATTCAGGAGTCGGTTATCGGAGAAACAACTACTCATCGCCATACCTGAATCAAATTGGACAACGAAAATACAAAAGTTGTTCGTTCACAGTCCTTTAGTTCCAGATCTGAGGCGAATGACTCCCGGACTCGTGATTACCGAAGCAAATTACCTCAAACAGACTTGGCGCGGTAGAACGTTTGTGCAGGTTGACTATAACAAGGTTATTTTATTGATTTATCTTCCGTGGCTAAACCAGGGAAGGAAATCAGTAGAGATATACTGTGAAAGCATCTATCAGATGAGGGTATAAACCACCGTTCGTTGCTACAATCCGTGAAAGAACAATAATGATTGTCATCTAACCCACCGTAAAAACTGACTTGTGTGGGACTCGTGCGGAAATGACCGAAAATTACAACGTGCTGAGCTTTGTCAATCAAAAGGAGTTTCGCGAGAGATGGATCGACCTGACCTGTTGATACAACTCACTTTGGCTTGGTGATCCCTAGAAGGCCGAATGGCCGCTTTTATACATACTGACAACTCTCGTCGATGTTGCCTCTTGCACTGAAACTCATATAGCCAGAACGATGAGTCTCTAACTACTGTGCGTATAATATAGGAAATTATGAGAATCCTGTACTTTGAAGGTCCCTGTTGATTACCCTCCGAATTGTTGCTCTCATAACCTGTTCCGTATCTTCGTATTCCAAGGATTCGGCAACGTAAGCATAAGCATGAATCCGTTATACTGAGCTTTGCTTGAAGAACTTATGAGTATGCTATAAAGAAGATTACAAGCAGATGGAAGCTGAAAGGGCAACATCAAATCGGAAAAACGGTATCTTTGCATTATATACAGGAAGTACTGTACTGTAGAAGAAGTAGTAGAACTAATGTACCCTGACTCCTCACGAGTTGATTATGACTATAAGGCCCTATATAAATCCGCATCCAGTCTACTATCTGGTGGTCATAATCAAATTTGGGGACGATATGCAGGCTCTAGCAACTATGTATATATGACTTCACTTAACCTGACCTCTCGAAAAATTGAAAGCGATAAGTACAGGTATTGTAGATTGTGACTGTACCCTCACACCCGACTGTAAGAGGGGATTTTCAGGACATACTGTAGGGACAGAACAACTGGGCCGGAAAATTGAAAGCGTTGTGATTGTGTGTCGAACGGAATGGCGGACCCACCCACAGTGGCTCCCAAGCCCCTTACCACGCACGCAGAGCGCGACATGGATTGACCCAACAGAAAACCTTGAAACAACGATCGCACCCCGCACCAGAAGACGCGCACGTGAAGATGATCAGACCCACACAGTCCCAGCCCTCGCGGAATCAACCAACGCCGGAATCAGCAGCGGACGTGTGACAACCAAGGAGATCCGGCAGGTCATCGAACACCTGACACACCATCGACGAGCAAACCACGCTCATACACGCCACCCGGACCGAACTGAAACAAGTAAAAATAACCAGAATGAGCTCCAGACCCGAAATGAGAAGCTGCACGAGGAGGTGCAGGCGCTGCGGACGCAGGTCGAGGGGCTGAACGCGCCGACCGCGACACGACCCTGGGCCGCCGTGGCGGCTGACGCAAACCAATCTGAACCCCGAAAGACCCGCCGGCACACCGACAAAGAAAAGATCTATCTTTGGATCAGCACACGGCAGTCCCTGGACGACTCACCTGAGACCGAAAACAACGTGAACGCCTTTGGCCGTTACCTCTCTACACCCACAGCAAACACACATCAGAACAGCTCTGTCGAACGCCGCATCCACTCAAGATGTTTAAGTCGCCGGCATTGGTACCACGAAGACGCGACATCGGCTGAGGTGGCCCGCAACAACAAGGAATGGTTGAATGAGTTAGGCAACGACACAAGACTGGTGATACCGCGATTTGGAATGGTGGTACATCGCCAACCCACGGACTAGACCTCGAAAGAGACAAAGCAGGCGCCATCAAGAAAGTCACAGAAGAAAACAACCTCCCGGAGCGTGGTTTCCGAATCGAAGACATCGCTTGGTTGAAGAAACGAGATAAAGCGCTAGGAGTATTCGGCTCACTGGGAATTTGGTTCGACTCAGCTGAGGGCGCGCAATTGATGACCGAGGACGGTCTTCTTCCGCTTTCGTGATGACGACCTGTGTGTCTGCGGCGAACGAGATAGCGTCACTCACGTTCTATTGGATTGCCCGGATCTGAGAGGTCTGCGACGGGAGCTACAAGCGAAAGTGGGCGACGCTTTAGATTTTGCGGTGGCATCGTAACGGTTTCGAAGTCGCGCGCCATAAGGGCAGCAAACACATACGGCATTTGGGCCACGACAGGCCTCGACGCGGCTCCAAGTTCGTCTAAGAAGTGGTACATTCTACCTGTACATACGTAGTTATATATAGTTGTAGTAGCCTGCATAATGCTTTCAACTTTCCTCTTCAAGCCACGTGGTCCGTCACGGGAATGGGTATGTTTATCCAAAACTCGAGATTTACCAGCCGATGGCCTGGCTGTGCTTCGAGAAGTCGCGGTGGACGACGGTGGCGATGCTGGCGGTGATGAAGGCCGGCGGCGCGTTTGTGCTGCTGGACCCGGCGCACCCGACGGCGCGGCTGCAGATGATTTGCCAGACGGTGGGTGCGCGGCTGGTGGTGGCGTCGGCGGCGCAGCAGGTGCGGGTAGCGGGCCTGGCCCCGACAGTGGTACCGGTGGGCGACGACCAGGAGGCCGACTGGCCACGAGGCCCGCAGCAGCCATGGGAGGGATCAGCCGTGACCCCCGACAACGCCCTCTACGCCGTCTTCACGTCCGGATCGACCGGGACGCCCAAGGGCGCGGTCATCCCGCACGCGGCCTTTGCCACCAGTGCAGACGCCCACCGCCACGGCTACTATCTCACAGATAAGTCCCGCGTCTTCCAGTTTTCGTCATACGCTTTCGATGCTAGTATTGTTGAAATCATTACCACAGTTCTAGTTGGCGGCTGCGTATGTATTCCATCAGATACGGCCCGTCAGAATAACATTTCGGACGCAGGGGCAAGGCTAAATGTGACATTTGCTCAATTAACTCCATCGGCCGCCAGGCTTATCGAGAAAGGGAGTATACCGACACTCGAGACACTGATATTTGGTGGTGAGCCAGTTACTGTTAGAGATATTGCACGATGGGAAGGGCAGCAAGAACTCGTCAATGGATACGGCCCCGCTGAGTGCTCCGCGATCTCGACGGTTCACCCACGGCTTAGTCAAGAGGGCGATGCTGGCAACATTGGATGGGCGGCTGCCTGCGTGACCTGGGTGGTGGACCCTGCGGACCCCGCGCGGCTGCTACCGATCGGGGCGGTGGGCGAGCTGCTGATCGAGGGCCCCATCGTCGGGCGCGGCTACCTGAACGACCCGGAGCGGACGGCGGCAGCCTTCATCGCGCCCCCGGCCTGGCTATGGCAGTTCCGTGGCAGCGACAACACCCCACCCGGCGGCACCACTGATGCTCCCCGGTTGTACAAGACGGGCGACCTGGTACAGTACGCCGCGGACGGGTCACTGCGGTTCGTGGGGCGAAAGGACACGCAGGTCAAGCTGCGCGGCCAGCGCATCGAGCTCGGCGAGGTGGAGCACCACACGCGGGCGCGGTTTGCGGGCGCACGCGAGGTGGTGGCGGAGGTGGTGACGCCCCGCGAGGCCGGACGGCCACCCGCCCTGGTGGCGTTTGTGTGGGTGGACGGGCCGGGCCAAGGTGAAGACCAGGGCACCGCACAGGACCCGAGTGACGTCCTCGCGCCGCCCAGCGCCGCGTTCCGGGCAGCCGCCACGGCCGCCGAGGCCGCCCTCCTCTTTAATCAAAGGCTACGCTAGCGTTGATTTCCTAATAGTCGTCAGAAGCTAAACCGAAACAAGTTATATAGCCTGACACTTAAGTAGCCCTGCCTATCAATTGACTTTTTTTTTATATATAAAATTCCGATACCGATGCTTCATCTATCTCCTATTGATAGGCGGACTAGAGAAATTATGTGATCAGGACTCTGTCCTTGTCCTTGTTCGAGCAACACACTTAACAATCTTTTTCGGGATTGTCGTAAGTTCTTTAATATATTGCAAAGATTATTGTCTTACAAACCTTTTTAGTGTATATATGCTATACTGGGGCGTGTCATCTTTGGTCCTGACGAGGATTTCGGGAAACACCAAGCCCAAGGTGCATTACCTGCTTTCATTCGTCTACAACGCCAAGTTTCGTATTTTGGAGACCCTGATGGGATTAACGGTCTCTTAAAACATATTGCCGATGATGAGATTAGTTGCAAGGTCCTGCGGATGTTATGGGATGAAAGGTCTGAGGAACACATCCCATACAGACCGTTTACTCAGTGGCCGGGTGTTGTTGATTCATCGTTCGAAGATCTCATTCAGCGGCTCACAAACCTGGATCCTACCAAGCGACTCACGGCGCATCAGGCATTGGAGCACCCATGGTTCCAAGATCAATAGACAATCGTGAATTATTCTACACGTCGTACATTACCCTGCACTTTTATTTGGTTCGCTTCCTATATGGACTTTGGTTGATTTTTAGGAGTAGAGACATCTCTTTGGCAAGCGGCTACGGACACATCACCAGAGATTCCCTTTCTGGTCTTTGCATTCTTCATAAGGAGGTGTCGAACTCAACCGAAAGTCGTGAAATATATCATGCCTGACCGTTCCCTCGTATGTACTTGTTGTGTCCGGAGTAGATCCCTCATGCAGTCGATCATAAAGGCCCCCCAGTGTCGGGTCGAATGCAAACCTAAATCATATGGAAGCACTAAAACAAACAGAAATAAATTAGCGAAAGAAGAAGATTCCGAAGTTAAGTTTGTACATACCACCATGCCCCAACCCCATATGTCAGCTTCTTTCGACCATTTGAGACCACCTGGAAACTCAAACTGTATGTCTAGAATTTCACAATCGATTGCTAGAACTCCGATGTGTGTTTCAGAGCTCGACAAGGTGTTCTTCACGTAAGTAAGACTTCATTGGTTTAATCTGACACTTTCGTATATTTCTACCAACAAAACGTTGACAGTGCACTTCACGGGCCACCACACAAGCCAGCTATGAGGTTATGCTAAGTTGAAAGGTTGCTTAATGCATACATCTCCACTAGCTACTAAACCCACCATCTACTTCGAGCTCATTGCATTGAGCCCAGCAATGCGCCCAAAGACGAGCGCGCGTAAAACAGCAATAGCATTTGGCGCGGTGTCGTGGAAATGGCCGGTAATCTCACCTGCGGCGTAGAGGTTAGGAATAGCGCCTTGCTGGGTTAATACTCGCGCTTCTGTGTCAGTCGCAAGTCCACCAAAAGTGTATACAATAGCAGCGGCTAAAGGAAAAGCTAAATACGGCGGAGAGTTGAGCGGGCGGGCCCAGTTCGACTTTAGAGGTTCCAAGTGTGGGCCAGTTGCAAGGCCATCAAGGCTGCCAGCAGAAAAACGGGATACGTCTGTGTCACAAGCTGCGTTGTAGCTTGAGATTGTATCTAAGAGCGCCTGTTCCGGCACCTTCATCTGGACTGCTAGGCCAGATACTGTGTCCGCTGTAAGAGGCGGGATGTCGGTGCGAATGGCCGCTTCATAGCCTTCCACCTCAGAGAGTCTTGAATCGCAAACTACCCAGGCTGACTGGCCCGGAGCATCAAAGTGGATAGTTCGTGAAAGTTGTTCCCAGGTGTCATGGACGAGCCCTGCGCCCTCATCAACGAATCGCTTTCCGTTGCGATTCACCACAATACCATAAGGATAGACGAGCACTAGTGGTGCAGGCATATCGCTGCGCGGATCGATTATTTCGCTATGCATGCCATTCCAATTTCCATTTACCGCAGCTCCGTTATTCAGCGCCATTTGGATCCCATCTCCTGTGTTCCACCGCGTGCCTGGAGATATCGGTCGTAGAGACTCCGCACCGGTCCCGAAATAGGTATGCAGGAGGTCTGGATTACCTTGGAATCCACCGCTGGCGAGAACAACGGATTTGGCAATGAATCGCCGCCCGTCTGCCGCCTCAATGGTGGCCCCTTCTTTCCCAAGGTGCAGTTGCTTGGCGCGGCATTCGTACACCAGCTGGATGCTTTTTGCCCTGGCAGATCGCTGCAGCGCTTCGATTATGGCGGCACCTTTGCCGACGGGCTGAATCCTATTTGGCCACGACTTCAAGAAATAGTCCATGGCATGAAATTGCACACCTTGTCTCTCGAGCCACTGGACGGCCTGCGGTGCCTGGTCGGCCAACTTTTCGAAATAGGCGCGGTCGCCGTTTACGCCACTGATGGTCATCATATCATCCACGAAACCAGGCAATATCTCATTAACAGATCGCATGCGCATATTGGCGGGGCTATAACGCGTGTTCCCCCCGCTGGCATCCTCAGGCGTGCGCTCTAGCACGGCAATCTGAGCTGCTGGAACGAGTTCCGCCGCCGATACTGCGGCGGCTAGACCGGCCACGCCGTGACCAACTATGACAAGGTCATACATGCTAATTGTTCCTGCCATTTCGTTTTGGTATTTAGATTTCAGCAGGTTTTAGACACTCAAGTTGCTTGTCGTGGTGTTTGATGAAAAGATCTCGTCGTCGCTGAAGTCGAAATGATTCGCGCCGTAGGATTCGCTTATGTGTTGGCGCTAGTGTCTTCTGATAACGTGATTCCCGGCTACCCGAGCGTCCCGGTTACTCGAGCGATGCTTTGAGAACTTCAAATTTTGTAAATTTTCAATCCCAAATATTAACACGAAAAACATCAATTAATGACTAAATAACTTTTTGAGGACATCGAACATAGGTATGCCCTTTGGTTCCGCATCCAGAACAGGTGATTTGGCGCCGTATAGTAGATACAGGGGGTAATTCAGGCTCTACTGGTGGATCTGCAGCACCTTCCGTTGTAGATATATATTCACTCCCACCAGGTTTTCCCTCCACTATATCAGGTACAATCTCTTCCAAACTTCGTAGACTGCCTTCATGCCTGATCTGTTTCTTACTAGAAGCCTTTTTTTTCACCTGCTTCTTATTGGCAATCTCCAATTTAGCGTAACGATCTTGAATAAAGATGAGCTCGTGAGCTAGCCGAACGGTCATATTATGCGACCGGTCAATAGCTCGTTTAAGTGGTGAGGTCATGGTCTCTGATGACTGTTCAAGTCCTTTCTTGATCTTAGAATTTGATTTTTGCAGTTTCGAGAGGCTCCAAAGCGTATCTAGATCACTAGTACTGCTAGAAGATGCTGGTCGTAGCTCAAGTTGTTGAGATGATATGAACGATCTATTACACGTGGGATCCCCCGGTTATCGACTCTGGAAATACAATAGGGTCTTCTTTGGCATAGGTGAGATATACAGGCCGAAGTGGGGCGAGTTATTTGTGCCTTCCAGTGCCCTACCGCATCTTGGAAAGATCATGCGGCACTGAGAGGATGGATGTATTAGCCTGAAGTTTTGACGGTTGGTGGGGGACCGCAGGTTGCAGGTGTATTGTATAGTCTTGTAAGGACCGATATGGACGCACGTATGCAGAGCATCGAGTAAAATATAATTTGGGCCTTCTGCTGCCCCATTGTAATTACTCCGACCGAAGCAATGATGGATCTCTCCTCAATGTACGATTGGTTAGATAAATATTAATGTAGTCAATTGCTTAGCTAATACGTCCGGAATCAGGACCGCTTAGTTAAGAACCTCTTCGCAGCAGCTAACTAGGAAAGCCGGTCTTTGCATCAAGCATGAACCGGAAATTGGGCAGACGAAAAGAATTAGAAACATGGTACTGCTCGCCAGGCCAACAAATGAAAAAGTACAACCCCAAAACAACAGCACTGAGAATGTAGTTGCTGAGGATTGCACGAAAATATTCAAGACTACATGAGAAGAAGCCACGCCCACAAAGATTGCACATCATTAGCAGCAAAATAAGATATGCGGTGCGGTCGAGCGATAATTATCACGAAGGGAAGATCAAATCGAGTGGCCAGGCAAAAAACGGTCTGTGTATTTGACATTTGCATGCTAGCCGATCCTCGACTTCCGACTGCCACATAAGAGGGAAGACATGCGATAGTCAGAGGAATGCTGAAAAAGGCCGTTATTCATTGTGACAGAAGGCTGGTCATAAATAGTGCACCCCTCAAGACGAAGGGAGATCTAGAACGATGATTACAAGAGGGGAGCGGTACGGAAATAGGTTTTATATGACGTCTCTACTCTTGATTGGTTCTTGCTCTTCGGTCGGGTCTCACAGTACTTATTTCCTCTCAAGAGGATACTCTCAAGAGCGGATTCCTCCTGGAAGAAAGTTTCTGGTTGCACCATCCCAAGCGCATAAAATTTCCGAGACACTCTACCTAGAAATACCTTACTGTCATTGGCTTCTTGCCAATCTGTCTACGAGAAGCTCTACTTAGTCCCATGATAGACATAGGAAATGTCCTCCATTCCGTCAACCCTCTTCAAAGGCCTCTCTCGGGGGAACATGGCTCCTCTCTATTAAAACCTTCTGTTTCGGGCCACATGTGTCCATGCCTGATTTGAAAGGGAATTCATAATCGCCGCATAGAACCAGGACGTGCATTTTGATCCTCTTCTGCCCGATCCAAAACTCGAGAAGCCATTGATAAAAGTTGCTTGTCCTTGACGAGTCGGCCTTCAGCCGCAAGCCTTTTTTCCTCCTCCTCGGAAATCAAGAATATGGCGTTATTGCCGTCCGCGATTGCGGCGCGGTAACAGTTCGCAGGGCTGAGGCTGTGTAGGTTTAAATCATAGAGTGAGTAATCCTTCCATGTATACTTTTGCGCAACTCGCTCTACCGGTGAAGGATCCGACCGGTCGACGAAGAGATGGTCTGACTTCTTCCACTGCTCTCGCTCAAGGACCCAGAACTGAATCTCGACCGGGTCTTGTGGTCGTGGCGGCCCCTTCGTCGTTACTGGAGACGCATGCTCACCTGCTGAGGAAGTCTCACTCGGACTAGTCGTGACAATATCCTGTTGAATCAGCGTGGCGTTCTGCGACGCTGATTCCGTCTGCTGGTCATTAGAACCCAGCGGTGGTGGAATCTGCCTGTCTTCAGGTTGAGACTCTTCCTCGCGCGTTCGCGCTTGCTGGGACAGGCCAAGTTCTTCATGAAGTCGTTCACGCTCCATCTCCTCTTCCACTCGCTCCTGCTCTTCCTGGGCCTTTGTCAGGCCGGCAAGAAAGTCATCCAGTTCTTGCTGTCTGTGAAGGCCGCTAATATTCGACAGATTGCCTACCTCGGACCTTGAAGACACTCGCAGTGCTGCATGATCGGTTTGGTTTTGATCCTCGAGAGCTTCATCTCGATCTTGCCCCTCGATCATTGCTCGCTCATCCATCTCCTGCTCAAGCTGGATCGCTTCGATGGAGACCCTCGTGCAATCACTCATCGCATCCTCAACTTCCGGGGCAGAAGAGCCATGGGAGGAATACATGCTGACCGACGCTGCATCCACCGGTGCTGATGTGCTCTGCATTTCCCCGGGGGCATGGTCTTCATTGGATGGACCGGTTTGATCTGACATTTCCTGATCCCTCATCTCCGTGTTGAGTACTTCCGGCTCCATGGGCTCTTGGTCCCTGGTATTCCCAGGGTCCGAAGCAAGTTTGCGTATCTGACCTTTCCGTCTCCGTCTCCGCCTTAAGACATCGCGCTCTCTTTCGGCCCTCAGCACCTGCTGATGTCTCATACTCGGTCGTGCTTTATCCCGTTCGACCCTCTGTGCTTGTGACTCTTGTTCACGGCGAGAAGGCTCGCTGGTTGAGTTTGTGTGAACTGCGGATGCATCAATACCAGACGGACTTTCCTCTCCGACAAACAATGGCGACCGAGGTACGTCGGCCATGCCTTGATCCGCATCGGCGTTTTGCCTGTCGCTGATGTGGCTAGGGCCATACTTTGCAGACTTTCCGAAGAACGCAAAGTAGACACAACGACGAACAAAAAAGCTAGTAATCGTGTCCGCAACCGGAATATCAGCATACAATCGGTCTAAAAATAGTAACGGGCTGTCTTGGTTATGTGTCCGTGTTTGTGGCACCCCGGAGCGAACCTGTAGCTTCACAGCGCTATCTGCCAGAAGATCTGGCGAGAGATCGGGCTGATCAGGAACAGCCTCTGCGAAAAGATTCACAATCTGGTTGACCAAAATATCAAACTGCTGACGGTCGTATCGATACCGGCCTGGTTTCCTGGCCTTCAGTAGAGCCGATCGTGCGATTTGATGATCCGGAGAACTGTCAATTAACGCACTGATTTCTGGCGACGCGAACCCCAGCTGACGAGCGAGTTCGGCCATCTCAAAAATTGTTCTCTCATCCGGTTTGGCACGAGCTGGTTTGGCCAACAGTTCGTCATCATTCTTGGGGTCCGGGGGCATCAGAGGATAGTGCCTCATTGAGTACAGCCACACCTGCAAATACGCCGTCTCGAGACGTCCCATATCGGTTGCCGGCTGTCGTCGAAAAGTAGACTCGGAGGTCTGAATCATACATTCCGCTGTTCTGAGAACTTCTTCCTCTTCTTCTGATGATGCAGCAAACATCGAACTCATGGTCTCCCAGACCGAGCCGGTCGATGGGCCGTAAAGTCGCTTCACACAATGAGCGCAGCTTTCCAGGTATTTAAAGTCCTCGAAGAAGGTGTACAGGGATGGTATCAGGCTGTCGAAGTCTTGCATCTGGTCCCATATGATTTTGCGTTCTTCGTCACTGAACCTAGCGAACGCTTGCCCACTCAGAACTAGCCCACAGGCTGTTTTGGCGTCCTTGCGGCATTTCCCTGGTGCTAGCAGCTGCAGGGATTCGACGGTATCCTGGTTGATCTTTTTCATTGCAGCACTATCCGAGGCGACCAAGGAGGACCAGAACTCCCAGATATGATCAAGATAAGTGATTATTTCCTACAGCAGGTCGAATCATGTGATGAGCAGAGGTAGTCTAAGCATAGGTTCAGGAACTCACTTCCACACAGCCCGAGGCTATCAGCCGGTGAAGCACACTGATCCTCATTCCTGGCCAAAGCCCAGGAATAGCCAGTAGCCTATCAAAGGCGCGCCGCAAGCGGCGGTTTCTCTTATTATCCAATTGGTCCAACCGTTCTTGATTGCTCTGCGATAGACGTACAAACCATCGCTCCCTGAAAGCTTCGTCATACTCGCCCTCGTATTGTCGGATCTTGCGGTAAATGTCTCCGTCAGTCGGCTTCTTCTGGTTGGCATATTCCTCCACCAAAAAGGTTCTCAGTTCTTCGCCGATATCTTGGTTGATGGTTAGTACAGATACGGTTGAATCATTCTCGACATACCGTCTAAGTAAAGATCTACCGTCCACCAGCGATCAGCCGGAGAGAGTATCTCGGACCCTGCTCGTACGCGATGACGGCCATGGAGACCTTGAAGTTGCCCGGCCATGAATCCAAGTCGGGGTAATTGATGAGCGTCATTCGTCAGCAGCGACTGCTGTGGAATGTTCGCTTTTCGCAGGGCATTGGCGAGATCAAGCCGTGATAAGATCGCAGGGATATGATTGTCAACATCCAGGCGGCGACAACGGTTCTTACGAAACACGCTACGGAGTCGAGCCACATTCTTGGTATCGAGATCTCGGGGCAAAGGAGGATCGAATTGAATTTGACTGATGCTGACCTTGGCGGCTCCAATATATTTCAGGCGCCGCTCTGTTGCCAGTCGCACCTCTTCTTCTGTGAATAACGTTCGTGTCATTACATGGATAGAAGCGAAAGGTGGAGCGGGATTGAGGGATAGAAAGTCATATATTAGTAGATATCTTTCAATTCGTCTCTGCTGCGGTGGCATTGCGCCCCTCCGCCTGGCCCCCACCTGCGGAGTCCGCGCAGTGTACCGCAGCGCTCGTAGCACCTCATCCGAGGAATCATTTAAAGTCGTAGTGCAGTCTTCTTTGTCACTTATATTGCTTCTTTGAATTTGGATTTTTGACCATTCAGCCATGGGGTTGAATGATGACAAGCGAGCCACAAGGCTCCAACCTCACCAAGTTGCCCTGCTGCAGCAGCCTCTACCCAAGATTACAGCCGAGGAACGACCATCTCCTGAGCCAAAGTTGAAGCCAAAACCGCTATCTCCCGACATGCACCCAGGCAAAAGATCTGCCCCGCCTACATCCGCAGAGCCCAGTGGGAAGGTAATGCGAGGTCCACCACGCGACTTGGCTCTTCAAGAGACTGGCAAACTGGGCAACGGTGCCGACTCAGACTTGATCATACGTGATGAATCTCCTTGGGACACTTTCAAGAAGTACTATGAGTGCGATCTAGCCGGCACTGTTGCTGTATGCGTTCGAAACTCCGACAGCCGCGCCGCACGTGCGATTCGCCGATTCCCTAGCGAAGACACCGACAAAATCCTGGGCATCCTCCGTTCCACGGATCATAAGAACGTGGCTTCCGTTTGGGAATGTTTCCGCACCCCTGATGCGCTGTATACTCTTTGCGAGTTTGATCCACTCACGTTGGATCATGTTGTCGCCTGTAAAGCCTTCCCAGACCAGCAGCAGTTAGCTGCTATTATGTGCCAGGCTCGTACCTCGATCATTCCCGCGCAATCTACGAAGTCGCTAACTATACACAGTTTCTCGAGGGACTATCGTATATAGTGGCCCGAAGCTTCCACCACACTTCTTTGAATTGTTCCAGCGTCCTGATGAATCTCAATGGGGAGGTAAAAATCGGTAAGTTTAGTCCATGAACACATCTCGGTTCCTTGTCTGAAAAAATTAATAGCACGCCTTGACTGCTGCGTGATCCGGCAGGCAGGTAAAATTAGAGCTAGTGATTTATCTCCTGTTTCAACAGTAATGATGGGAACTGATGCAAAAATACACCAAGGACGATGGGGCTGTTGGGATTGACAACCTTGAACGCTGGCGGACCTGCCCAGCCGCCATCGAGTTTCTCTCCGCGACCACCTCAGCCAGCTCTTTTGAGGAGCTAAAGAGAGTTCGTGAGCCCTTGCATACCCTGATCCCATTTCGAAAATCACTCACTGGTTCTCAGCATCGCCTGTTGATGGAGACCCGATGGTGCCCCAGCGATCTGATCGGACTTGCATGGTTCGCCCTTATATCCACCCGCACATTCTATTCGTATGTACCTCGGCCGAAAGAAAATAAATAGGCTCATCGAGCGTGCGAAAGATAGTGAGGGCCGTGTCGGTCAACTCCCAACAGGTTCAGTCAGAGATAAACAATGATGGACACGCAGGGTGCACAGCTCGAGGAGGGGTGAGCTAAATATATCACGAACGGACTAGAAAACCAAGCGTCCAAATTGTATTTCATTCTTGATCCTGTGTATATCAAAGTCTAATATCGTGTAATTATAGGTGACATAACTCTGTGAACAGTAATTGAAAAAACTGAGATTGAAAGAAGACAATGAAAAACTTAGTGATGAAAACACGACGGCAACCAGAGATTGAGAATTCCCAATAATTCTCTATTCCAAAACAGTCATCAGAGGATCGCCAGCTGGTACACTGTTTCTTTGCAAGGATTTTAGCCGAGAAGCTCTGTCATCTTTTGCATTGCATCTTTCTTAGCATCCACTGTTTTCCAGGGATTGTCGGAGCGCTGGGAAGCCGAGGCCACCTTGTCATCAGCACGAACACGTGCCATTTCTTCGGGTCTGAGAAGACCAGCCTCCCAGTCGAAAATGGTCTTGTGGAGATCAGATGTGATTTGCCCAAACATGAGAGATGTAACCACGGGCTCTAAGGCCTTGAAGGCGCGAATAGTGCCTGGACGAGTTTTCTGGACGAAGGTAATGAAAACGTCGATTTGAGGATTGGTAAATGTACTTTTGCACCTAGAGCACATAAGATCAGTTGAGCCACGAGATGAACTCAATGGGACACGTACATGACCCTCATAGGGTCGCCTGCCAAGAGAATTCCGAGTCCCAAATTTCCTGCAAGCCGCCACCACCATTTACCGCGGCGTACATGATAACCGGTGACCCGATTACGGCGAGACTGCCGTTTTTCCGATGCGTGGGGGTCGTCCGGGTAGGCATCGAGGATGGAATTCAGAACGTCAGTGACCTTGGGCTTGGACGAGGAACGAGAACAGTATTTCTCTGGTCGTTTGCAAAGCTCCTCGTAATTAAAATAGAGCAATACCTGTCCTATACGCTGCGCGATGGAGCCCAAACAATGTGTCGTCTTGTCTGCATCTAGTACGCGAAGGTAATCTGCAGCCGCACGTATACCTCTCCATTGCACAGGAAGTCCAAGTCCATGCAAGTTGAGTAACTGAAATTTATTCCAATGGTCAAACAGAGGTCTTAGCAGTCCATCAACGTCCTTTGAGAGGAGGTCATCTTCCGCGTCAAAAATATCCCGAATTCGTTCATCGTTGAGTGAGGCACCATAAGAACACAACAATCTTTGGATAGTTTGCTTTGAAATATTTCCAGTTAATTTCATGGATGCCTGTTCCTCCTGAGCGCTGGTGAGTTCAGGCATTTCGGCCATTTGGCTGACCATGATCGCTCCATGCCCCAACAAGATAAGTTCCTCTTCCATTCTGGGGGTTTGAACACAAAGGGTAGACGGTGTCAGGTAGCAGGGATGTCCCTGGTCGTTGCTAGATATAACCGCAGGCGATGGCGACGCTATTCCAGGATGTAGCCGAGAGCAGCCAGCCTGACTTGGGCCTGACACCAGAAGCGTGCTTTCACCGGGGGTCTGACAGGATGTGAATGGTGTCGAATAAGAAGACAATCCCTCATCCAGTCAGGGTAAATGAAGTCATATATACATACATATGTTGTAGTTGTACAGTGCATATCCGCGTAGGATATGCCTGCCTCAGGCAGGCGCTGTACAATCTGGCAATTCTACCTATTGTCCCTCTCGATGCTTTCTTATCAGCCGAAGAGTTGCGTCCCCTCACGATACCATGGTTCGACGGGCGCCATCATCCTTAGTGCGTCTACGTGAGCACGATAAGGAGATTGCACCTCATCACTGGAGGATTGAGGATAGGATATATAGCTCTGGAGTTTCTCTTATCTTGAACAGTAGACTTGAACAGTTGAATAAAAGTAGACTGCTTTTTCAAGTAAAAACCATTGTCATCTTCATCATAGGTATCTTCATCCTGTAATTCAACAACATAAATACATACATACATACACTGTAGATTCTACCAGCTCCTGACAACGAACTTAGAGCGTCGTCAAGGCCATTCGCTGTCACTTCTGTGCCTTCCTGTTGGTTGCTTGACTGGCTGCTGGACGTGTTCCTCCCATGATACTTCTCGATCCAGGATCAAGCTAGCGATTCAGCCGTGGGTGACGGTTTGATCTCTTTACCGTTCATGATTACTCAGCCGTGTTCTTGTTGGTCTTCCTCTTTAGTGAAGTGAACCAGCTCGGTTTTCTCGGGGTTCATCCCGAGGCCAACGGCATCTGACTATTGCCTGAGTCCCAGCTTCCTACAAGTTCGAACTGCGAAACAGGAACAGTTCCATCGAGCCCTTCGTTTGATATGGGGTAAAGTCCTCGGACCTCATGGGCGATAAGAGCGAGCCCTGCACTAACTCGACGTTCGCCAGCGTCTTCCGGGCGGCCATCCCTCATGAGAATATCGATCCACTTTCTGGCTACTGTGGTAATTCTTTCTACCTGGAAGCACGCGTCTGGCCTTGCTTTGTTGACCCTGTCTAATATGCAGTAAATCAAAAGCTTTCAGACATACCCAAAATAGTAAGAGCTGCAATTTGCAAGTTGTATCTTCAAATATTCACCAGAATTAATGCCTACTTAATTGTTGCCCACAACGTACGTACCTATGCACCTCTTGACGATACAAGACTTTGCTGAAGCCTGTCTTCAGGCTATGATAACCGGCCTTTATCAATTTCCTTGATATTATGGAGCTCCTTCAACAAGTGAAAACCAGTCTCTAATATATTTGACCGGTGATTCCAGAGGTAATTGTGCAGTTTTACACCAAAGGGAATGATATCCAGAGCATCACCAACCAATCGAGCAACTAGAGGACGGTTTTTAGTAAGTCCCGAAATATTCCGTCGATCTGGTTTTTGGATCCGGCCTATTAAGTATCTTTTCGCCAAGGGCATCTGTTTCTGGGCAATTTCCTGTGCCTTCCTCTTGATCTTTCGATACATCCACGTCTTGATCAGGTTTTCCTCCATGCGATTAGGGTTGTATGCCTGTTTCTCTTTAACACGATCTGGTGAAAGGAGGCTTTTTTGCATCGTGTCAAGAGGAATCATAGGGCCTGGGAAATCAAGTATTGGGTTCACCGTATTGCTCTTTCTTCTGCCGCTCCTGGCTGTTTGCAATCTAATTTGCTGGATGAAATGCAAAAGGGCTTCATTAAAGTAATTAGGGTCATCAAGATTCAATTCTGAGCGAGACTTCATAATGACGAACTGTAGGGAACTGCCCTGAAGATAAAAGTTGACTGCTCTGACAATGCGAAAGAATCTTAACTCAAAGGTTATGCTGGCTTAGATATAAGCAGAATTCAAAGAGCCGTTTAGAGGAGGCCTGATTGATTCAAAGGCTAGCGTTTGTTCAGTTTAAGAAGAACTTATCAACACGTCAAAGGGCTTTGTGCAAATGTGGTTTGTTCATCTTAAGGTTTAATTGGAGAAGTGAGTAGGTCGACTGCTTAAGGAAGAGTCATATAATTCACGGCGATACTTCAAGATTTCTGTCGCTCAACAAAACAACTTCTATTGAAGCTTTCACTCTCGTGACATGGCTCTGTCAATATGCAGGGTCTCACCGGAGAAGAGTCAAGGCTTTTTGACTATGGTCGTCTGCATTTCCAAGGTTCGGCTTGGGTACGGCTGTGTGACCTTTCACTGGAGACCTCAAGTTTCGGTCGCTTGATGGATGACCGCAGGAATGTCGCGCGCCTCGAGAAGATTTTCAAAATCAAAGGGTGCTTGCGCTTGAGCCAGGAATACCATATACCTGTTTCGATTGACTCCAATGACTGGGAAATTAGAGTAAGAAAGAGCTCAATAGATGGCGCCATTCCTTATCAATTAAACGTGGACCGTGGATATCGGCTTCTTGCTCTCGACCATGTGAATGTTATTCTTGCAGCTCGGAGCCAACTCGAGGGCTATGATCCTTGGTGGGTCGTCGATGTTTACGTGACTGGATCAGGCAGTGAGTAGACGTCATGTGAAGAAGTATTACTCGCCTCTCTAGTAGTACTGATAAGGTTCTTGGGACAGATAGTGATCCCAATAATGCTATGAGCGAGAATCCTGGTCTCCAGAGAGAGTTCCTTCGCTGTCTTCGCGAACGGTTTCCCAATGATCGTCAACCGCCAGATGGTCTGATTTACCATAAGATTCGGCTTTATTCAGGGAGTCTTGATGGTGTTCGTAATGTTCCAGCACTCAAGCATTGGTGGTCTGTCTTGGAAAATGGCTCAGGAAGCCGGAAACGACAATATCTGAAAGCATTCTTCAAACGCAACAAAGAACTTGCCGAAGCTTTCGACTCACTTCTCCCAATACCTGGCCTTTGGGCAGATATGCATATTGGACTTTTACACAAATTAGGGGCGATGAAATGTGATGAGGTAATGTAAAGTGAAAGCCACTTTAGAGTTTTGGAAACTAACGCAGACTAATGGAACAGCCACTCATTTCCTATTTAAATCTCATCAAGAAGACGTTTTGTGAAATAATGAACCACGACCTTACACTCTTGGCAGCTGTCGACGCCGTTTCCGTGCGCAAAATCAGGTCTCGTGCTCCTGGTGTGTCCAGCCAAGATTTGCATTACTTGAATGAAGAGATGCAAAAAAATAGGATATTTCCGTGCATTACAGACCCTGAGCAGCGGGTTGGAATTTTTGAGCGCTTTAAAGCCATTCACTATCCCATTCCAACACTTGGAACTTTTTTCCAGGACAGGATATACCTCGAAGTTGGCCAAGCAGTGATGAAAAAGCTGATCCAGCCTCAACCTGATATTCAATTGTTGACCATTGACAGTTTATTGGGAAGACAGCATCATCGCGCTGGAGAGATGAGATTACCATATCCGCAGGGGATTGTTGGAGATGAAATTTTTGATTTATGGAGATTTAGTCTCCAATATGGGTTCGAAATGACAGGAATTCAACGTCGAGTAGTCCGAAAAATTGCTGATATGGAACGAGAATCCGATAACAGACAATCTGAAACCACGCCGGAACTGTCATCAACACTACGGCAACATTTCTTTTTGTTGGCCCGCCACCATGGCTTTGACGTCCCCTCTATACCCGAAACCAGCCCTGAAATGACAGGTCTACCAATAACGATACCTTGTGACTTTCCAGCAGACGCTGAAGACGACCTAGAAATCATAAGACGATGTGGCAAACCTTTCACTGATACTGTGAATGCTGACCACTTTGCTCTCTCAAGAGACGCTTTGAGAGATCCACCAGGGCAGCCCCGAATGTCAGCGGTCTTTGTACGACAGGCAGTCTTCCGTGCTTTCTTTAGTTATCTTAACGTCATTACGATCCAAAGCCCGAATAACTCTTCAAATGATTTTCCAGGAGCAAGTAACAATTTTACTTTCGAGGGAATGGAGGACATGGACTTGTCCACGAATGAAAATTTCAATGTGCATCCTGGCCACTCTGAAAACAATGAGAGTAGCCTGGGCTACGGGAATCTCAACCCGGGACATGACGAGTGGCCAAATGAAGTTGAGATGACGCCGCCCTCATATTTCACGATGCACATTTCTTTGCCAGACAAAGCAGACGAATCTTTTCGAATGCCAAACAATAAAACAGTGCTGGGTCAGTTCTTTGAGAGCTTGGATACTCAGGGCTTTGAGATTACTCGTTTAGGTGAAGAGCGGACACTGCCTTACGATGAATGCTACTCTTACTATCTCGGAGGCCCCTCCATACCACTGAAAGCGCAACCTAGAAGTGGTTGGGAAGATGTATCAGCTTGGAAAAAGAGGAGGGCAGCAGCTGGTGCTGTTTCCTTAAGCCCTGCTGAAGTCTGGTTCGAGGCAGAGAAAGCAAAACTGAATCAATCCGAGCCAAGCTTTCCTTCTTTTGCGCAGCGACAAGCTAATGTGCAGCGAGCAGACAGTGAAGGGGAGTCATTCGCTGATATTACTTAAGAATCTTCAGCATATACTGGACTTGTGGCGGATCAAAATTAGGCGACCCCGCTGGCATATGAATGAGCTCTATTTTCTCGGTAAATTAGCGTAGTAATGGGGCCGTAGGGCCATTTCCTCGCTATCAGTTGACCCGCCACTAGAAGTATAATCCATTGGCAAGAGATTCCCAAGATTGGGGATCTCGTAATTGTTGAAAGGTCGATGGGTAAAGGATCTCGGAAAGAGATGAACCAGTTAGCACCCGGCGTGGGCTAGGAACCCTTCGTCATTACCCGAAGCCCTTTCGCCTCCCCCACCCCACTCAGCACCCAAGCCAACTACCCCACTCGGCAACTTAAAGCCTCTTTTTCCGCATCTCGACCTCCAGCCCGGGGTGTCTCTTTCAAAAACCAGCTTCTCACCGGCGTCACACCCCGTCAGCTTGCCCAAAGAGGGTTCTACAGCAAATATTCGAAAATGGTCTCCCTGTTTTACACAGAGTAACTATCTCAAGCCCCACCGCGAAGATGATGGTAAAACCTCCTAGACTGCAGATCATCACTTCGCGTCAGAACGGAAATGTAAAATACCTGACAAGGCTGATACGTCAAGGCCGTTGAATGTTACGTCTCGCTACTCTTTTCGCGCTTGTCGTCTTCATCTCCCGCCCGAGCCCATGTTATTGCAGCTCACACCACCTGAAACCCCATTACAAGACAGACAAGAAAAGGGATAGCTTGCAGACTGCCTTGTAAAAATTCAATTCGCGATATGATCTTGAGCAAATCACTGACCACAAATCAGATCGCTGATGCTGCTGGATATAGTCCGCGTTTCGTCACCACCATCCGGAGGAATCCGCGGCAGTTTGGTGATACCCCTCCAAATTACACGATAGCTCAAGTTAGATGTAAGAACGTTGTGTGACGTTTATACAATAAATCCAAGGAAAGAAGAACAAAGCTTCCTTGGAAAATATACATACTGGGATTAGACCTTTCGTCGGATGGTGTGTTATTGGTATGATTGGATGCGAAGGGTCTATTATGCTAGAAAATACGCTGAATAAACCTTGGTGGAGTGGGCACTGTTTGATGGACAGTCATATTCCATTGATGACACCCATTTATTCAGAGATATACATGCAGCATACACGAGGAGTGGAGGACTTGAAATGCGGAACCCACTGGGTGAATCCGGGTTACCCTGAACGGAACGAAGCCCTTTTCCTTGCATCTAGAGTCGACTATAGCTGTTCATATTGATTATTCACCTATGCATACGTGGGACCATCACGAGAACCTTCTGGGTTCTTGGGAACCTACCTGAAGGGTGTTAGGCATCGTGGTTGCTTCGTTCTCACCACTAGGCTAAAGTAACAGGCTAAAAAGAACAACATTGTTTTTTTCTTAGTTTACGCAAGATACTAAAAACGGTCGGTTCCTGACAAAGGAAACAAACCCCTTGAAGATACAAGCCGGGCGATATCGCATGTTGTTTCACCAGCGAGATCCAAATCCCGCTTGTGGTTTCCAGCAATACCGCAACGGACAGTTGCCGAAACTTCACAAAGACGAGTATTTACAGTAGAGCAAGTTACAGTATCTGACAAGACTAAAGTTCTTTCATGGGAACCACTTGTAGTTCCACTCACATGGGCCTCAGCTCTCCACTAATAATCACGCCTAGGTCCGAAACAAAACCTCCCCAAACCCACGACCTCTTCAGATCAGCGCTCTCGAATCTCACTCACGCTTCCAATCTCATTCAACTCCATCAGACCCTCCACCTGAAGACCAAACGTCCCATGATGTCTATCCCCCTACCGGAATACGTCAAGCTTCGACCGGACAGAAAACCATCTCCACCTAGCGTGTTTCTTGACCTCTCCAAGCAACACCGAACGTCATCTCTACAGCTGAGAACCAGAAACAGACACAAGGCTCAGTCAAAAAGAACCCAAAGCTTCTCCATCCGAATCTAACCAGCCCGCATCTACCACTCAATCCATGCTCACTGTTGAAGACCTTGACCGTCAATTCCACACCGAACCGCTATCGTTTATCGTTTAAGCACAAAAAGAAGAACACAAAACGACCGAATAAACCAGCGTGCAGCGAACCTCATCTGCAAACTCGTCTCTCGCCAAGTTATCAATCCACGGCCGCACGCCCCGACCGGATCATATGGTAGTTTATAGCCTCAGCTATGTGGATAGCCAAAGGCGTGTTGAGCCGATCTAGGTCAGTCGGGGTCTCAAACGTTGAGCTTGCGTGTGAAGCCTAGATCTATGGCCTTGGTGAAATTCTGTGTTTTTAAGCACTCTCCTGGGCCGATGCTACCCCGGTCGTGCACTCAATAGACGTTGAGCTTATTATGGCTATCTGCGTTCTGGCCCGTGTGAGACCCATGTCGACACAGTGGGCGACTGCACGGTTGACCTGACAGAAAGTCATAGATCAAAGAAGACTTCCGACCATCAGAGAAGACAAGAGTGTGGCGATAGCTCCCTTTATAATACTGATGGTGTAGACTTCGAATTCAACTAAATTTGCCACATTTTCTGCAGTCGACAACCACAAAAAGATTCCTTGGGATTTTTTTGAAGATAAAAATCTGCATATCTACGCATTGTCAATGCTGTGACACTATCCGCACACACAGACAAGCTTCGCATTCTCCAGAGGAGACAAACGATACGAGATGGGTCGCTTTTACCATGTTGTTTTCCGTAGGATATCATTTTTCGCTTCGCTAGATCAAAATGCTAATTTGCTCTAGCGTGGAAGTGGCAAGGTCGCAAGAAAAATAGGACCAATATCAGTGATAAAGACTTTACTCTAGACATTGATATTGATTCTGGAAAACCTACAGGCTCGAACAGCCTTTTTGGAAAACCTGCGTCTTTTGGAAAAAAGCCTGCACAGTCAAATAGCTCTTCTAGGAAACCTACAGACTCCAGCAGCCTTTTTGGAAAACCTGCGTCTTTTGGAAAAAAGCCTGCACAGTCAAATAGCTCTTCTAGGAAACCTGCAGACTCCAGCAGCCTTTTTGGAAAACCTGCGTCTTTTGGAAAAAAACCTGCACAGTCAAATAGCTCTTCTAGGAAACCTGCAGACTCCAGCAGCCTTTTTGGAAAACCTGCGTCTTTTGGAAAATCTGCACCCTCCCCATTTCGATGATGACGACCTTGAAGACAATAGCAGGCTTACCACCAGCCGCTCGACTGCAAAAGGCCACTCTATTCGTTGACACTAGGCCTGTCTCACTTATGCAGGCCAAAACAGGCCATGTGAACTTACTTCTACCTGATTTGTTTCCCAGAATGTACTGACTGATTCCTTCTACTTGCAATGAAATTTTTGTAAACGTCGTGTTGAAACCTAATTTCTAGGCAAGCTAGTGCAGTAGTTGGTTGGTTAGTTGATGTCATTACCCTGACCTCTCGCAGTGAAAAGGGATATGCAGGCTACAGCTACTTTCTAAAAACATCCTAAAATCCTGATTGATAAAGTTAGTTTATTATTACTCTTACAACCTAGATCAATGGGCCATAATAAGTAAGTTCAGACTGTGTTGGTGGGCAGGGTTGATTGTGTTCGCAGTGAATGGGGGATTCTGTCCCTATCGCATCCTTGCCTCAGCCCCCTTGGTAGATTCTTATAGCATGTGTATGGTAGTCATATTTTTATGGAGATCTGTGGGTGATGACCCAGTATTATAGATAGAGGTCTTACCCTGATGCATGAGTAGTGTGTATCAAGGCGACAGGACAATACCATCAATACAGGTGATCCAACATACGTCTAGTTACATAGCCTCCATCTCTGGAATCTACATCTTTCTCTTTTCATTCATAGATTGTACTTCAATAATAAGGATTAACAATAATACAAAGCTCCAGATTCAGGAAAAGTGGCACAGAATAGAGAGCCAACAACCTTAAAATAAAGAGATGGTCGGTATTTCCGGAAGCTGTCATCCTAAGAACATTTACTTCAATGGGATGCAGTTTTCCCCGCAATCAGAGACGTCCAACCCAACCACAACTTCAGCGATGCTTCTACCGCCAAATGGAAAAGTTACGGATGACCTTAATATTCCTGGACTACGAGATGAAGGTGCCTGGAATTACAGTAGCTTGCAAAATCGCCCTGCGTTTTTACACTCACACTTTCTATTCCAAGTCTCAATGCCAAGACGGCTCTAGCCACATAAAGTTAGCCCTTGTCCTATATTTGGCTCCGTATATTACATAGTATTGTCACAAACAGTCACATGGTGCGTTTCAGGCCTACTCTACTGACTTCAATTTTGTGTCCCCATGGGTGCCGTCGTCAATCTTTAGTAATGAAGTAAAAATGGCAGTTACTGCAGTGATATATTTTTTAGCAGATTTATCCGAGGAAGAGCAGGTCGACTACAACTCAATATCGGGGGGGGTGGTGAAAATGTGTTCTCCATGGTCGCTACTTTGATCGACTTCTTGATGCGTTGGAGGGCGCGTTGAGATGCCAGTCGAGAGGGATGTTCTTCATCGAGCGTTCTCTCTTCCACCGCGACCACGTGTTCAAGTAGCTCCACGGCCTGCTTGATCTGCCCGTTGGATTGATATGCCCCTGCGAGTTCGTGCTGAGATGCCAGTCGAGAGGGATGTTCTTCATCATACTGGCATTTATTCCATGCACACACGTCTCCAAGAAGAGTGACAGCTTCTTTCGCTCGGCCATCGGCTAGAATGCATTTCCCAACCTTGGATAGTAAGGTATACCTCTCACTCACATCTTGACTTTCCTCTCTTCTGATAATTTCAAGAGCGTGTGGTAGGTACATTCTCCATGTGTCACGATTTGTATATTCATCAGATGGAAAACACTTGTCCATATGTTGCGTTAAGGTCGCGATAATCTGTTGTGTCTTCCGTGCATCTGTTATCCACAATCGGGTTGATAGCTGTACTAGGCTATGCACATCAAACACATTCTTATTGTCCCTCCTGGTGAGAAATCCGTAGCTACACAGCGTACCAATGGAAAACTCCATCTCCTCTTCCGAATCGAGGGTGGGGAGAATAGATAGCGGGATTGCCTTTGGCTCAAGGTAAGATATGAATCCTAACAAATCAGCAGCAGAGGGATCAGAACCCTGAATCTGATTAAATGAGATAAGCCATGTTGTGGCCACCGCGTTTGCCAGTCTACGATAGCGAGTGCTATCGTGGAACTCCCTGCTCGCTAGACGCATCCGATCTTTTTCGGTTTTATGCATAAGCTGAAGATATCGTGTGGTCGTTCCACCATTCCGACAAATATAGTAAGCTGCCTGTACAATAGCTAGAGGTAGGAAGTTTAGCTCCTCTAATAGTTGTATAGAGGAGTTCCGGTCACAAAGCGAGTCTTCTCCTACAATCTTGGTAAGAAAAGCAATCCCTTCCTCCGTTGTCATCTTTTCGAGCTCGACTATATCCCTTCCTGCGAACGATAGTGCCACCGCACGGGAACGAGTAGTGAGCAAAGTAACGCCGTAGTTGCTAGCAGGGAAATACTGATCAAGCTTATCGAAAAGCAAGTCCACGTCATCGGCATTATCGACAATGAAAAGCCACTTTCCGGCTCTATCAGAGCTAAGCTGTCGCTGTACTAATTCCATCGCACTTTCACCGTCTGCATTCTGAGGGATTTGCAGCTCTTTCGCGATTTGCGAACAAGCTTGCTCAAAACTCTCGAGACTCAGGGCAGGAGCCCAGAAAATTGAGCAGTCTGGTACATGCGCCTTCACCCATCGGGCAAGCTGAAGAGCAACTTGGGTTTTGCCGATGCCACCTAGCCCGAATAGAGCTAGTTTTTTAGTATTCGGTTGTAGAAATAGCTTCTGTTTAAGCTTATCTAGCGTGAATTCACGGCCAGTAAAGTGACGATTCTCCAAAGATGGGATAATATAGTGGACTTGAGGTTGATCACCTTGGATAAAATGGGTGAGCCTAACATCCTAGTTGGGCTTTTCTGTTGACTTACAAGGCCTAGTATTTGTCTCTTTCATCTCTTCAATAGGCATAAGGAAGTGGTTAGTGACCTCGCCGTAGTTCACACCCATCTGGAACCCCGAATTACTTGAACGCTCAAACGATATTGCGGACGCCATGCTCGCCATGGGGATCGGTATCATTCATTCAATGGGTATTTGGGGAAAAACAACTGTCTGGCATAAGTTGTCGCTGCCGTCGCCGCAAATGCAGGGGTGAATGGGTCAAAATATAAATACCGCTTGGCTTCGAAAGTATCAGTAGGCTGTCAACTCGGCCATTCAACAAAATCATCAACAAAATCAGGGACAGGGAGGGGTAACGAGAAATGAATGTGACCGCAGGTACGCCTTGCCATCAGCCTAAGGCACCAGGGGTGATGGGGTGCACGGCCTAAGCGCCCGCCTGCATCAGCGAACGAGGTAACCTAACCAATCATTGTGTATACAATGCTGTCCGAACCGCAGGAGTTACCGCGTCCTATTGGCGACTGAGTTGTGATTGCGTAGCAGCGGAACCAACCAGCAGCCTGCAAGGTGGGGCACAAGAAGCCGGAGTATCCAACTTGCCGTCTCCGACGACGCGATAAGGCAGACACTAGTTACCAGGGGGCATCCCACGTGAATCTAAACAACCTTATTATTATGCTAGTAGGCGTAAATGCCATCCGACTTGAAGGCTTGTTAACAAACTGGAAAAAGAATTGACAAAAATCGAGCATCAAAAACTTCTACTACGGGAGTGAATTAGAAGCCGGAGAAATACTTGGATATATATGAGCTGTATATATTTATACAGATCAATCAGCAATGCTCAATTGTCAGACCCGCATGGCGAAAATGGCCTTCAGCACTCTCTTCTCTTGCGCCCACCACATCTATGCACCACTCTAGAAATTTTGCAAAATCTCCATCTGGGTCATCTTCAAACAACTGCCAGTCGCGTTTAATGAAAGCTTTTAGCTCCGCAAAAATTCCTCGATAGGATTGAGATCGGGAGAATAAGGTGGAAGATACACCAGTTTAACTCCCGCTTCAAGACACATACATTCTATCCTCTCAGAGTGGTGGAAGGATGCATTATCCATCACCAATACCGATTTAGGCTCCGGCCATCTGCCACAGTGATGAAGAAGCTCCCCAATGAAGTCCTCAAATATAGAAGCATCAGTCGACACCCGGAAGACGCGAGAAAATAGTACACCATCCTGGCAATATGCCGGCAAGATCTGGTATCGCTGGCCACGATGGAATTTGGCCACTTGCACCGGGGTGACCCCAAGCGGGGCCCAACCTGTTCGCCGATAACCTATTCGCTTGTCACATCCAGATTCGTCTATGTAGACCAGGTGATACGACTCAAACTCCGATAGATTATGGAGGTAGTACTCTCGTAAATCCGCGTTTTGCTCCTTCGCTTGATTCCGGGTTGTCTTCTTGGACCAGCCTTTCGCGGCCAAAGCTCGACTGATAGTGGAGTTGGCCACGCAGACATCAAATTCCTCCCGAAGGTAAAGCGCCATTTCGTCGAGGTATAATCCTGGGTTTTCGGAAAGGTGCCCACAGAGAGCCTCAACCATAAGTGGTGTGATACTCTTGGGTCGGCCGGAGGAGATTAGGGGTGCCTTGGGAGTACCGAACATCCGCAGGTTAGAACGAATATATCTAACAGACTGTTTACTGCATCCTGCTGTATTAGCGATATCAGTTGTTTTTAGATTGCTCTCAATCATATCACAAATCAGTTGTCGCTTCGATGGGGATAAGTTCGGAGCCATTTTTGTGTGTTAAACGAGGGGTGGTGAGGAGTGGAAAGACGACGAACAGCAGAAGCAACAGAAAACGAGGGGTACCGGGGTCACACACGTGTTGTCATCGCCTTGTTCCTTACCATACCATTCAAAAGGGTCTAGCCAGGGGGCTTTTTGAGTCTAACTCATTAGGGATAAGTTGGTCTTGGCAAGTGGGATTGGGAAAGAAGGAGAGTGTGCAAAAGCGCAAGGCGATTTTGCAAGCTACTGTAGAGCGCATGGGCTAGAAACTAATGTCGGGGACGATAGCTTGAAAGTTCAATTTAGTCAAAACATGTAATGTGGCGTTAGCCAATAGTGTAGCTCTTGAGCTGATTTATGAGGACCAGGACCTATCATTCTTTATCGACAGAGGAATTATGGTACTGTAGGTATCGCGCGCCAATTCGTGAGAGATATTGGCCAATGGGTTGCGTATGTGAAAACTGTCTCGCTAATCAACCAAGCTACGCAAGCCGCAACTTGAACGTTTAAGAGGGCGTAAGAAGGCGTTACTGTAGGGTAGACACCAGATTTACTTTTTGAATCATTTCTATCTTATGCAATTCCTTTGGTAAATGATTAAGTCACAACTATGGGCACCCATAAGTTACATTTTGCAGGAAATCAAGGAATTGTGATAACTTTTGGTGCACATAGGTTGTGCCACCGTAGGGTCCGACGTCATAAAGCTTCAGACAGCTAGACTACCTTATTCAGTAATCTTGTTATTGACCCTCTTGGTCGACTTCTGAAAGAGATTCATGGTAAAACTGATTTCGAATATCACTGTATTGATCAACTGATGTATTATTCGGAATCCCGAGTCTTTTATACTACTGTAGATACGACTAAGTTATTGCCGCCTTCTCTCCACTCAATATTATTGTGCTGAAATTCCAGGAAAGTGCACGCAAACGTGTAATCACTGTCTTAGCCTTTCTAGTGTTGTTTTTGAGATAATTCTTGTGTAAATATGCCCACCAGGCCATTCCTCATAGTTTAGCGTGAATAGAAATAGCCAAGTGAGTATTAAAATGCGACGATGTCGGAGCTTAAATGGTAAATCTTATCGTGCGACAAGATTTCTGGTGTAATTTTGGATCAAGTTGACCAAGTCCACACGCGATTTCGATTACAGTCCATGGACTCGATTGTGTCTGTTCGGGAGATGTCGATGGACTGTAACAGCCCAAAATGAGTGTCCTTGAGGCATTGTCAATAGGTATTATGATACCACAGGCATCGAACACGAACCAGGTGGGGACTGAATTTTGTGATTTATGCCTCCGCCGTCATTTGCAATATTTGGAAAGTCCTCCTGATCTTTAGCAAACAGTCAGGTAAATGTGAAAGTCTTAGCTTACTGGCGTGTCTCTTTTGGTTTCAAATTCATTTGGGAGAATCGCGGCAGCAGATATCTCCTAATCGTCAATTAATGGACCTTGGAAGTATAAACAAGAAGATGTCTCACAAGCGTGACTAATGCTAATATCAACCTATAAGAAGCTAGCTTAATCATTTTCTTTCATATCCCAGCTATTTTCTTTCCAAATTTGTAACAATACACCATCTCCGGAGATGGACTCTTTATAGAATTAATGAGAGTTTTAAGCAAGCCGAGCCACAGGAAGAGCTACCCGAGGAATTGTTTAGGCAGAGTAATAGTAAAGCATTCAACAGTGCAAAGAAAGGGCGTATAAAGGAGACGCAAAACAAAATCAAACTCCAAAATATTTGTTTTATCCCATATTAGAAGTTGATCATCAGGGTGCTCTGCACGATGCCTTGAGATCGTGAACCAAAGAACGGCCGTTCAACATGATCAACACATCTCTAGGATAACTGTTGCTTTTGCTGTTATCATGTGACTTGGTTATATGCAATGCCTCTCGGCTTGCTAAGACCTATCGCATCTATGTATATCCGAGATGATTATGTTGTATCTCGAAGGAACGTTTCGGAGAACCGATACTTTCTTGTATATGGTTCATCATTAAAGTACTGTACAACAAGAATCTCGGAAATAGATCTCATATTCAACCGATTAGAATAGACTCAAAAGAAATGACGTTTCGTTTAATGTATCCCCCAATGGTGGTAGCCTCACAGATCAAGGCTCAACATTACCGCCAATACCTCCAACTTGGTGATTTGCTATGTTACTGTAGTCAGTGGCGGTATGGTTAGACCAGTTGCCACCGCCCATCTACCCTGTGTATTTCCAACAAATGCCATGCAGTGGGATTCCCAAGCTGCTAAAAGACTTTGCGCAAATGTTCCATATCGTTCACCCAGATCCTAATTCTTTCATTCAAGCTCCGCTCCGGGGCTTGGAAATCGAAGGATATACTGAAAATTCGCATCTTCGGAGGCAGAGAACTTGGCAATTATACAGTCTTTATGTATGGCTCCTCAACAAGTCCTTATATTTGGCACCCCTACCACTTGAGATCGTAATTGCGCTAAACTCATTTACCGAATATACTCCGCTTGTATGCTAAATAAAAAGCTATCCCACATGGCTTCAAATCTACCAACATCGATTTGGGATTTCAATCACAATAGAATACTAAACAAATCCCTGACTGTATTTCAGACTGCTGATGCGACGAAATGCACCCTAAATTCTAGGTACAAAGGAAACAAGTGGTGGAAGCGACCATTTTGAAAGCATTTTTCATGAACTGAACAAGTATATTTCTGATCCTATGACAAAGTCTTTCATACAATCCATCCTCATGGCCATGCATCTCGCATTGATTCAACCAATTTGTAATTTAATACACAAACAGACGCGCCACCTCTCTCGTGATTGTTGCCAAACACTGCACTCCTGGTATAGCTTGGAGCTAGTTCCCATGTAGTTGCTATATATCAGAAACCTTCAGGCGTCGACAAACTTGAATGATACCGGGTTCCCGTTCAATGGTCTGCAGCCAAGTCCAGTCTGGTTACCGTATTGGAAAAAAGCCTCGACTTCTTCACTATCGGGGCATTTGGGTTGACCATAGAATACAAGCTTCCGCCATTTTTCAAAGCCAGGAGTTGAATTCCAGAGCCACCTCCGCCTAACCCATTGTTGCAATCCCCAGAATTACCGGAGTAATTAATAGATTCTCCGGTACACCTGGCGTTTTGGTAGACCACAATGTGATACTTACTTGCGGGTGGAGAGTTCACTATACCGGTGGTAGTAGCTCCATGCACCAAAGTGACAATATTCAAGAGAAAGGTAAGCGAGAGAATCGTGTTTAATGGTTGAAAGTACATTTCGGCTCGTCGGGGCCTATCAATGAAGAACTTTCCGTTTCCAAAGATGGGCGGTAAATTATCCAGAAAAGTGAAATGGAAGGACTTAAATGATTCGGTATGCCGTGAAGTAACGACGTAGAAGTTATGCGTATTACCGATCACACGGGGAATATTTGGAGGAGGCGTGGTTGAGTAGACCATAGAACCTGAAAACTGGAAGCTCGGGGGCTCACATATCAGCAGGCCGGCAGTATTGCCAAGAACAGGGTAGTAATCTCGAACATGTTTGTCATTCAAATTTGTATAGCAGTGCCTCTCTGAGTCAACCGCTGCCTAAATGATGAATCAACTTATACTAAACTCTCAAGGACGTTCTTTTTAGAAAAGTATACCTTTCTTAACACGTAGAACGTATAGCGCTAGCGGCGTTCGAACGAATTATGGCTGCTCATGCCACCAATGGCACTAAATGCGCCCAGCTTTGGTCAATGCTTTTGCTCCCCAAAGGTTGAATTAGCTCGTTCGTTTATGGATCAATGACACTCATCTTAACCCCCGGACAAGATGCTAGGATACTACTTCCGCTCGCTGGTCTGTAGTAGTACCTTGTGGTAAAGCCATCTAGCTAACGATGGATGCGTTGTTATCGGCAATACAAATAATGTTTTCTATTTCAAATAACTGAGCTCATCCGTGATTTCCAATGAACAACTAATAGGATGATGGGGGTTTCCACCACCATGAATGCAACATAAGAGCGAAATGAATTTTTTGGTAATGGGCAGAACTTTGAAAAAGAACCAACAGATTTTCATCTCTTCTATACGGTCAGTACTGGTGGAAAACCTTTGTACATACAATAGCAGCTATAAGTCTGTTGAAATTTCGTGATTTAACATTTTCTTAAAAACAATCAACGGCCCCGCCAAAGCTCCAAGTTCATGGATGCAGCATGAACAGATATGTTATACTGATTGCTCATGTGTAATTTCCGTGTTTATACTCCGGCTTCTGTGTTATTGGTCTCATCAACCATCGTAGAATTGTCTATCCAACTGGATGCTTCGTTCCTCCTGTTTGTTCAGAATAGATGAAAGCCATTCTTGTGAGTGTACCATGCATATATAAATAAGTGTGGTACGTGTCTTCAGTACCGCTTATCACGCCATATTTCTTAACTCACAATAGATACTTGAAATGGCTCCCATGAAAGATACTGAAGCGGCAAAGCCCCTCAAGCCTGCCGCGTCGAGGGTTAAGAAGGATAGAACCGGGACTCAATCCAAATTGCAAAAGGAGCAACTCCAAAAAAGTCGCAAGGATGACCTTGAGCGTCACCGGGAAAAAGTCATGAAGACCCAACAGCAGGTAGACTCCATGGACACTTCTGAAGACTCAAGATCTCAAATTATGGAGGAACTGGAAAAGATGAAAGCTTCAGAGAAATCCATGCAGGCGCAGATAGCGGAGCTTGATGCAGAGCTTATGGATATCGACGAAGAAACGGACAGAAATGAACCACAGGATTCAATTGTAGATCCCATTGATCCTAACAGCGTGCAGCAAAGTATTGAAGGTGATGATTTCGCCCAGTCGAAACCCCTGGAATCGGATTCATTCTTCGACGGAGAAGAACCGGAAGACCTGAGCGATTTTGCCAGCTTGAGCCTCGATGAAAATGACTCGAATGGCATTATTGACCTCCTTGGAGAGGGAAAAACACTTTACGAGACAAAAGGTTTCCGTGGCAGACTATATTTCAAATCTTATGGACCCAGAAGCGGTCCTATGCTTACTTGGACATCAAGCTGCGGTTTGAAAACAGCCGAGGATGTCCCGTTTCTTCATAAGGGCCACGGTGCCCTGAATGAAGCTTTGAAAACGACGAAGAATGGTGATTATATTCATTTTGGTAAGATAAAGCATATTACTGGAATTGCTTGGGAGCCACGCAGACCAGTCGAGTGCATGAATGACTTGCTCGAATCTGTTCAAGAGTTAGATCCAGCCAACAAACAAAGGAAATCCAAATATATCTATCCATTCTGCACTGTGGCAGTGAGATGGTATGATAAGGATATGAAGGACACTCTACTGAGTCGCACCCAGTACAAAGATCTGACTGGGTGGGGCAAAAAGCAACAGAATGAAACAGATCGAAAGTTTTATAGAGTTGCTTGCGAGCAAATCAAAAGATACAAAGAGAAGATAGGCAATGAAAAGTTGGAAAGAGATAAGAGCATGAGCCCAACTCCATGGGGAGTTACCCCCGAGCCTGACGACGCTGGTACTCCAAGCCAAGCTACGCAGACTGACCCAGATAGCCCAAACTCGGGCCAAAACCAGGGCCAGAACCAGGGCCAGAACCAGGGCCAGAACCAGGGCCAGAACAGGAGCCAAAACCAGGGCCAGAACAAGAGCCAGAACCAGGGTCAGAATCAGGATCAGGGCCAAGATCAGAGCCAAGATCAGGGCCGCAACAATTTTGGAAAGAAGACTTTCAGCAAGAAAAAATACCTGGACGAAATGCGCGCTATGATCGACTTCAATAATCTCAATCTTCAAGATAGGATTGCCGCTAACTCCTACATCATAACTGAGTACAACCTATACAAGCTCAAGATGGAGACGGAGGGTGGAGAAGAGATAGAATAAGCTTTGTTCAGACTCGGGTGGACAAGAAAGTTTGGATTTTTTAAATTGGCAATAATCTAAATCTGACTTGTGTGCATATAAACTCACAGGGATAGATATACGATAGGCGACAGATTTGATTATAAGTTCTTCATTGAATTTCAAGAAAGGTCCTTGGCCTCATGTTCAAGGTATTTGGTGATGGATCTAATATACGAAAGTAGATAGAAATCTCAAATGTAGACAACTTGGCTATTTTTTTGACATCACATGTTCAAGAAATGAGCCGCCGTCGAAACAGCGAAAAGAGAAATGACCGGGCCAATTAGTAGAGGCTATTAACTCGAGGCCTACCAAGCGTATGGAGACTCCATTGCCTCATCTTCCGGGCAAGAAGAGAAAAAATTCAGATCATAGGGCCGAAGCTCGTCCCCAGAAAGAAGTCGGAAAGTATTTGTTGAACCTTTGGAATTATTGCGTCCCAGTAAGAATTGCTGCCGTGGATATTCATCTTTGTGGGAAAAGTCCCCAACTGCAAGTAATTTCAACCCGCGAACACCATTGGGACCAAATATCCAATTAGCGAAGTTTAAAAGGTCATCGACTTCAAATGAAAAGCCAGATAACTCCCCCTGAGAATCCTCCATGGTTGAAATTGGTGGGCATTCCTTGGCAATCCAGTCACATATTGGTGAATCTGGAGACTTTCTTCCGTTTTGAAGGTGTACTGAATTCACCTGGTGTATGCAATCAAAGATTGGACTATTGTTGAATTGAATCTCTTCAAGACGCGTGAAGAACTCACGGCGCAAGTTGCGATGGTTATACTGAGAACCGCTGAGCCTGATGTGTAAGACCGTTAAAGAAGAACACAAAGCAACTGGCTCTAAGCAGGCACGCTATAAAGTTAGCTGGTAATTCTGAAAATTGGTGTTTCACTTACCAAATATTTAAAGCTAGCACAAAGACCTAGTTCCGTAAGTTGACAATGATAAAGAATCTCGGATAAATATGGCAACCAAGATGGCGTGGCATCTCTGCTTTCTTCGTAGAGATCATTTCGGTCAACTGACATGATACGCGTCTCATGATAGACAAAGTCTTCAAGTGTTTTCTCGTGTCTTCGAATGACTTCCAAGATCTGCGTTGCTGGCAACTGAAAATTGGACAATTTCAAGTGAAGACTTTGTAGGCCTTGGAATGAAATCAAAAAATCCCCAAGTAAAGACTTCTCTTCCGTGTATTGCGAGTCATACGATATTGTGTCACAACATATCTCAAATCGTTGGAGCTTTAGAGTTTCTTTCGATCCCGAGAGGGAAGATAAAAACCCAAGCTGGTTCGAACAGTATCGCAGGGTCAACTCTCGAAGTGATGGATAAATGGACAATGTATTGAGACACGCGTTCGTCGAAAATGTGATGTTAGATAGCGAAATATTCAAGATGGATGGTAGGCATATCATCTGCGGTGGAGAAACCCCTCCTTGGTTGCCTTCTGTCACATCTTGGAGCTTCCCCCAACATAGCTCCCTCACATTAGCGGAAGCGACAAATTTGACCGATAAGTGAGTCAGATGCTTGTGATTTCGCAATATACACTTTCTGAAGGAGTTGATGTCCGTGGGATGTTGGATACCTTCCCATCCCAACTTCTGCAGATATTGAAGACTTGATAGACCTTCAGTATTCTTTCCTGCATGAGGGCAGCTTGCATCAGTAATAAGGGAGATACTCCGCAGGTAATTTTGCTGCAAAGTTAAGCAGCCGCTTTCATCCAAAATACCCGCGGGCAGACAGCAGCCGAGATGCCAACTCGAAGCAGTAAGCTTCAAATTATAGAAAGGGGAATCAAGACTGAGAAACTTACCGGAAAGAGCGTAAATAATGGGGTCTCAGCCATCGCAAGCACATACCCACCTGTTCTGATAGGTCATTCGAGAATTGAAGATGTGCCGTTGTATCATTCGATGCTCCGAGGGAGACAGACGATCTCAATGGCTCAACCACGCGGAAAATGTTGTAGCAAGCACATCGATTGAACCGCACAATACTGATCGGTGCAGAGAAACACAGTTCTCTAGTATGTCGGAGATAATGATCTGGCTGGGCCGCTTGATGGCGCTGAAAGTACGTCTCAATATTCAGTACATTCAAGGCCCATTCATTAGCGGCACTGAAGGTGATATTGTGGTAGACAAGGGGAATTAGAATTTCGCGCATTCTGAGGCAAACTTGGCTGAATGAACACAGGCTCTTTTGAGAGAGCTTATCGTGTCAGAAACTCTCCTGTAAGAATAGCCAAAAGTGTCATACCTTCTCTGCAATCATGAACAATATCTCATTGGGCAACAAATCTAACATTTTGAGGAGATTTAGTACTCTCTCTGATTTCTAGTGTAGATGAGATAAGGCTTTCCTAACGGGAAACTTACGTTTTGAGATGAGGATAGTTAGTCTCTGGTCTTATTACATAAGCTCATTGGTCATCTTTTTCCACAAATTTATTGGAATTTGAACGTTGAATTAGATGCATGATAGATCGGCGTTCTCAGCGAGAGCATGGTTTGCACGTCCATTTAACCAACAGCGGTTAACACGACTCAAACGGCTGACTCACTTTCGCGCAGGCCGGGCTATGTTGCAAATGGCCCCTCGCCGCAAATTTCAGTCATATCATCGCTGTTGCGCTAGTCTCAAAACCAAACTTCCCAAAATCATCAAAGAAAACTACTACGTCTATTTCATCTCTATCTGCCCAGGAATTGCCCCCTATGGAAGACATTCCCGACATTGTTCGCAAAATCGGTCGACAGCAGAACTTGAATGTATACTATCGCGTTTGTTATAATCTTTTGAAGCGACTTCAAGATCTACTCTGTGAGGCGATAGAGGACATACTCCGCATATATCGGTCGGGTCATTCGCTTGCCGGCCATGAAGCTCTTTACGAGATTACCAATGAAATACGAATCTCCATCAGCCACTTAAGCGATCAAGCAGTAAATGCAAGAGAAAATATGGAAAACTTCTACTCAATGTATGAGTCAAATGCGGAGATAGACTGATGGATGGGCAGTTCTATGAGTTTTGTTCAATGTGTTGATCGGAAAGTGATATAAAGCATCGAATTGTGGTGTGTACAACGTTAAAACGTCATAGTCCTATTTAAGTTTGATTCTCTCGTCTTTTCACAGAAACTTATCGCCAATGAATGCCTAGGCATTCACTGGCTTTGGATTCATGTGCAACGGGTCATATTTATCGAGTATCGGCTGAAAACCGCGAAATCTCAAGTGGCGTTTCTCTTGTTTCCCGGTCTCTTGCCTTTAACGAAGTCTTAATTAACCTTTCATCGCGCTTGGCTCTCTGAAAACGTTGGTTACAAGAACGGTGGAAGATCATGATGGAGAAAAATAGAAACATTGCAGCAGCGCCGCTCCCTAAAGCTATACCTAGGCTTCTCTTTGGGATAACTCGCGCTCTCTTACTTTCCTCCATAATTGAATTACCTTGGAAATTACTCGTTGGCTTTGTAGATAGTGATGACAATGAGGTGGAAGCTTCAGAAAATGTTTCAGTTGGAGCAACAGTGCTAGATGTACCGTTAGGGGTTTTCCCTGAAGTTACTGAATACAACTTTGATGTGCAGTCTGTTGAGTCGGTAGAAGAGAACATTGTGGTTGTCTCCGCTGAGTTTAGAAGCTTCGACTTTTCACTTTCAGCCTCAACATTGTCCGTCAATGATAGAATTGAGGAGAATTGAGCGGAATTATGCGTTTCATTTTCAGTTATTTGAGTCTCCACCAGTTTATCATCAAACGAAATGTGATTATTTGGGGTGGAGGTAGATTTTGCAACTTGATCTAGAAATATAATGGTTGTGGTCGAAGTGTCCGGAGTTTGTGAGACAAGGCTCTCATCAATTGAAAAATTAGGCAAGTTATCAGGTTTGTCACTCGTGATTATTGTGGCATCTTTCACGGAAAGACTTTCTGCCTTCGTGACTGCCAGCCCATTTTTTGTCTGTTCTATTTCTGATGCTATATTCGGGCTCTGGATTGTCGTGGCGTGGGATGGGTCGATTCTGGTCTGTAAAACTCCAATTGGGGGTTCAGAAGTACTTTTTTGATTTATTTTGTCTTCAGGAATGGTAGCTTCACTACTTGAGCTATTGACATCAGATAATTTTGATGAAATGGCTGTTAGGTCCGTTCGATAGGCTGATACATTCTGGTCATTAAAAGGCTCTGAATAAGACGAAATCGGCGATTTGGTCTCTATATTTAGAATCGTTGGAGCAATTGGTGAATATATTGAAATTGACACCGATGACTCTTCCAAGTAGGTCAGTGTTTTTTTTTGGCTTGACAACGAACTATTTAAAAATTAAGTCGTACGATTTCTAATAAAGAAATATCGGAACACGAACCTGTGCAATACTGAAATTGATGATATTTTAGCAACAGATCCTGCAACAAATACATAAAGTAGTAGCCATCTCTGTCTGCAACTAAGGATAGGCATGAAAAGCGCAGTGAGTGTCCATGTCGTATCTGGGTTATTTTATACGTAAGAAATCGAGGCTTTTAATGTATTTATATCTAAGCTTTATGGACTGAACATGGTAAGATCATATGGCACAAAGGTGAATGGGATCGCCAAGGTTAATCCTGGTAAACAGCGCTCTGCCCACATACTCGGACATTCGATGCTCACATTCACCGTTGAAAGGCTTACAGGAATTCGACGAAGCACTTCACTTACCTGCTCCAAACTACGTTTATTATCATTGAAACAACATTGTTCAAAGGGTTGAGCAGTTCAACTCTAATTCTATGATGTTTCAGCGCAGGCTCCTCAAATGCTTGACTTTGGAGGGGAGTCTAGAGCATGTCATTTTGCAGCCATTCCTGCATTGGGCTGCAGGGAAACAAACTACGCGTCTGACGCGCTTCCTTATCGTCTACGGTGCGATTGTGAACATGCAATTTTCCGAAAGTACTGTAACCTCTCGTTGCAGGTCTCTGTACTGTATAAGTTACATAGGTTGACGAAGTCGAATTTATTGCCCTCCGCAAAGCCGCCATGAAAAGACAGCTTTTGTCCTGGACGGATTTCTCAAGGATGAGGGAGCCCACGTGGATTGCAAAGATGATATCATCTATGAACCTCTTTACTGGGCTATCCAGTGGTAGGCTAAGATATACTTTATGTTACGCCAGCGATACAATGATGTATAGGGAATGTAGAGGAGATGCTTATGCACTACAAGAGCTGTCTGTTGATACATCGCATTGCTTCGCTACCTGGATACTCACACATGCAGCTGCTTATAAGGAGGAGCTGGATCCGCTCGGAGGACCAGCGATTAGTCTGAGTATCATCATACCCATATCAGGCACATCTCACATTCATCACCCGTATCCATAACGTACCAGAACATCCTCATGGGGCTGTCCTAACTCGATTTGTTCCCAGTGGCTTCTGCTCTTCAAGCTGTTGGTCACACTGCTATTATCAGCCTCCCCGGGATGGGCGATGTACGTCGTGGCACGCCAGTACCATGTTAATCGCTCAAGCAAAAAAACAATAATTATATGATTTGATATTGTAATCCTCTTAAACTTTCAAAGACGTACATATTTTATTTTCAAAAAAAATCTTCAAGTGGATAATATAAAGCACTTTGGATTTTGTGAACGAGCTTGACGACTTCACCTAGATTTCGAGTACCCGCAGCGACAAGATATTGCTGAAAATTGTTAATGGCAATATTTTTGGGAGATAGGAACAGTTTGCACTTACACTTTGTAAGAACTCAATGTTTTGGGCCGATGAAACTGCGCACAGGAATTTAAATGCTCTTGAATCCGCTGGCCAGCGATTTATTTCTCCTACATCAGCCCTACAGTCATGTTTCTCCGTTTTGTGCATCAAACTCATGACAATCGAAGGAAGTGATGTAACATATTGCGTTGCTGCTTGATGGGACGGATATTCCATGCAAGATTCTAGACAGGCTGAGATCTTGTTAGCAAGAGGAAGTATGGGTCAATACAACAACACAACCAATCTTGATAATTCCATCCAGACCTAACAATACCTCGCGGCATGAGAGATGTCGATGCGTTAAGCCACACCCAGATAAAAAGTAAATTCCATCCAGGATCTTTGATAGTTAGTCATATTTTGTCCTCTTCGGCTGTTCACGCATTCCGTGAGATTTGATGACAGAGAAGCTCTTTGGAAAATACCTGGCCCATTATAGATGAAAGCTGTGCCTCAGTAGGGTATAAATCAGGGCAGTTGACAAGCTGCTCCAAAGCGAATGGGACTATTTCGTAAAGCCCATACGTCGAATTTCCACTCAAGTATATTTCTCGAGGAAAGAGGACATTTTCATGGCTAATGAACCGTAGACGATTAATGAACTCGTAAGTAATGTTCTTTCTAAGTTCTCGAATGGCAACCTTTTTAAAAGGGCGAGAGCGACGATGTGCAACTATCATAGGACCAGCTAGTTCCAATCTAATATCTTGCTGGTAAGTTTCCCACGGTGACTCGGACCGCACAATAAGTCCCGAAACAGGTGTCCGCGCTTTACAGATTTGAGGAAGGCCAAGGTCCCTGAGAGATCCGCAGATGATCTTTTTTTTTGCTTTGAGCACAGCCATTAGGTGTATTGTAATGGTATTAAAGTAAGCACTTATCTCTCTCACAATACTCAAAATCTGCTGATGGCCGTTCTTCAAACTTCAATGTAAAAGCGATAAAAAACCGAATATGGTGTGCATGGCTTGTTGAAGCAGGTACAGTAGTCTGAAGTGCCAGATCCCTAGGCAGTATGAGAGCGTTCTGGCTATTCCATGTCCCAACGCATTTGAAGTCTTGGTGAGCTAGCTCAATAAATATTCTAAGCCAAAGATCGGCCCCACTTCACTGAAGTACAGCAGCTTTTAAATTCGAATTTGAGAGTGTTTGAACCCTCGAAGTTTCCATCCTCGATCAAATATGCTACATATTCAAGTTCCTTTTGAAACAACAAGCTCCGAGAAAACGGAGGCCTGAGAAAGATGAAATAGACTGAGATCTTCGAAATATTGAACAAAACGACTGAAAACTATCTCATTTAGTTATTTTGCACGGTACTGGGGCGTTGGTCTCTGATCACGAGATGCAAACGTTGTATATGTGTCCCAGGTGGGAACATTGCTGGTGGGCTAAAAAAAGGTAAACGACACGAATCATATCCATTAAGGTCTTCAAGCCCATGCACGTACAAATATTAAGTTGGACCGGATTAGTGCTCAAGGCATCATGGCCAACTCGTGGCTATACCTGCTACTAAAATTTCAAGGATGCCTATCGGTATGCATCCAACGCATTTATTTTATACTGTGTAAACTCTTCCATAGTCAAACTTGCCAACTTCAAACGGGGCTAGATAATTCTCAGCTGCATAGCCAGAGTAGCTATCTAATCACTTCAACGACAATCCTAGATCAGCGATACACACACATATATACAAATACACAGAAACTTCCGATGGCTCGAAGGTATCGGCTTCAATGTTTACTTGAACTTTGGCCTGGGAACATTCGAGAACATCCTCAGAAGGGTAGTTCATCTGAAGGAAAATGAGCCACAGAATGTGTTTATGACTCTAACAGGCTAGATGAGTCATCTCTGGGCTAGAATTTCGTTATTCCTATAAAGTAAAGTCACACATTGACGTGAATTTAATTTTTTCTTATCACACACGACGCTTAAATATCAATGGCAGGCTCTGATGGACATCCAAAAAGACCTTCGAAGCGAAGACGGGGGTGCAACGAAGGAGGGAATATTTCGAGAGACTGCATAACAATTCAGCGTGATGCATATGAATCGATGGTGAATATGAGGATACTAGAATACCTATCACTCATTGATTTTTTCTTAGCTCATCACGAATACAATTTCGTCTTCCCTGGGGCTGGAGCTGACAGAATTACAAAAAGGCTTACCTGAGTTGGTTCCTCAGGCTGTACAGCTTCTTACTCTTTACCAACATTTGTGGGGCCTGTACGTCATGGAATTTGCGAAAGAAAAAAGTTTGAACAACGAGCAGTCTTTGCTTCAAGAATCTAACATCTGGCTCCTTCAAAATACGGATCAGATGCGACAATTCTGTGTGGACCGAGAGATTATGTTGTTTAACTGTCGTGAGGCTGTTCAAAGAGTCCAAGCCAGTATCCCCATTTTTTTCACTGGAGACCCACGCCCTTGAGGCGTCTATGAAAGTGGGTCATGAATGTGAAATAAAATCAATCTTTGCGATTAATCTATAATGACCTAAGTATTGAGAGGCTGGAAAGCTTCTCAGAATCTGTCGTCGATAAGAGGATGTCTTCCAGTGTACCACAACCTCAACCCTTCGTACCATCTCTGCGAACAGGTATCATTAGGAGAGCTTCGCGTATTGAACTCAGTGCGGCACTAGTGCAGAATTGTAAGACTGTATCAGAGAGGTATTCTTCCGTTTGTTCTAGCCATTTCCATATTCGAAGCGGCGTAATGACCCCTATATATGTTTGCTAGGTTGCAATTATAAAGACTTCGGGTGAACTTTTGATAATCCAATCACAAGTTCGTCCAGCCTTGTGACCGTATTTCGACCGCTCGTAGCACCATCATCACCAGATCTGTATCGTTCCCAAAGGCTACATAGGGCGTCGCAGCGAATTTAAACAGCCAGTTAGTATCTCCTTCTACATATATACAGGTAATTAGAGATCTTCGCCGCCGTTTTCACAATAAGCCACCAAGGACGAGATGTAGACCAGGAAACGTCCGGCTAATGAAGCCTGCAACAAACCCGTGTTCGCAGCACGTTATTAGGCCAGACTCTTCAACTCAGTATTTCTCGTGTTCTCGCAGTTCTGAACAAAATTTACAATGCAGCCAGATGCAGGCAGTTGCTTCCATCGCATTCGGAAAATCATACGGCACGGCCGCGCCATGAAAGCAGATTGACGTCACTAGCGGCAACAAGGCCACGACAGACCTCACCAGGTGAGGCTCGAACTCCACCGGTTAGGAAGTCCGGAACAACCTAAGTGGATCAAACAAAATTTATTTCGCGCAACCTTGCCTGCAGATCCACTACAAATTTCTGCCTATCTCCATGCTGCTTTTACAGGCACTCTGTTGCCTTTCTATCTTTCATCTTTCTGATTTGTGCGTCATTATCTACCTAACGGGCCTCTATTTCACCATGTCTAGGAACCCCGGAATATTCATTGGACCTGCTGCTAATTTGCTTCTAGTGCCCCCTGTATTCCTGTAATTTGCCTTGTTGTGCTCACTCATGGTGCACATCATGCTAGTTATAGATCGCTGCCATCAATTAGCGTTGCTCCTGAGCTGAATAGTATAGCTAAACCGCAAAAGATATACGTTTCATTTCCTACCATCTTCTGGCATTGCACTTAACTCTTTGCTCTGAGAAGCCTTCTTAAGTTCACTTTGAATTTACAGATCTCTCCTTGTGCATCTCAACCGAAACATATCCTACACCACGCTTTATTATCCGCGCGAGCATTGCATATCATTGACTTATCGTTATACGAGGAGGTGGATGCCGCTGACTCCCTTCTCAATCTAACTGCTGTCTACTATCTCTCAATTTTCATCATTGTCTAAAGTTTTCATTTCACGGCGATAGCGTGCGACAGCGCGCGTCACTGGTTTTTGTAGCTTGTGTATCGCTTTCTTAGTTGGATCGTACGTTCATTCATGTATATAGACCTGTAAGGGTGGCTGCCTGTCAGGTCGCCGCTCTGCTAGGCATCAGGGAGACCGGGCCTTTTCATATAAATAACATGGTCATAATTTTTACCTCAAATCCAGGATTTAACTATATTGCAAGGGTAAACAAAATAAAAACCCACATATTGCATCTCTTTGGCTTACACACTTTGGCATTAGAGGTACATGCAGTATGTGGCTTCCGTTTATTGGACAGTTCATTATTCTCATGAACTGCCAACTATAGCGTGAAAATGGTAGATGATGAACTTTTGACTAACTCATTGGGAGAGAGGGAATAATATTTCAACACCGTTCATGAGGAGAGGTTAGAGTGTGGACACTCTTCAATGCTAGCAGAATGACGATAATGCTGGAGGTATGATTGTTGAAAAGTGTTTTTCGACTACTACTATTTTGAATTCGTTAGATAGAGACAAATTGGCCTACGGATGGCGTGAACGTTGGGTCAACCATGCAATTCACATCGGAGCCCTCTAGCAGAGCTGCTATTTGACGCATGGCTTATAAGCAGAATTCCCTAAAAAACAGTCTACCACGATAGACTGGAGCTTTCAAGCTACATCTCCGCATCATAATTTCGATCACGGAGAGCCCCTTTGGCAGGCCGTTCGGAAGTGGCCGGTACATAATGAAATGGCTCTCTGGTACCAGATTATGGGCTTCAGCTAGGTGATCAGGCATCAATTTTCCTCAAGAGTAGGGCTGATTATTTACTAGGTACAATCGAAATGAGCGCATATTGATGCCGCGTGCAGTTGAATATCCACAAGGAAATTCTAGCGAAACAGCAGCTCCATCGGTGCCACCTCCGCCGTACACTCATCTACCGGAGCCAATTTTAGCAGAGCTTCCTCTTATTTGTGATCGTTGTCATGGATATAGGTCTATATCATACCAACGCAATCATTGCCGGGATCCAGTGGGTTACCCATCGACGGGTATATGTTCACGGAGACGCACAAGATGTGCAGCGGTCAAAGCAAATCAAAACTCCACACGGGGCGTTTCATCTCCTGTCTATGAGCTTCCTGCCTTTGATTGACTGATATGGCAGAATGGAGGGTCACCTAGCTAGGCGATTGAGTTTAAATAATATGTAGTTTTGCATCGAAGAGTTTCTGACTGAAGATACACTTGTTTGCGCAACTCGATAGTCTGGGAAGAGAACCGAACAAAGCATCATATGTCAATGAATAAAACGAAGCTTAGATCGGTTGTGTGTATTGAGCAAAATTAGTAGCGAGGTGTATTCTCCATCTGTCCCAATTTAAGAATTTAGGCCCTCTGGTACGTTAATTCATATTACGAGGAAATAGAAGGTATCACATTCATCTTATGTTTGACTAATTCAGGCGCCAAGGGCTTTATTTCAAGAGCGTCTTTGAGTACAGTAGCTCGTTAAAAATTTAAGCCATATCAGGAGGCGCTTAGGGAGTATATCTGGCGAGCAGCTGCTTGCATGAAATTTAGGCCTCAATAGTTCCCAGGTGGTCTTCATTCTGGACTTAAGCTAATACAACTCATTATCTTGACAAGATACCCTAGATAATCGGGGGATCCATGCATCTAAGTAAGAACTCAACCTATTTTTCAATAATCGCTCGGTAGTTTTAACACTGCATTTTGATCCGGGAAGCAATTCGACTTGAATTGGAGGTCCCGTATCTCTCTTTCCAAAAATTCGTACTCTCTCACATCGGCTCACCTCCGCCGGGAATTTATCTCGCCTTCGGCGATTTTTTGTTTGACCCACTTGGCATGGTTTGCTGCTGTGGGAGAAGTGAGATGAGCGGCTGGCTGGTGGGACGTCGGCCTCAAAGTCCGACCAGAAAGCACAGAGCCCGAATCAGATATCTCGTTTCCATCTCTTTCGGCAACCAGGGTTCTACCTGAGAGCACAGAGGCGGAGTCTGACACCACTTTATGGCCTGTCTCATCCCCCGAGCACTGGTATGTCGTAGCCGCTCCGTTGACGGCAATCTCACCATTTAGCCAGTCAACCGAAGGCTCGAGATCGAGGTCAACAAGTTGTAAGTCTTCTCTCGGGCTCGATCGTACGGTGCCTTTCACTGTCGCGCGGATCTGTGGGCTTGCACATACTGGGAAGAACTTCATCAGCTATCAAATGAAGTCAAGGACGATGTTATGTAGCGCTATTAGAGGTAACTGAGGAAACAGAGAAACGCAGCCACGTTAGAAAATAGAGGGGTTAAATACCTGCAACGACCATTCTTCCACATTGGTGGTTCAAGTGGCGCACAACCGCTTCAGCCGGTCTCATTTGATCCAAGCAGTATGTAAGACGTGTTCTATTAGTCAAGCCTGCCATATCTGTGGGTTTGACACCCAGAAGGTGGATCTGGAAATGCAAGATCTGTTATTTGCCTTAGTCTCAGTGAAATCCGTAAAAGTACGACACAATGTAGTCTTACGTCAAAACCACGACGCTCGTGATCTCCCCAGTTAGTGGAAGTTTTGAAACGATCATACATGAGGTCAAGATCCAGGACCTGCTGGATCTGCTGGGATACCCATGGCTGGTGGTCTAAAAAGATCAGGGTCAGCACGCCCACGAATGGGACTTTCGGGAAGTGTTTTCGACTTACTGGAATTGCTCTTGTCGACTTGCCAAAGAACCTCAAGTTTCCGTACTGTATTCCTTCGCTCGCGACTTTCTTCGACCAAACTTCGGATAAATGGCAATGCGCGGAAAAGTCCAATGTCCTCAACTATGAACAGGACTGTCCCATATTGGCCAAAATCGCAAGGGCGCCCAAATGGTCCTAACACGTGAACTGGAAAGGTGACAGGGTGCTGAGGTGCGACCCCCCGCCAATTATAAGGTTACCGGCGAGGCTTGATCGAGAGCGAGTCACTATGTGCAGGGTACGAACAGGCCCCGCATTTGATTGTTTTGTTTCCTCGTGGGATGCGACATAGAACAGCGGAAGCTGCGAGTAGAGGGCCAGTCCTGACCGCGGCATCCACAACTGTACGTACTGGCCCGCTTGGCTCTTCCATCTTGGTGGCATCGCAATATCTAGCCAAAGAATCTGACCATCCGACGTTGCGACAGCCTCGGAACTCGTTCCCCACCACGATCTGTGGGACCACAGTGTATGTATACACGCCGCTCCGCTCAAGCTAGACCATAGGCAAAGACCCCCAAGAAAGACCCAACGGTACACTGTGGCGCGGTTGATTAAATGGTAGCCAAGTGCGGCCAGGGCGACGATTATCAGCACATAGTGGCCCTTTAGCGCAAGTTGTGGGTGGCGACCTAGAAGAGCACTATGAGTTAAAGGAGGAATTAGGAGGAAACTGCATCCAGACTATACCAGGTCAGTCTTTCTCTGTCGTATTTGCAGTCATCGCCGGTGCATATGGAGTTTGTTCGTCAATACATCGCGGGAAACTCACCGCTAGCGGAGCCACGTAGGCAGGTGAATTTAGGTTCATTCCTTCGCTTACTACACGAAAAATTGCAGTCCCATGTAGTAGGCAGTGAATTGCGCAAATTCTTCCTAACCACCGGTGGATCCATTCGAAGGTGGACCGGTGTAGGTGACATAGATCAGCTGAAATACTGAAGGTGAAGCCTGTACAGAGTGGGAGCAGGTGTATGACCGCCAGAGCACCGGCCCTCTGCTGAGCTTCCTTCCAAGACCGGGTCCCAAGGCTAATGGTAAGGATATTGGCTGTGAGAAACGCGGCGATCAACAAGCCATGTATATATGACGGGATATCAAGCCAAAGCAGGATATCTGGAACCGGTGACTGGAGCAGACGTCTCCATGACCCTACATGACGTGCCCGCCGCAATAATAAGCTGCAGCGCCTTCCAAAACAATAAGCCAGCCAGATGACGAGAATTGTGGCTAGAAAGAGCCCGTATTTGTTTGGAATGGACGTGCTTGCCAACCAGTTTTGAAATCTTGAAGTGAGCGGAGGCATCCTCCTACCGCTCGGCTTCAAGGAAGCTCCAGTGATGAGGAAAAACACTTTTATAAGCCTTGTATAGGTGGCAAGGCTCACAGCATTCAGAGCTATTGAACCAGGGCGCGTCCGGTCAGTTTGACTGAGCCTTCTGTGATGTTGCGTTGAGATTATTTGTTTACCTACACGTGGGTTGTGGTATTGCGCTGGTTAGAGAATAGTCTAAATACCTCGCAGGGACCTAAACAATCGGACTCAATGAACGATTATCTAGTGAACCTAGCCAAATCTTGGGGGGACATTGCCCAAGTTGTCACCCAACAGCATACGCATGACCGGTTCAAACTAGAGATAGGTGCTGGCTAGGCTCGACTTGTGCAAGGTTACGTTCCACCGCATTACTACTTTGCTTGTAGGAGTGTGGTTTACCGTTTACTCTATGCAATTGTATACACGATCCCAGATGCTGTCTTCCTGGTCTCAACGAAAATGATGACCCCATAACGCATCTTCATTCTAGGTTTTTTAATTCGTGTGTCTTAGTTTTGATCATCTTATTCATATAGTGCGTCTTTAGTGGAGTTGACTAGCTTCACGTTATACGATATTGAGGTGTGGCTCTTATATTCGATATGACGGAGGTAAGAGGAGAGACGCCAAGAATGAAGGGCAGGGACGTGAGAATGTATTGGCGTTTACTGTAATATATGCTACAGTGGTGTTTTAATAAAACTCGACCCCCTGTTTACCGCTTTATACACCGCCTGCACATATTGCACTGACCGCCCTACCTCAACGCGCTAAATTCCATGCACGCGTCTTGTTTATCTACATAATTTAGCATCACCCCCCTTACATTAAAAGTTACATACTATAAACTATATACTTTAAATACAAACCGCCATGCCCGCTACACGTTCAACAGCACAACAGCTACTACATGCTCAATTTGAAGCCCCCCATGGCACCCTTACCCCGTGCATCGACGCCCCCGAGGCCGTCATCTTCAACCACATCAGCGTGTTAAAATTGTTGAATTAAAAGATATTGGATGGTCCTATCGCGCTATTCAAGAAAGGTATCCAGATATACCACTTAGTACGATCAAATCAACAGTACTACAACCAAATAAGCGAGGTCCTACACAGGCATCTCTTCAACGATCTGGACGTCCACAGAAGCTTTCAATAGAAGACAATATTCTTCAGGCAATTGAGATTGATTCTCGTATTAATATTGATAAGCTTCTTGAAGCTATTGGATATCGTGTTTCACGAACGACCCTCTGCGATTTCTTCGCAGTGAAAATAAACGCAAATGGCTTTGTCTTCAACGACCAGAAGTTGATGAAGAAATTGCCCGCAAACGCCTTGAATGGGCAGAGTCTGTCCGTTATTATACCTATCAACAATGGTTAAAGATCTTCTGGTCAGATGAATCAACAGTTGAACGAGGAAAAGGGATACGTCGGGAATGGACTTTTACTCGTCCCAAATTCCAAATTCCAACCTGTGATGTCCAAACTTTCTCGGTTTATAAAGGTGTTAAACAGATGTTTTGGGCAGCTTTTTTCTGGCTGTGGCCGACGGACTGGACTAATTCCTCTTTTCGGAAGAGCCGATTCACCTCGTGGAGGTGTTAATCGATGGGCAATTCTTGAGCTTTATCAGCGTGTGCTTCCAACATTAATAAATGGTATTGAGGGTGCAATTTTTCAACAAGATAATGCCCCTGTGCATACTGCATTTGTTGTGCGTGATTGGCTTGCTGAACAGGAGTTTGAAATCATGAATTGGCCACCATATTCACCTGATTTAAACCCTATTGAGAACCTCTGGGCTCTTCTCAAGGCAAAGATATACGATTTGCATCCTGAAATCAAAGATATGGATGATAATGAGGAGACATATCTGACGATCGTTGCGCAAGAAGCATGGTCAGAGATGGATACAGCGATGATAGAGAATCTGGCAGTCACCATGCCTCACCGTGTGCAGCAAGTGCTAGATAATCAGGGGTGGTATACTAGCTACTAACTTAGCTAAGTTATATTAACTTGGAAGAGTTTGCCTGGCAGAATAGATGGCAGAACAGATGGCAGAATCATAAAGCGGTAAACAGGGGGTCGAGTTTTATTGAAACACCACTGTAACTCAACCAACAATACAACCTATACACATCTTGTAGCACGACCCAGTATCATAGAGACAGTTCTAATTGTCGAACTGAGGGGTGGTATTTTACCACTAAGGACAGGGTTATATTCATCAAGTACCCATTCTCTCTTTGTCTCTGTAAGGTAAACGGGATACGCTCGGCATACCAGCGTCGTAACACGCTAGGAACGACTCCTGAGATCTGATAACGCTTCAACAGCAAGATCCAGATAGAACAACATCAGTGTATCTCAATGGAACACCTCAATACTAGCACATACCAGTATCCGTCAATCCGACACTAATCCTAATGCATGAGTAGTGCGTATCAGGGTGACAGGACAATACCATCAGTACAGGGGATCCAAGAACACACATGCTAAAAGAAGGTGGGACCTCCTCTAACCTAATTCAGTTTAGCGCGATCGGAATGTGGCGCTGGGGAAAGAAAGCGTGAGCGTTCTTTGTAATCTGTTTTCAAGTTCTACTGTAGACACATTCAAACAAGAAGATGAATTGCAAGAGTATTAAGGTGCTCTGACTGTAATCCCTCCATCGGCAGACCGATGTAATCTTTTACGATTATTCACGGCAATACAGTACTGTACTTTTGATGGCATTCACCGGCCTGTTTCTGAGATACCGTAGTGACCTCCCCAGCTCCAGCCTGTCAGCGCGATAGCGTGATGTTTTTGTCACTTTCATTTGACCTCTCCGGGCATTTCAGCAGGGACCTCTTCTCTGAAGCAGCCACTCCGACTAACAAGTCTGTTCAGGTTGCTTTCGAAGTCTTACCTTTGATTTCCACGGGGTGTCTAGTAAAGTGGCCTACTTTAGAGAGTTTGACAATCTAAAGTTGACCCCAATCATAGCCTCAAGTCTTTTTATACAAATTAGTAAAGAGGACTACAGAAACGAGATCAATTTAATTAGCGCGCTAGCAACGTTAAAACCTGAGATACAGGACCAGCCGTAATTCTTGCATATTTGTCTGGTCAATTACAAAATATCAAACATCATGGATTATGTCCCGGCATATGGTGATGGTAAGACTGCAGCGCTGGTAACTCCTCTGGGCAAGGCTGTCTCATCGACGTAGGAACCATCCCAGTCTCTTAGAACTCCCGCGATCCCATCTCGTACCTTATCAAAAGCCTGGCCAAAGTAGCTCAATAGTGCCTCCTGGTTTGCATGTCGGCGCTCGAGCAGTTCACGCTCTTGTCCCAATTGAACATTGACAGTCCGAAGCTGCTGGTTCGTTTTCACGAGATACTGATTCGTCGTGTGTTTTGCAGTGTAAGCTTCCCATAGCCGTCGATAAAGTCCAATTAAAAGGGAGGCTTGCGAAGCAAGCTGTTGATCATCTTGATCAAGCCGCTTTAACTCTTCGATCAAAGCTTCAAAAGGATCTGTGGAGTGGGGATACTGTCCTTTCTGGGCCACTTGAGGGGCGGAAAGATGCTTTATACAGGTTAGCGGTGATTAGCATTCTATGTGTTAAAAGACTTACCTGCGTTTGATCCTCGCTTGTTATGATAGTATGCTCCGGCAGCTCGAATTCTTTCGAGGACTGATCAAGCAAATTCTCTTGACTTTTCTCGATAGGTACATCAAATTTGATGTTTGGCGTCTCAATAGTCGAATCCATCTTAGAATATGTGCGAGTGAGAGAACACACTGGGATAAGTGTCCACTTTATATATCCCGTGGCTACGCAGAACTTGACTGGGGAAGTTTAACTTTTCAGACAACGTCGCTAAACGCGTTCGAGTCGGCGCAATTCTCTGTTCATGGTTGCAAAGGCTCTGTTTATTATTGACATAGCCATTGATGCAGATATTTCAATAAGCTCTGCAAAATCATTCTAATAAATATCAAATATGATGGAATTGAAATTACCCTACAAAACCTATGGACAGGTGTGTATGTGAGCAAGGGACTCGGTCGTGACCTTTTAAATCAACGTAAGCAACCGTCTTTAATGGTTAATTTTGCATTGTCACGACTTGCGGACATGAACAGTACGTACCAAGGCAAAGACATCTTTTTATAGCCGGGGAGGTAATACTTTTGTCGCTGAACAGCCTCACCAGCATGAATACAAATACTGACCATAGACATTCACGACAAATATACTGTCTAAAATGTATTTAAAAAGCACCGTACATTCTGCATTGGGGCTTTTGGTCTTGTTTGCGCCATTGATTTGCTTTGCCAAACTGCATCGTGGCAACATTATCTTGTACAACAATTGCCGCTTTCCTCTTTACATTGAAGGTGTGGATCATGTCACATACCTAGACACAGAGCTAGGACCACAACAGAGCCATCTTCTCCCTTACCGCCTCTCTATTAATGGTACTGGTAACTCTCTCAAAGTCTCCACGCGCTGGAGGAGCCCCAAAGTTACCCAGATAGAGTATAGCGCTTGTTTTGGAAATGGAATCAAGAATCACTGTGGTCCTCTCAACAAGATCTACTATGATCTTTCTAAAATCAATGATCCATCCAATGATGAATATGGGGTCCGCATTGAACCTTCTTTTTCTGAGTGCGTGACGATTGATTGTCCCTTGAACGCTTATCGATGTGGATCCACCTACTATCAGCCTGACGACAATTTTGCAACCAAGAGTTGTGAAGTGGGTACGGACCTGAAGGTCACTTTTTGTCCGAATTCGAGAGCATAGATTAGTTGCCGGCAGCTACCTCAAATATGTCCGATCGGCCTTTAATGGTTATGAGAGTGTCGGTTGCTGTACTGTACACAAGTGATTTTGCAGTAAAGGAACGTGATATATTAAATCTTAGATGGCTGGACATGGCAGACGATACGGAATAGAATCTTTGCCATTATGAGATTGTTCTGGGATAGAGCAATGAGCTCACTGAAAGCCAGACGTACGGCCTTCAATGTCCTTCAAAGAGATACGTTATTAGCAATATTGGCAATCAAGTCTTTTGGAAACGTATAGAAGGTACAACATTACTTTATTTCCTTTCTTGGTTTGCTCCAGGCTTCAAGAACCTCGCAGACCCGCGCCATCTGGGCAGTTCAATATCGCCAAAGGCAATAGGCCTCGACAGGTTTCGGCGAGGCTCTAAGGTCGTCCAAAGAATTATTATATTCGTATGGAAGTCGCATGTATTTACACGATATTGGTACCCTGCATATCGCCAAAATTTTTGTACTCCAGATTGATGTACAAGTGTGATTCTCAAATTTAGAGTATGTGAAAGGGCAGTTACAGTAGTTTTCGAAATCAGTTATACCTCATTCCCGGAAAATAAATCCGTCCTGTGTGAGCTCTGATTGGATAAAGCCTTCAAGGGTCTCATTTCAGACCGCTTTCTATAATAATCTGTGTATTTTACAATACAATCTTGGGACTGCGGGGGATGTATTTTACACGAAACTGCTCATACACACGCTACCGTGGCCCCCTTCTTCCCTTTCGTAACAACTGCCTGAAACATTGCATTTACAAGTCTTTCCAGTTTGGCTCCCTATCACTCCAAAGCGAAGCGACATGGCTCCAAGACTCTCTCCTGCAAAGCTCGTTCTCATTCATGATATGATAGAGAGCCAGTCCTTCACCGCATCTGAAATGGCGGAACAGGCTGAATGTAACAAGCTGACCATCATCAACATCCGCAGAAACTTACGACAATTTGGAAGTATTTACGCCCCTCAAACCCGAGTAGGTCGGAAACGAACTGTGACACCCCTGATGATCGAAGCCCTCTGTGATCATCTATGTGAGAAACCTGGCCTGTACCTCGATGAGATGGCTGTATTCCTCTGGGACGAGTTTCAGACCATGGTTACAACCTCCAGCATTAGGAGAGCCCTTATCGCTAAAGGTTGGTCGAAAAAGACTGCACGTCAACGTGCTAGAGAGCAAAATGCTGATTTGCGAGATTACTATCTGCATAATCTGTCGGACTTCAAATCGTACCACCTCGTATATGTTGATGAATCTGGATGTGATAAACGCGTTGGGTTTAGACGGACAGGTTGGCACCACTTGGCAAGGCCCCTTTGCAAGTGACGCAATTCCATCGTGACCAGAGATACCAGATATTGCCCGCTTATGCACAGGATGGGATTGTTCTCTCACGTGTCTTCCGCGGTTCTACGGATGCCACCGTATTTGAAGACTTTATAGCCCAATTACTTCAGCATTGCGGAAGATGGCCAGAACCTAAATCTGTCCTCGTTGTGGACAACGCATCATTTCACCGGTCGGAGCGACTTGTAAAAATGTGTGAAGACGCAGGTGTGAAGCTAATCTATTTGCCACCTTACTCTGAACCCAATCGAAGAGATTTTTGCCGAACTCAAGGGATTCATTCGGCGTAACTGGATTTACTACGAAAAAGATCGCGAGAGAGGATTTGATGCCTTCCTTGAATGGTGTATTAATGTGGTGGGTGCAAAAGAAGAGAGCGCTAGAGGCCATTTTCGGCATGCAGGGTTGAAGATCGAACATGTCTCTGGAAGTTGTTACTGTAGGTCCCAGCTGGGGACGAGTTCCCCACGAACACTCACAGCCTAGCCTACTCATTGAACCAAGGGTCATCCAGGACCTGTCTCGCTGATGCTCTTGCCAACGGTTCAAAACACAGCAGCCTTCCAATGAGTTTTCCAAGCCTCTCTATATCCTCTCTTGTGAGATCGGGGCTCTGGCGTCCGTCAAAATACACTTCTTCCAGCCATTCTTGCAAGTTGGGCCCGGGGCTTTCCGCGGTCACGTCGTCCCCTTTATCCATCGTATCCCATATCTTTTGCCATCGTTTAGGTAGATCGTCACTTGCCATCTCGTGCATTTGACCGATGAGAATTGCGGGTGTTATTAAGAAGGTGTCAAAAGGTGGCTGGCCAGTGAAAAGTTCAAATAGCTGTCATGGTTATCAGTTTAATCGTATATAGCGTTTAGACTTGTATCATTTCACGCACCATGCAGCCCATACTCCACAAGTCAACACGATGATCAATTTTATCCTGGAATATAACTTCGGGTGCTCGAACAGACAAAGGTGTGTGGAGCGTTTGAGGAACGGCAGGACATAAGAATGATTCCCCGAAGTCAATTATTTTGATCGACTGAGCCGAGTTCCAAAGGCGGCTTCGATATGAGGTAGGCTTTACGATATATTCCGGCACGCCGAGTTCATGTTCTTTCCCATCGCGCCTTTGGACCTGACCTGTTTCAGGTTTTCCCAACATCTCAAAAAAAGCATCCTCGGTTACCTTGTCCAAGCAAGGCATGGTGAAGGCCAAATTGCGAGTGTGCAAATCTATTTCAGGTGAGAATTTTCCGATTTCTTCCCAAGTGAGTGGATGGTAGTACCTCCATGTCCAATATTTCGTTGGTGCAGATCATGAAGCCCGGCAAGACTTTGCTTGGCAAGAAGTTTGGCAAGCCTTCCGGGGAGTCTCCCACTGGAGAAGTGTGCATCAATTACGTCCGGAATGTTTGGTCCCAGAAGTTCATAAACGAGGCATTTATGAAATCCATTTGGACCCGTTAGCTCAAAATCATCGAGCAACTGCACCACATGCGTCAGACTCGGGTGATAAGATGCCAGTTCCTTCAGAGTTTGGAGCTCTCGTGTTTCCCTATCATGATGCTTTTCTGCAGTAGAAATTTTCACAGCGACGTAAGTCTCTGTCCTGCAAGGGTCAAGTTCGATTAGCTGGGACTACCGTGCATACATTTGTATGTATTACCTTTGATCTCTCGCGGCCCAAACTGTCGAGTAGCCACCCCATCCTAATTTATGCAACACCTTATACCTTCCAGATTTAAGGCATTCTCCCAAGGTGACTGGGTGGTAACCGCCTTGTCGGTAGCGATGAAGTGGCTCCGCATCAATCGGGCAAATATAAGTGGGCCGGTCCATCAGACTCTTGTCGGCATGGGTAGACATGGACTTGAGGGCAATGTAAGGACTTCTCAAGGGAAAAATACGTCTCGGTAGAACGCAGACGATGCTCATCACGCTAAACCGATATCGTCGGTGCGGATTATGGTAATATCGTCAGGAGTTCTAGCGCCGTGAGTTAGATGACGTGGCAACAATAGCCAATCACATGATCTGAAAAGCAGCCTCCGACTTTCAAGCGGCAATTGATTGGTCAGCAGCGCACCTTTAAAAATATCTCAAACGTGTCAGTATGAGACGGGCGCCTATGCACATTTAAAGAAGTGATACTAGCCATTGGAGCACCATACCAGAGCTAGAAAAGCGCGATATGGCGGCGCTAACCAGGCTTATGCAATCTGAGGAAAGGATGTATATATTGATGCCTTGCTGCTCTTGGGAGATACTACTACGAAGTTTGACACTTATTGATTTAATACCATCTGAACCTTTAGGAGCTCGGATATCACCATGTCTCCCATTCCTCGCCATGCTGTTAAATTCACCCAGAGAATCCGCAACTCTGTTCTGCGTAATCGTACCCTCACCCTCATCGAAACCGCTACGGAGAAGCCCGACCTAGCGCATTTCACTATCGCTACCCTCAAGTAAGCAAAATGTCAATACTATAAGGTGATTATATCCAAGAACTTACCATTGCAGAAATCCGTCGCACACTAGTCATACCGACCTCAAGGAGCACACCACAGCATTATTAGCAACCGAGGAACAATACAAGAACAAGAAAGTCCAGCCGGTTCATATTTACCATAATAAAGAGGGGTGCTATACTGGCCATGTTCTGTATGCTGAAAGAGATATGAAACCGTCGGATGAATAAAGCCACTACGATGGCATTTTGAACACTATTCCCGATATTATGTTCAGAATGCAATAATGATCTCTGTTGGCTGACGCTTGCCCGTTTGTCAATACGAACATTTTCTTTTGGTTGTAACCTCATAGTGCGTAGAGGCATTGCCACTTGGCCATGCTTTCAGCCATTCTGAAAAAAATTTGTCTGCTTTATGCTATCGACGGATGTACGGACACTAGTATCAAGGGAATTGGGCATTAATATTTTGAGGATCAGTTATCAAAAATCGTTGGGTACGTCCCTTGAGCTCGGACGGTTGACCATGGTAAATGATTTTGCTGCAAAGAACTCGACTTGTTGTCATCATATGGGCACCTGTAGCTTGTGTTGTCCAAGAATTGCGGGCATGAAGAGGCAGGCGTTTAGGATGATCCAGCTCCCCAGTGAGTACATAAATACGAAGACTGATACACTGTCAATTCGGCTGTACAGTTGTTCTCGAAATCGGCTTGACCATTAAAAACTTATTGAGTGTTATCACACCTATACTGTACTGTACCTCAATCCGTGTGTGTGTGAAAAAAAATAAAAAAAAATGGACGGCGCACCGGACGGAACTACTACAATGTACCAACACCCACCGAGGAAATATACTCCTAGGAGGAAAGTCGCCTTCTGATGATCAGAAGTGGACGCCGAACTTAGAGGCGGTACGGGCCTCAATATGATTCGCCGTCGCCACGAGCCGACTCGAGGCCACCTGAATATGCCGACGAACATAAATCACCCCCCTTTCGCCGATCTGACCCACCAACCAGCTCGTGTTACAGATGGTAGACGCGCTTCAACTGCCGAAAATAGGACGTTGAACAATTGGAGAAGCGCCTTCAAGCCAGCCTACTAACAAAACTACTAACCCACGAGGATCCGCTGCGATACGGACATCTGAGATGACATATATTGCAAGGCTTTATATATGGGCTCTGAGGAGACACAGTACTATATGTATTATGACATGTAGAGTAGATCAGAGATAGTTGCCCTTTCGGCTTAGCCGCCGGGCGTTAATAAATTGTGTGTGTGTGTGTGTGTGTGTGTACCTCAATCCAGGAATTCTACTTCGACCGTTGCGTCGCAAAGACAGAAGATAAATATAGGTGAATAAGAGTAATCAGTTTCGCCGCTTTGCTTTCATAGAATCTTTCTCGAACCCTAAAGTGACACACACTAATCTATAATTGGCTTTGCTTTATCATCTCAAGTGTCGTTTTGAATCGAAAGGCGTAGATGCTATGAGACTACATCTCGTAAATTACAGGAACAAGTTTATGCTAACAGGACTTCACGTTCCTTCCTCGCGGCCAACCAAAAAATCTTTCAAGACAATATCAGATAAGAATTGCAAGGCGTCGGAAGTTTCAAAATAGAAGGAAGATAATTTACGTAAGCGTAGCATGAAGCGAAAATAAATACAGTAAATCAAAAATAAAAGTGTGGCATCCAAGTTGAAAGAAGTTGCATACCGAGTCAAGTGTCAGGCCAATGCTCAATTGTGCTTTTTTAATGACAGTCGTGTCATATCAGGCGTTCCAATATGTAATGGCCTATTTCTTTTTGTTTCTTGGGCTTGCAGACTTCTTCACTGGAGAATCTGTTCGCGGCCGAGGCCGAAGTCGCCGCAACCAGTCTTGCCGGGTTCTCTCTTGCTCCCTAGCTTTCTGTTCTTCGTACTCGCTGTTGAGGTCGGGGATCTGCGTCCACCAAGCCTTCTTTGGATCGAGGTACTGTTCACGGCGAGGCAATCGCAGGGTGACGTGGCTTGGGCCGGAGGAAGGTTTGGGGTAGATATTCCTTCTCGTAGCTTTGCTCTCTGGTCGGGAATATCGGCCAACGGCGCCGTCTAGTTTCGGAGATTGGGAGATATAAGGCTCATCAAGAAGCCTCGCCGACTCGCAGCAATCTCCTTTGGATCGGCGCTTCGTCCAGCGCGCTGACTGTGGCATGGCCTCGGGATGAAGAGGGTGTCCGAGAAACAACGCGCGCGTATACGCGTCCGCTCACGAATTCCCCGCCACTGGTCTAGCTGTTGTCGAGCTGCATAATGAGTCGGTCTCATCTCTTAAGTAATAGAAACACTGCGGACATTTCTCTCTTCAGATCCTCTCGACAGTTTGTGTGGGTCTGGTTATGATATAGTGCTACCCAATTCCTGGGCCATGAGATATAGAGAAACGGTGTAAGAAGCTTCACACTCTTCCGAACAGGGAACATCGGACCTGCAGGCTAGGCAAAAGTAATCCTGAGCTTGACAGTCTCAAGGCGCGTGACCGCTGGCTTGACCGTGTATCTACCAACACATGGGGCCGTTCATCCGCCTTTGATCCACCGTTGAACAACCGCCGCTCTTGGGCGTGTCCCTGTCCCAAGGGCCACGAATTGCCTGAGAGGAATAATCACGAAAATATGGTCGTCTCTGTATTTTCCCGACAGCATTGGGCGAGGCAAGGAGGGTAACAAAAGCTCGAGACCATTTCATATCGTCCCCGGACGGTCCCTTGCTGGCCGTTCTGTGGACCCGATTTTCGACGCAGGTGGAGCGTGCCATGGCCCTGACCAGTAATGAAAAACGCGCCATCAAAAGGCAGGAATGTCGGGAGGCCCTTGCTGCCCATATCTGTATTTCCCCTCGCAAGCCATGGACAGAACCGACCGGAAAGGGCTAATGCCGATGATAGATGAAAGACTGGGCCTGCTCGTAGCCCCGAATGCCGTACGTCTCCAGCCATCGGCGCAGGACGGCTATGCATGGTCCGTTACCAAGTCCAAGGAAAGCCTTATCCAGACGAGCCTGAGCAATGGCTCTGTGGGCTTGTACCGGGCTATTCGGGAGGAGCTCGGGCGGTCTCTCGAGGCAGTATCCCCGCGGATCCTGAGGCAAGACGGCGAGGAGCACAGCACGCAGCCGGACACGGTGAGTGGGTTACACCCCCCCTTCTTCTTTCCAGCCAACCGTCTGATAGCGGCTTTGTAGCGTCGACTTTCAGATAACGAGACAGAGAACGAATCGTTTACTGCGATTATTCGTCGACTCGAGCACGAGAATCAGGAACTTCGAACACAGCTTGCTCGCGCCAGGGAGGAGTCGGAACAAGCACGACGACACCATCAAGACTGGGAAGCGAAAGCCTGTCGATTGGCAAATGACAATGGGATTGCTCGTGTCTCCGAGAGAAGGCTCAAAAGCCAAGTGAGTCGCATGCAAAGGGCGGTCTCCGGGGCAGTGCGGCTGTTGGAAGATCATACACCTGGGGAGAGTTCTAGAATTTCCTTGGAGGAATAGCGAATAGCTCCTTAACAGCAGTTGATTTCTGTGGAGGTTGAGTGCTGAATGGTTATGAGTCGCAAGCCAGCAAGTCGGTTCTTCTCGGATCGTTCTCCTAGGGATTACGTGCGGTGCGTCTAGACGATACGGCTCTGTGCTCTGCATCAGAGTGGAAATGGTATATTTCTACGGCTGAATTGGGAATATGACTTGTGGGAACGGTATTCTACTATACCCCCGAAATGCGGCACAGTATTGATGTCACAGGGGATTCTCCTTCTGGGCTGGGAAGCTAAAGTTATGAAGAGCAGTCTTGTTCACCACGCTGACCAATGATTTCAGCTCTCCTCCATCATTTGACTGTGTGAAAAACTCATCCTGGTAGTCGCGCATTAGGGTAACCATATATGACCTTTGGCATGACAAACCTACCTGTAACAGACGATCCAAAGGCTCGGTTCTCAGCTTCTCCGGCAACCCTTGAGCCGCCGGGCTCCACGCGTGGTGGGCCCCGTTTTTTTTCATCAGACGGAGGACAGTTTCTGCCAGCTTGCGCAGCTTCAGAGTATCCGCATTCATCACTGACGGGTCAATGTCACAGCTCCTTTCCACTCCAGCTAAGGACGAGTCAGAAACCTAGTCAGGCAAAAGGAGCTCTGACACGTAGTGAGACTCACCGATTTTCACCGCGCCCGCCTCCGTGAACAGAATTTGGTCGTTGTCGAGGGTGGCTAGGGCCTTCCCTCGGTCACGAAGATGCTGGATACCTTTCAGAATCTGCTTAGTCTTAGCAATCTGCCAACAATCCATAAGACGTGAGGATAAGGGTCCCACCGCGTGAACAATCGAGGCAATCTCAACTTCACTGATTGTGCATGCCGAGCCCAGCACTTGGGTCAAGGAGAACTCGGTCGGCTCCCAGATCAGGAACGAGCGATTGGCATGTCGATAGCACCGAACTAGATGGAGGAAGCTGGGGTGAATGACTCGGTTGACCGTTTCGACTACGTGCGCGACCGACGACGGGTCCTGCCTGAGTTGCTGCACATTGACCAACTCGGCGTAATTTCCGCGGCGCCGTGCCAAACACACTTGCCGTTTTGGGAACGACAAGACCTCTTCGTATGTCGACCAAGGATTCTCCGACAGGGTTGGGATCTGCGGCGGCGGGAGGGGATCCTTTGGACGGGACGGCCTGGGCATAGCCAACGGCGGTGGAGTGGCCGGCGGCTTTGCTGCTTCTTTCTGCTTGGCCTCCGGAGGCGATGCGAGCGTCTTAGATGAATTGCCACTTGCAGAGTACGTGAAGGCGCCGAGGTTCCATTGGGTCAGCGGCCGGCTCCGCTGGTTGGAAGTCATTGCGGCGATTTGATCAGGCGCCGATGGAACTTGTCGACTCCGGTATCCTCTGTGGACTGCGGGCTAGGGCGTTTTATTGAATGCTATACGAGAAGAGAGATGTAGAAGATATATCTGAAGCGGTATACACAGGACTCAGAAGCTAACTAATAACGTAATGAACATGACAATGGAGCCTTGCCGTTGGCAATGAGATGAAGGCCACTGATCACGGACGGATCGCTGCAATCTTAGTTAACCGGGCCCAGTTTCTAGCTCGGACGTATCTAGGAGTTTACCTGAAGAACGCACCTGAGTCTTCAACGCATGGGTGGCGGGGTTGGAAGAAAATCCCTAGAGCGTCTGTTGACGGCTGGAGGTCCCGGAGGCTCCATCGCACGGTCTTTGTAGAGAACACAAAAGTCGCCTTCTACACTCTAACACGGAACTGGTTCGTTTCTCGTCGTGATGCTTCATTGTTTATGACATATCCATATACACATTGTTTCGAACAAAAAAAAAAGATCATATAGAGAGTATATAGTGTAGCTACCAGAAAATCTCAAGTGCAGTACGGGTTAGAGCCACCTTGGCAGCTAGAACCAGAGGCACAAGTAACGCGAGGGGACCAGGCACTGCCAATACACTGTTCAAGCACATCCCCGCTGCATCGCCATACATTGCCTGAACAGGTTGTGGGCGATACGTCCAACCAGCCATCTGACGCAACGGTCATCGTCGGAGCCACAGATTGAGCCAAGGGTTGAACAGCGGCGGCGTCAAAATCAGTGGACCCAGATGCCGAGAGAGAGCCGGAGGAGCTGTCATCGAAATCGTATATCGACTCGTCAAGAATTTCCCAGGAAACAGCAACGTGACCATCGCTACAGGCGCTGCCTTCCGATAACTTGCTTAGGACAGTGTAGCTGAAGTCGAGACCCGGAGCGCCCTCTGCGTTCCAGATAGTGCTCAAGGAAGAGCCTACACCACAGCGCTGGCAGCCATCTCCTATGAAGAGCGCCATTTCGGATCGCTGCCCATTAATCGAGACAATTACTTTTTTACCGCAGTATAAACTGGGATTTTCTCCAAGCTGAGTGTTGTTCATGGCAACCACATAGTTGGTGTTCATCTGATCAAGAGAGAGTAGGGTGGCAGAGCTACACATAACTCCGCCACTGTTTGGGTCCTCAAAATTGGTTCCGCACGCATCAGCCTGCTCAATATCGTAGTAATATGTGCCAAACCCTTTACCACTATAAATGACAGACTGTGCAGAGGCACTGGGTATAACAAGAAAGCCGGCTGCCGCAAAGAGTTGGAGCAACATAATGTTTGACACCGGGGCCGTAAACCGTATAAGGCAATCATGCAATATTTGTCGATGTTGACGATTCAAGCCATGGCGGGACAGTATGCATAAGAAGTGCTGAGAAAAAGAATGAATTTACTGTACTAGAAAGAACGAAACACTCGGGAAGATCTGTCCCAGTGACTTTTGTATTCATCTCTTCGAAAAGTATAATTTGCATACAGTCAACGTTCTTTCTTATCGCAATTCATTATATTTGCATTGTCTTCAAGGCAATACAGTATCTGCAATTGCACCTTTCAGACACGTGTTAGTGTATATAGTGTATATTGCAGGGACCCAACTATATTTCAAGGGATATGTACGATACTAGGTGATGAAAGTATGACTTCTCGTAACCCGTGAATGGTATGTAACCAGAGTATACGGGTATACACCATGATGGCATTCATGGACGTTCAAACTCCCAAGAAGAAACGTGCAGGGTTATCGCTGCCTCGGTTACAACGACACCTTGGTCAAAAACCTTGGACGTAAAAGAGACGAACAACTAGTATTGATGAATGGCAAGAAAGCCATATGTAATCACACTCGATCCGCTTGCGACTACGTATCCAGCGCATTGCACACAGCAACGGATCATTGCGGTTGGAAACGAGATGGAGGCCGCCGGTTACGGTCGGATCGCTGCAGACGGGCCTGATCGGATGATATACCCAGCTGTGAGGTCTCTCGGGTTTCGCCTGATGAACGCGCCCGAGTGTTCAATGTATGGGCGGCGGGGGTCGAAGATGGGTCCAGAGGCGTCCGCTGACGGGCTTGCGGTCCCAGAGAGGAGACATCGGGTGGCGCATCGCGCATAATGATTTCCGGAGTAGACCGTCCAAGCGAGGGATCATAGGAGAATATTTGGAAAGTGTCGCGTCGACTGTGATCTGGTTAGCAGTGGTCCTCGAGTTGGCAACGTTGGGGCTTACCAGAAAGGACAGAAAAGGCTCGCCCTAGATTCGCGCGAGTGAAGCCAACGTTCAACACATTCCAGATGCGATGACCTGGAACAAGCGACGCATTGCACGTATCTGTTCTCGCTTGGTCCTTCTTGCAGCTGGTTGAGGCAGATTGGGCAATCTTCCAGGTCCTCGCGATGCGCAGAGGGTCCGAAGCTCTGGAGCTTGCACTCACCGCCTTCTTCTCGCACGCGGAGAATCGCCAGTGGTTGACCCGGTGAAACCTCCCACGGGACCTGACTACTGCGAAGATCATCAACCGTGAGATACCTTGGGGAACCATTGTCCCTTGCGACTCCTCTCGCGTTGTGTGACGCCAGGCTACCGTCGGCCGCTCCTCTTCTCGCCCGACGTAGTCGCGTAGCCTCCCTGCGATGATTTTCGGCGCTTTTTAACCAAATACCGCTCAAGCTATCTGCATGTCCTATATGCGATCGCTTGCAAAGCGCGAGAGGCGCAATCTCTTTGAGTGTAGATTCGAGAAGATCCACAGTAAAATGCTCTTCCAGAGCTGCCAGCTTCTCCCGAGTCTCGCCCAGGGCAGCTGTGCGCATGAGGCCCCGACATCGTGTTCCCTTTTTCGTAGTCCAGCAACACAGGTTGGCAGCCAATTCCTCTCGTAATTCCCGACGGACGGTTTCTCTCCAGTCGGTGGTTTCTGACCGCTGATATGTTGGCGTATTCATAGTGGTGCTTATCTAGGACAAGAATATGTATAGAATGGCAAAGATGCCTTGCGGGAGCTATATGTAGTTCGTCAACGAGGCGTAGCTCCCCAACCGAATACAGACCTGCAGGCTATGGATGCTATCGTAGGGCCCCTGGGAACGAACGTCTTGCTCCCGGGAGCAGATATTTCCTCCCAGGAATGTGTCACATCGTTCCTGGGAGCAACTGGGTCCGCTACTGGGACTGCAATCGCTCCGGGGAGCTTGATGATGTGCTCCCAGGATCACATCGCGCTACTCCTGGGAATAGCGAGCTGCTCCCAGGATCTCAAGAGACATTACGCGATAGATGTCTCGATATACTTTGGAGCTACGTCGCCTCTGGCTATATATTGTAGGTGAATCTATTTCATTTGCTTCCACTTTTGAACCTACAACACGCCTCTGAAGCTTTCCGGACTTTAGACTAGCGTCCTTCTCGAACTTTTCAGCATGGCCTATAATGACGATACGTGCGCACTTAACACCCCCAGGGGTGCTGGGGAGAATATCACTTCATGTGACACTCAATTCGAACTTGCCGAAATGTCCGAGCTCCTGTTTCTGAATCTTGAATTCCTCGACGATCTCACCTCTTCAACAATGAAAAAGCTCGAGGAAGAAGAGGGATTCATGTATCCAGATCAGAAATTC